TGCACCATAACTCTTAATTTAAGCAAAGAAACTTGTAATTCGATATATTGTGATGATCCACGATATTATTGTGAGAACTTTGACGATACAATATCATGATATTTGGGTTATTGTTACATCCCTACTCATTATGCTTCCATCCTCATGAGCTAACAACATTTCTCAGATCAGCTTTTTGAAGTCTTCTGTTTTTCCTGCTGTTTCAGAGCTTCACCTTGATTCATTTTGGAATTACTTCTCAACTACATACTCTGTTGTCATGTTTCTATTTCTGCTAATTAACCATTTCAGCATTCTTCACTTCCCTTAGTTGCGAGTGGAGGGTCACAAGCACATGATACAAGTGCCAAAATAAAATAACTAAGGGCACCAAAAGAAGACATTTGCTGATTATTTTAAAATTGATAAACAATGAAATATCATCTTTAAAGTATCCAGAGCAGTGTTTTATGTTTAACAAATTTAAATCAAATGGACAACACTGTAAAGAAAAGTCTATATAACAGTTAACCTTTGACCTCCAATCCGATCTGCTTTGTATTTTTTCTTTTAAGCCTCTGTTGAACAAAGAAGACAAGTCCACATTCAAACTATTGGCAACCATTGACTATGTGCTGAAACTGAGCCCTGTGCATTGAGTAGTAGAGCCAAGACCAGGGTCAAATGCCAAATAAGGAAAAATGGGCAAAAGAGGCACCCAAGGGAGACCTCTCATCTAACTAGTGCATCCTTCTCTTCATGTGTCTTCTCTGCAGGATGCCAAAGCTCCGTGACCTAGGCCTGGATCAATAGTTGTGTTTAAGAGTGTGTAAATAGAGGAGACAGGAGGTGCCGATGAGGAGGCCTGCATGGGACCAGTGATGGGACCTGACTGTGTGGGGCATGTGATCAAGTCCATCACTGAAGCCTGTCAATACATAGAACATCAGTGGGGCAGATATGGTCAAGGGGACAAGTAAGGTATGTTCTACCAAATTTGTCTTTTTGAGTATTCAGCATTTCTGTTATATTTGTACTAGTGTCGGCCTTGTCACATTTACTTAGGGCCACAGTTTTCTGGTCTATGTTCTAATGTTTTTCATTTGGATAATTTCAGCCCTAGAATTGACAATCTCTACTGAACAAAATGTAAACAGGGAGCAGTTAACTTGAAGAATACTACTTCGTGGCATCAGAAGGTGGAACAGAACATTTTGCGCACTGATGATGTAAACAGGCTAATAATAAAGGATTACTCAAAGATGTGTGATATTAACATAACAACTTAAAGCTCAGAAGAGTAAATTATGTGAAATATAGGAGCTTTAACAGTTACAAGTAATGTTTAGAAGCTTACACAAAATACACATATTTTATTTATGCCGACTGCTGTTGGGTGTACAATAAAATTCACCAGTAACAACTGAAAACCTTTTATGTTACATTTTTCATGAAATAGAAGATTGTTTGTCAAATATGTTTTCTCAGCCACTGAAATTGATTCAAATTCATATAAAAGTGTGTAGAAATACTGTATTATGGGTGAAACAGCCACTGACCCCTTGGCTTGATTGAATAGCTGCAACAGGGGTGTAATCCATAACTACACACAAGATTTATATGTTTTTTGAATGTGGAAAGGAACCTATTTGATATTTATGTATAGCCCAGCTGATAGTATCAGCAGCCATAAGTGAATATTCTGGTTGAGAAAACAAAAGCATTACTCACCTGCATTTACACAGCATGCATATCAAATGGCGCTTTGTGAATGCGGAGGGCATCATAATTCTGCTTATCGCACATGCGTGACAGGACACAGCTGAGTGTAAAGCCAGCCATTACTGCCCCCGTAAGTTATATGCAACATCACAGTCTGCAGAGGCGCACTGGCCAGCTGCTCAAATTAATCAAAGAGCCCACTTCCATTTATGACACAAAGCAAATAGTCATAAATGCTCTTATCGGGCGCTCTAATAGTGTGGATGTTACAATCAGATTCACGGTGGCATAAACTATTACATTTCATCTTTATCATGGCCAACAATCACCTCCTTTTCATGAGCCTCGTTTATAACCAGCAGACAGTGTGTTGCGTAATGAAATTCAAAGCAGTCTATCTGTGCAAGGATCTCTCTCTCTGTTTACCAGTATTTACATATATTTATGTGAATGTTACTTTACACAGAGGTGCACAGGCATGATGAATGTGGGATTATGGCCCCGCAGTGACACCTGATCCACTGAATATCATTGCTTTGTGGTCAGTTCAGTGGTCAAAACCTGGAACTTTTCTTCTCATCTTGTGTTATTATAGTGTTATCTAGTGAATAAAACAGAGGTGTTTTTTTGTTATATAATTTATAATAACACATAAATTTACTTGTGCACATTAAATTTTAAGAGAGACTCCTAGCTGTGCTTACATGCATATATTGAAATATTATTAAATAATATTTTACTTTTTCATGCAGGTGCAATGAAACTCCTCACTTTTGTCTTCATGTCTGGGCTTGTGCTTCATGAAGCCTATAGAACTTTGATTAATCAATTAATACCCCTTTTCTCAAGGTCTTTTTATAAACCTCATCATTAATAAAAGTAGACATTCAATTAGCAACCAAATCTTGATTGCCAATTTTGTCATAACACTCTTCCATTCTCTGCCTCAGTTTTCTGTTATATAGTTGGAGGTGTGGTGTGGGTAGAAGAATTAACTAATTTCATTAATCTAATTGTCATGGCTTTCAACCACCCCGCTAATAAGTACAAATTAATATGATTAATCAATTTGACGACATAAACTCATTCAATTACACTTTTTCAAAGGCGAGTGGGTGTGTTGGTGTGATAGGGAGGTGGGCAGCCGAGCAGCTTGCTCTGAGCTCAGCCCAGCCCCCAAAATTGAAGCCAAGTCAGGCAATTAGTCATTGAGAGTGATTTTAGTGATCTCACTGAAGACTCATTGATAAGTCAGAAGAGAAGAAAAACAATGGAATTAAAGATAACATGTTAATAATGATTTCTTTTTCACCCACATACACTTCTACACACACAAGCTAAATCAAGCTTTTACTAAAACAGACATATATATATATATTGATCCAGACACTGTCCCATTTACTGTAATTGTCCTGAACTCCTCTGAAACACATGAATACTCAGCTAATGTCTGTAGCTTGTTTTCTCTGAAGATGTGGTCTGATTTGTATGTTTCAGACCCACACTTCGCTGACATGGAATGTGCTGGCGCAGCTGTTTGTTTGATGCCCTTTAATGCTCTCTATCTTATCAGCAGCATCGGCCTATTCAAACTCAAGTGTGATTGTCAGTGTGATTCTGTTTAGGGCTTACATTGGGAAAGGTTTATGGAGGCCTGTCTCTAATTTGTGAAGTGAGGTATTATAGAGCAGACAATTAGAGCGCACTTCGATTGGTGTATCGAGGCTTGGATGCTGACAGTCAAGAGAAGGCTTTCAAATGTCATACCAATTAATCTATCCAGCCATCAAACAATATTCTGGAAACAAAGTCAGGGGGGCGATCAATCCGCATCACTTTTCTCCTCACCGGGTTATGGGAAAATTGATTTGTCAAACAAAGCATTTTGGAAGCAGTGCATGGACTTGTTCGGGATCCATTAGCCTCCATTGAGCATTTTGTTTAACATAGGATTTTCATCACAGAGAAAATGCAGTGTCCTCAATACTGAGAGCCACAACTTTACGATTTCTTTGTTCTTGCTTTGAGAGCTTTAGAAAGTGCTGATAAGGACTGAAAAGGCCACAAAATATATTTAGAGATTCATTTTTGTTTTTTTGTTCTTAGTTTTTAACAACAAAAAGACACTAATCAGTCCACTCCATAAAATCTAAAAGAACTATATGTGCACTATGGGGCAATCCTGAAGAGGCTGTTGAAGAGTACTCTGCTTGTGTATTGTTCTGAGCCATAACTGTATCACATTGTGCCCGTCATGCTGTTTTAGAGAGGGAAGCACTTCCTCTATGGGATTCCTCCACCCCCATCCCCTGATAATGTATCTCTCCCTAAAGGCTAGGCCTCTATGACCTTGTCTTATTCATCGAGGGCGTCTTAAGCGAAAGAACGGAATCCTGAATGGGCCATTTCCCCTCTTTTAACACTCCTTTAATGTCATCAATGAAATATGAAGTCATTAGACGATATTAAAACACTGCTGACAAACTAATTAACGGCACACATTAAACAGGACGAGCTTGATTAATCCGCTTTAACGATTCTTTTTAAGTGGTTCTGGTCAAAATTAATACCAATTTACTGGTGATCTTAAGGAAGAAAATACTCTAATGTGCATCATATCTCAAGGGCAAATTGGGCAACCTACAGTCCCATCTACAGTTTCTTTGAAATAAAAAAATATAGACTCTTTTAGTAGTGTGAGCCTAAAACTCAAATCTTGATTTTGGTAAATGATGGACACTAAACTACAGTTTTTATTTGTTTGTTTGTTTGTTTTTACAATATTAACTTATTTGGCTTGTTTACTTCTAAATTACATAGATCCACATTTGTCCGTATAACAGCGTGAACAAACAAGCAAGTTCCTACAGGGCCAGATTTGTTTATTCTCCTCATAAGCATGTTTTTGTATGTATCCATGACTCCCCCTTGTGGTCAATGTCGGCAACATGGCTAGACGAAATAGACCTACGACTTTTGATACCGGTAACAACAAAATAACTTTACAAAATGCAATACAATACAAAACAAAATTTTGTAAAGCATTAATCTAAACCTATAGTTAATATCAACAGGCCATTGATGGATGTGTATGAATTATTGTGTCTTTCGATCTTATAATGCATAGGTCTTGTGCCCGTGTCATATGCCTATTTAAATACATAAATACATATAAACATATACATATAAAATATGTTATAAATTACTTTATTTTCAGTTTTGGTAAAGGATGATTAGGGAATCAAAACAAAGAGGGACAGAATCGTGACGGTACAGAGTCGTGACGTGTTTCCGTGGTGGAGGCGTGCTTACCGCAGCCTGCTAACAGCACCAGCTCCATTTGGATTCGCACCTTATTTTTTCTTATTAGCTAACTTAAAGGCATATACATTTTATTTTATATAGACACACATTGTTTTAATACGATGCCGGTTATAAAGGGGTTTGTAACCCGAGACTTAAAATGTAGGTAATTCAGGTAGGTAGGTCAACATTAGCTGTTAGCCTTGCTAACTGCCAGACACCGGTTGTGAACGAGCACAAAGGCCGCGTTGTCACTGGCATAATGTATCCTTCGTGGGGGAATTTCGGTGGATCACAACAGACCCAAAATTATGGAACTGGTATCAACACTGGGAATGCCGCTGGGTTTGGAGGCTCAGGCGGTGCCTCCATCTTCACCAGCCTCCAGGAGCAGCACCTCCAGCAAATGCAGCAGCTGCAGATGCTCCATCAGAAACAGCTTCAGTCAGTGCTGCACCACGGAGCACCCAGCGCTGCCTCCGCCTACAACCCTGCGCCCTCAGTCGGATATTCAGGCTCTTCGTGGAAACCCCTTAACACTGACATTCAAGACAGTGCCACTGGGCCTTCGGCCTACTATACTCAGAGTAACTCAGCCAATCTGACGATGAGAGGGCCCCCTGTCCAGCCACAAGACATCCAGCCTCCGCCGCCGTCTCAGCCGCACCCAACCGAGTCTCAACCCGCTCCTCCACCTCCAGAACCCCCTTCTGTGAAAATTAAAGCTCCTGACCACAATGCAACCAAGCCCGCCCCCCCTGCACCCAAGCCCACCCCCCCTGCACCCAAGCCCGCTCCCCCTGCACCCAAACTCGCGAGCGATAAAGCTACATCTCTACAGGTATAATAATGTCTTGGGCACATCCCACCTGTTATTTAACTCTTTACCTTTTAATGAGGCGCCTGCCTGGGCATGTTATGTATTCAGATTGGTTCATATATGTACATATGTCATATCATATACGTTAATAATACCAATAACATTATAATAATTGTTTAACACAATTTTACATGACCCACAGGATCAGCAACAACAGTGGTACAAACAACATCTTCAGAACCTGAAGATGAAGCAAGACAGAGCCAAACAAAACCAGAAGGATGGTGGTAATACTACAGTGCCACCGCCACCTCCAACCTCGGAGCCCCCCAAAGGAGCACCTCCCCCTCCTCCCCCTAAAGAGGAACCACCGGCCCCACCACCTCCACCACCTTCAGAGGTAGGCAACATTTAAACTTCACTGCAAAAATCATCCAGTCTTTTATTGTTTTGTCATGATGTGATTTGTGCACACAGTTTATTTATGTAGTATTTGCAATTACTTTCTTGAAATCACATTTTCAACTGCTAATTTCAAAAATGAATGAATGAATACAGCTGTAACAATTATTTATTTATTCATAAAATTATTTCTATCATATCAACATCAAGTAAAAGTCTGTACTGAATTCAGTTTGATTTCCAGAGTTTTCTCCTACTAGGGCTGTCTGAGTGCTTTTTAAGAATTTGTGTTTTTTTATTTTCCTTTTTAAGAGCTGTTGAATGCTGTTTAGATCAGTCATTACTGTTGTCCTGACACATGTATGCCTTGTGCATGGCGATAATATGGATAAATTTAAATCAATGCAATAAAAAAAAAGTAATGCTTTAGACTCCAAAGCCATGCAATTGTTTCTTGTAATAATTCTATAATAATAATTCTGTAATAATTCCTCGTTTTGGCAGAAGAGTCTCAGCAATGGAGGACTTGTTTCCATTCTACATTAATTGACATTATTTGTTGCCATTTTAAACACAAAACTGTAGAGACTGCCTCTGCTTTTACTGAGAGAGTTGGCTCTAGACTACAATTAGTGTCATGAAGTCTCAAAATACTGTCAGCTGCTGGGGATTTTTATGGATTACAAGGAATGTAAATTGTATTTTAAGATTTTCTACCTAACAAAGCCTTACTGCACTAAACTGTAAAGTTCACAAACCTCAACAGATTATAAAACTATGGATTTACAAACAAACTCAATCCAAGTGTGGTATTTGGATGCATCTAAAGATACATAAACTTTGAACCCTCCTCCAGCAAACACGTCACAGCGCTGTTTTTATTATTAACTAATTAAGAATAATCCTGAACAGTTTTTATTGGAATGTGAATATAATGAATACGAAAATGTGGAACAATACCTTGGAAAATAATCAAAATCCTTAAAGAGTAGTATTTTACTATGGGGCATTAACTGCTAACACATAACATATTGAGGTCACTATGTTACTATTTGTTGTTTTGAAAATGGTATTTTTGTTGTTGTTGTTGTTGTTGCTGTTTGTGGCACTCCCGTCCTGTTGCTCCTGCGTCAGTCCTCCTTTAGAGCAACAATACAATACGGTCAACATACATCCTGCTAATTAAACTACTGCACCTGCTTGTTTCTATGGATATGTCATTGCTCTGCCTGAAATTTTCTGCAGTATAATATTAAACAGCTCTACCTTACATTTATTCAATTACATGTGGTTTTATAACTCAAAAATACAAAAAAAACAAAAAACAAAACAGACATTCTGACTGTGAATGGGGTTGCCTTTCCACAAATCTGACCTATAACTTGGTTTGGTCTCCATGAAGATAGAAAGGTTTTATACCATATTGTGAAACATTTCAGACAAAGCAATGAAATTTCCACAGAGAAGAGTATTTGATGGACTCTCCACCAGAAAAGTTACACAGTCACATTCATTTAAGACATCAAATACATACATACAGTGTAAACTCTTGCACCTTGGACCAGTACCTTGATTAGTAATAGCTTCTTGAAGGCAGCCGAAGCATCTTGATTTCAAGAACATTCTCCAAATGACTACATTTGAAACATTATGCTTGTCAGTGTTGCATCTCTATCTTGTTGCTGATAAAAGACTGACTGTAACTGTGTCACATACAAGAGGGACTGAGCAAGTCTGGGCTGAGTTTCTTGAAAGTCCAGCCCTTAATACTGTATGCTGTATAGACTTATTTTCAACAAATCAATATATCACAGTGCTTTGATTCAGGTAGATTAATTCTTTTAAAACATTTAAAGGTACACATCGGCGTTAGGTGTTTCCAAATTACATTGGCAGAGTTGGTGCAATCACGGAACATGTAATTACTGCAAAAAACAAAACAACAAACAATCAACAGATTTTCAATGTTTACTTACAATTGAGACGTATCTTTTGGTCTTAAGTGTTGTAAAATATCAATTTCAGAATATTTTAGTTGAGGATTTTGGGCTAGTCATTGTTTTTCTCAGTAAATTTATTTCAAAAGATGTTATCAACATGAATCTGAATAGTAAATCGTCAACTTCTGAATGTCTGAATACTTAGGCTGTAACGATTTCACTAAAATGTGACCTTGGTTAGGTACTCCTTCCTGTCCTGGAGTCAAGGAAATGTAGAACTTCAGGGCAACTGAAACTTTTTCTAACAAGACTATAAAATACAATTGTTCGGTCAAATAAGACCGACATTTTACTTAAGCTTAGCGTTCCAATTGCACTGCACACAAAAAACATACAGATAGAGAGAAAGAAAGTCACGTTGCTAGAATGGCTCTCAATAATTCATTAACCTGAGGCGAGGAGAAAATTCAGTTTGTTGACTGGATAAAGTTAGTTTGGTTGAAGACGTTTCGCAGCTCATCCAAGCTGCTTCTTCAGTTCTGGTCAGAATGCTGGTGAACATTTCCTTATATCTGCAGGGAGGAGCTAACTAACTGAAACTAACACACCTACTTGTTTACAGTTTGTGTTTTTTAGTTAGGCCTATTGACCTGTGCAGGGTGTGGTGTCTAATTAGCATAACAATTCATGGCCATAATGGAGCTTCCTCACCTCTGGACTTGAACTGGCTACACCTGTTGTTCTCTTGTTTTTGATTTGAACTGAAGAAGCAGCTTGGATGAGCTGCGAAACGTCTTCAGCCAAACTAACTTTTGTCCAGTCGACAAACAGAATTTTCTCCTCGCCATGGATTCTACCTGGATGACTGAGGGACCTCATTAACCTGAGGTGTATCCAATGGAAAATACAGAAAATAAGGCCCTCAGAGCTTTCAGGTCCGGTCCTTCTAAAGTATCAGTACCAGTAAATGGTTGTTTTTGCAAATTATTGAATGAATCATTTTCAGTAAGGTGCCCAGCACCTTCTTCTTGTGTTTTACATTATTACATAGTCTGTGGTTTGATGATTTGACATGTGTGAATTACTAGGGGTCTTCTTGGAAATATCTGGTGAAAATGTCATATAATGAAAATAACACCTTTTTAGAAGTATATCTGCTGGAAAAAAATAAATGTATGATTGTGATTGCCTATAAACATATATATATTATTTGCATGAATTTTCAGAGTGAAAATGTCAAAAAAACACCTACACTTACAGACAAAGTAAGTCCCACCAACCCTGTCCCATCTTCACAACTCATCTCATATGTGATATTTGTTTTTCCATATTTGCTTCACAATACAGTTTGAAGTGATTCTTAGTTTTCTGACTACACATCAATTCTTCTTAAATATTTATTTATTTAAGAAGATGGCACTAAAATATTTTTGATCAGGTTTGGCATTTGTGGATTTGTTCATATTTTTAAGAAAATTCAATAGAATGGAAAATGCAAATGATTAATAATGCTGTTTTCCTTTGTACTTTAAATGCTGTCTCTATATCACAATACCCTGATTGCAAGGTACAAGTAGGAAAATAATAGTTACATTTGAAAATATGTTTAAGGCTCTAATGAACATATAGTAAGTGGCACTTCATCTTGTCCGAAGCACCTTCGTCACTCCAAACTATAGAATTTATAAATCTTCATAAACTTCATGTTCTATTCCAGTTCCAGTTTTTTCAGTTCGATTTTGTTTGAAAAATGTCCCTTTTAAAACAAATTTGTCAATTGTAGTTCATAATATCTGTAATGTCGTTAGTCTCTGTAACACAGTTATGTACAAGATGCTCAGTTTATCTTTGCCTTGTTTCCATTCAAAGCCTGAAACTCCTCAGGATCCAGAGGAGACCGCGCGCCTCCAGCAGCTCCAGGCTGCTGCAGCTCAGTGGCAGCACGTGCAACAGCAGAGGGCTGGTTTACAATACCAGGCTCTCATGCAACAACATGAGAATCTTCAGAAGGTCCTTGAACAATATCAACAACTCATTCAACAACCTCCAAACCTCCAGGTTTGCATTATTGTCTTTTTTACCTAATGAAGAGAACGCACTATGCATTATAAAGGCTAATGTGGGAATGTGTTCTTTATGGCTCTACTTAGTAAGCTCACAAAGGTTGTTCCGTTACTTATATTACCACTTGTTTAAATATAATGCAGATGTGAATTGCAGACCATTTTAATATAAAATGTACTTCATAAAACAATGGTGTTTTTCATAAACAAATAATAATTTTTGTATTTTTATTTTACTAGACTATGTCGGCTGAAATGCAGTTGAGACATTATAAAACACAGCAGCAGAATTTTGTTCCAATGTATCAAGAGTGGGATCGAACCTTCATATTGTGGTATGAACAGTTCCAAAGCTATCCCCACAAAGACCAGCTTCAGGACTATGAAAGCCAATGGAAGCAATGGCAGCAGCAGATGAATGCCACAAACGCTCACATTCAGGAACGTGTAGCCACCCTAACTGCAATGGTTCCCTATGCTTCAGCTCAGTACAATAGTGGGACTGTCAGGCAGTATAACCCTGAGCCTGAACATGATCAGTCAAATCAGCAGTCGGTGAACCAAAATGCCACTGATTATCCTTCCACTTTTAAAAGTGCTGGAGGTTCAAGGTGAGTCTTGATTATTTACCTTACTGTCTTTTAAAAATCTTCCAACCCATGATAATTTAGAACCACCACACCGCAATTTTTGTTTTCTAGATTTGACCAAGCACAACAGGGATTTGAAGAAGCCTATGATGCTCCAGAGCAAAGTTTTGATGGTCCTTCCCGATTTGATGCTCCCCCAAGATTTGGCAGTCCAGCTTTTGATGGTACTCCAAGATTTGGTGGTCCACGGCAACGCTTTGATGGTCCTCAACAACGGTTTGACGGACCACAGCAACGTTTTGATGGGCCTCGACAACGTTTTGATGGGCCTCAGCAACGTTTCGATGGTCCTCGACAACGTTTTGATGGTCCACGGCAACGTTTCGATGGTCCTCGGCAACGATTTGATGGGCCTCAGAGATTTGATGGGCCACAGAGATTTGATGGGCCTCAGAGATTTGATGGGCCTCAGAGATTTGATGGGCCACAGCGCTTTGATGGGCCACAGCGCTTTGATGGACCTCAAAGGTTGGACCAGCTACGGCAGCGATTTGATGGTCCTCAAAGATTTGAGGCTCCAAGGCAACGATTTGATGGCCCATCAAGATTTGACCAGCCACCACGAGGCCCCCAACCTCAAATTAGTCCACAACAAAGACCACCTGCTCCTACACCTCGTCTACCCATACCACAGCAAGAAAAACAACTGGGTCCTCAAACAAAGCCTGGACCTGCTAGTAAACCACCCGTTGAGGAACCAAAGACTGATGACAAGGATAGTGCATCAAAATCAGATAATGACTTGACAGATGACAGCATGATTGGAAATGCAGGCTTTTTTGTTCAAAAAGATCCAATACCACAGACACAGAAAAAAGATGATATGTCCGCAGATGAAAAACCCAAACCTTCTGATGACAATTCTCCTGTATTAGAACATTCAGATGTGGCACCTAAATCTGTGGCACAAAATGCTCATAAAGATGAATTGCAGTCAAATCAATCAACCATATCGCAACAAGATTCCAAATTACCCAAGCCAGCCACACCAAAAGCAGATTCTTCAATGCCTTCAGTTGGAAGAGGTCATGGACAGCCCCAGGTACCCATTCGGGGTCGAGGCCGTGGGCAAATGGAGGATAGAACGTTAAGAGGACCAAACAGTTCATCATTTGAAAGGGACATGGATGATCAGCCTTATGATTATGGACAATCTGATGCAGAATTGGCCTTGCCTGAGGAGCCACAGGACTATCACTGGCAAGATCCTTCACACGTGGAGTTTCATGATAGTTCAGAACCAAGCAATGAAGAGTTGTGGATACGCGATGAGCAATACTACCCACCAGAAGAAGAATATTATGAAGACCCAGCGGATCATTATATGGGAAGAGGTGGGCACCCAAAAATGAGGGGAAGACCACCAATGCCAATGGGGAGAGGGGGGCCTCCCATGGGGATGGCTGGTCCTCCGATGGGCAGAGGACATCCGCCTTTCATGAGAGTAGGGCCCCCTATGGGTAGGGGAGGCCCTCCTGTGGGCAGGGGAGGTAGAGGGGGTCTACCAATGGGTAGAGGAGGTCCACCCATGGGTAGAGGAGGACCACCCATGGGTAGGGGGGGTCCACCCATGCCCAGGGGAGGTCCAGCGATGGTTCGGGCAGGCCCACCACGTGGTCGAGGGGGTCCACCTTTGAGTAGAGGAGGGAAACCAATAGGTAGAGGTGGCCAACAAGCTGGAACAGCCCACACAGAAAGCATTTGGGAGGATTCCGAGTTTGCAGAGTATTCACCAGAAGAAGACCAATACTGGGATGAATGGGGACCTCCTATGGGTTCGAGAGGTATGAGACCGCCATTTCCACCTGGGCGAGGTCGCCCACCTCGGGGACATCCACCCTTTACACAAGGCAGACCACCTCATCCAGCTCATAGACCAGTGGCTCCAGAGCATTATGACAGTGAATTCAGCTCCATGTATAATGACCCTCATGGACGTCCAATGCATCCTGAAGCAGGAAGAGGGAGGGCTCCACCACCACCCCCTCACGAAATTGGTCATCATCAGGAGGAGTGGTATGATGAAGAGGCAGAAAGGCAAATGGCATATGGCCATGGCCCTCCTCCCACTTCACATGAGATTATGGATAGAGATGAAATGAGGCGGCCTGTCGATCGTGAAATGGGTAGAGGCACATATCCTCCAGACAAAGAATATGAACAAGATTTAAAAGAGGGGTTTGTTGCAGATTATGGGCATGGAGAGAAACCATATCGCAGAGCATCTGATTATCCTCGAGATGTGTATGAATCACAGTGGGAAAGAGATGCCCCTCTGCCTGAGAGGAGATATCCATCTCGTTTGCTACCACCAGAGTTGTACAGGGATGACCCCTGGGCTGAAGAGAGAGATAGAGCTTACCCATATTCTCATGATGAGCGAGACCGGCCAAGAGGAGAACTTCGAATAAGGGAATATGGGGAAGAACCTCGTTATCGACAGGACGATCCCTCTTATTCTATTGCACGCACTCGACTATCCCCTCTTCCAGAAAGACATTATCCAGACTATGAACCTAGACCTGCTTATCAGGAAAACAGAGATTTGCCTTTAGAAAGACCAGCACCTGTTCTTGAGGCAGTTTCAAACTTACCAGAAAGCTCACTTGAACCGCCAACACAAGGAACTAGTGCTGGAGGTCTGCTGGCTCTTTCTCAAAGGCAACATGAGATCATCTTAAAAGCAGCTCAAGAACTTAAAATGATTAGGTAACTATATTAGTCTGTTCATTTCTTATCCTACTTTTAGCTAAGCTTTTGAATTTGCATGCCATTTTTTTCTCCAGGGAGTTGCAAGAAATAAAGCCGTCTAGTGTGGAACCCCAAACTGCTCCTATTGCTCCTGAGAGTTTACCTGAGCTTCCTGCTGGTCTTCTTGGTCTGGAGATTCCACCAGATATTAAAAATGTGTTAAAGGTATTTTTAAAGTTTGTGTAAGAAGGTAATTTACTAAAATGGTCCAACTAAACTGATACATTTTTTCACTCTCTCTCAGGGTATAGCTTCACAAACTACAACTAAAGAATCTCTGTCTGGAGATGGCATGCCTGCTACCACTGATTACCAACTATCGCTTCAAGCTCCAGTTCTCCCAAAGACTGTGGACTATGCACATGGACATGGTAAGATTAATGACACATAATGACTTACTGGAACCACTGTCTTTGTAATGTGAATATGTTGTTTCTTGGTTTGATACTTTTAGAACCTGGGGCTACTGTTGAGAAAATATCTTATGGTGAAAGGATAATTTTAAGACCAGATCCTTTGCCATCTGAAAGAGGCTATGAAAAAGGTACTTTTGACAAAATAAATACTGAATGTAGTTAGTAGTAGTAATAAATGACTTTGTTATACTACCTTTTTAATTGATTGATCATTTTCTGTGCATTTTGGATTCTAGAACCTCTTGGTTTGAGAGATCCTTACAGCAGAGACCTCTATGAAAGACGGGACACTTATTTGGACCGGCGAGAGTACAGCAGAGAGAGAGAGTACAGAGAAAAGTTACCTGAAAGAGAGAAATATGAGAGAGAGCGGTATACACCAAGAGATGACAGGTAACTTTATGCCAAATGGAAAACCCTTTTGTTTTATACTTCTGTTATATTGTTTCTTATTTGCTTTTTATTCAAGCACACAGTGTTTGACTGAAGAAAGGTATTGAATCACATTATGTAATGCACTGTAATAAATCACCTGTGTGTTGTTAGAATTTAGTATTTACTATAAAACCTTTTTTAAAGATCTGCAGTGCCACGCTCAGGATACAGGGAGAGGGAGCGAGAGAGGGATGTTCGAGATCGAGACCATAGTAGCAGTCGCGACCGTGAACATTATGGAAGATCTGACTACGACAGAGCACCTTACAAGCAATCCAGTCTGGAACGGGAGCGCTATAGCCATGGACCCTCTCCCCAGTGTATGTTCAGTTTGTTTATTGTAATACAGTTCAACCGACTATTATAGTGATACCATGGTATGTGTTAATTTCTTTTTTGACCGTCCTTAGAAAGCGTTAGTTTGACATATGTTAATTTGTGTGTCTATGCAACAGAATTATAGATAAATAAATATGAGATTATAAAATGCATAAAAAATGTCTATAAATATATGTACACTTAAGAGAGTAAGGAAATACAGAGTGAAAAGTCTAACAGTCAGTATTCACTTGTAAAATGTACAGTATTTTAGTATTTTATTGACTTTTCTAGTGGAACGAAGAAGCTATGAAGATCGAGTCCCTCCCCCTGCTCCATTGTTGCCATCTCCAGCACAGCCTTCAACTCGACTTGAAAAGAAACCAGAATTAAAGAACATTGATGATATTCTTAAAATGCCTGGGAGATTGTCTCGACCCGACAGGGTAATACTAAGTGGCTACGAATATGTATTATTGTATTGATCTGTATATAAACAGTATTCTTTTGTTTATCATTTTGCTCTGTCTTTGATAGATTGTCATCATAATGAGAGGTCTCCCGGGTAGTGGAAAAAGTCATGTTGCAAAGCTCATTAGAGTAAGTCAAACATTTAATGTTTAAATGTGTAAACATTCATGCTTTTTAGTAATTTATTTCTTCTGTGTTAAGGACAAAGAAGTCCATTGTGGAGGTGCACCACCACGGGTTATTGTTTTGGATGATTATTTCATGACGGAAGTTGAAAAAGTTGAAAAAGATCCTGATACTGGGAGGAGAGTTAAAACTAAGGCAAGTTCTGCAAATTGTTTCAATGAGAGGCTGCTTTGACACTTGAACAAACAATATTTATTGTGAGATTGTTTTCATCTTTAGGTTCTGGAATATGAGTATGAGCCAGAGATGGAAGAAATTTATCGGAGTAGCATGCTTAAAACCTTCAAGAAAACCTTAGACGATGGATTTTTTCCTTTCATAATATTAGACACAATTAATGACCGAGTGAAGCACTTTGACCAGTTCTGGAGTGCAGCAAAGACTAAAGGGTTTGAGGTGTGACTTGTGTTTTTATTCTTGTTTTTTCAGTTTTTGTCTTTTTTGCCAATTTGAGTCTTTGTTTTAAAGGTATATCTTGCTGAAATCACTGCTGATGTTCAGACATGTGCAAAGAGAAATGTCCATGGACGCAAACTGAAGGATATAACCAAGGTAAGTTTGAGGAGTTCCCAGTATTTAAAAAATATATTTTTTCATGACCTCTTAAAAAAATCTTTTCTGTTTTACAGATGGCCAGCAACTGGGAGCCATCTCCAGGTCATATGGTGTGTTTAGATATTCGTTCCATTCTGCAGGATGCTGCTATAGAGGAGGCAAGTTTTGCAAGATCTTAAGACCTTTTAGAATTTTTGTATTTGTACTGATTATGTCATTTGTTACAGGTGGAGATGGAAGATTTTAATCCTGATGATGAAGTTAAGCAACCCAAAAAGGAAGAGGAAGAGGAGAGTGATCAGGTAGGACCTGCATCCTCTATTTAATTACTGCTGTTTATTACACTGCTGTTGTAATTATAGAAAAAGAAAAAAGAAAATTTAGGCAAAAGTGTATAAAAGAAGGCATCTGAAATAATACACCTGACATGCCAATCAGATAATCCACTGTGGTGCCCTCAGGATTATGTAAATATGATGAAATATGAACTTGGCTTTTATAATCAAATTGATTGAAGGATTTTGGTCAGCTATAAATTAGCTATTTCCTTAGGCTATTTATATTATACAAGGCAAAAAATACAACCTCTTGTCTGCATTTTTAGTGAAAATTCTTTTGATCATATCAGATCATACAGTTATTACAGTATGAACAGTACATAAAGATTATGAAATACATTGAATGTTCCACAATGTGTTTTCTTGATAGAAAGCTAGCTAACCCACCCAGTTGACACATGGAACGTAGAGAGTGTAAAATTCTGATAGTTAGAGCTAAAACATCTAGTTGGAGATAGTCATAATCATTTTTTGTTTACATTTTTTTTTTTTTTTTTTTATACAACTACAACATTTCTTACCCTACAACAATTAAAACAGAATTATTATATTTGAATATTTGAAAAAGGACCATGTAGATTTATCAATAAAACATTTATTTACTATAGACCATAACTCAGGTTTTCAGTTTCAAACAGAGTTAATCTAAATATTCAATATTCATCATGGTATAACTCAGTATGCTCCAATCTGTTGCACCAAGTCCTCTTATGATTACATTCAGAAATTCCTCGTGCGAGACAGGACTGCGTCCTTCAAGGGCCAATGACACTCACCGGATCAAAGACTTTTATTACTGACAGCGCCATACCTTCCGCCGGCTTCCTTCGAGCAACCAGTGGATTGGTGTGCACTGACCTTAACTAACTCTGTGAACCTAACCTGGTTCAGAGCAGGTTTTATTCCTCTAACCCTGAGTTTAATCAGAGTCTGGTCCTGCAGAGGGAGCAGTCTGATTGTACATTTCATGTCCTCATTTACAGAAGTATGATGATTAATGATGAGGATTTTTTACAGTCAGCTCAGTTTCCTCTTTCATACATTTTATTTCATTTCATAATTACTCCGTGCTCCCAATATCTTTCTGACTTAATTAGCTATTTGCTTGACAGAAAACTGTTTTAATAAGTGAAGGTAATAATTTTATCAGTTTGATTTTAATGTCAAGTTAAATTCTGTTTTATGCTTACTATATTTGAAGTACAAATACAAATAGTAAGTGCTACCACAAATTATGGTGTGTGAAATTACAAAAGTTTTTAAATATTTAATGAGCTAAAGTACAAGTATGGTAACAATATAATGTGTGTTTAGGCATCATACTAACTATAAATTTAATTTATGTCACATCCCATATAATGTCAAACCTGAATATAACTTGACTAGAAGCACATGACCTCCTTCGTTTCTCTAAATGAAGGAGGTCATTCACACAATGTCTGTGTTTATGTTCATGTAACAAACATACATGAACATTTACAAAGACAGTGGCTCCCTCTTTTCTGCATCACTTGAGGAAAAACAAAAACACAACACTACCCACGCCAGTCCATCTTTCCCACAATCAGGGAATAATTTAGCTCCATAAAATCTTCTTTATAAAAGAAAAATAGATATTTATATAACTCCACTCATTTATATAACTATCAGACTCAGTGATCAAACTGTACTCCAAACCTACTGTGAGCTTTGAATTAGTTGAACCTGTTTTGTAAAATAGGGCCCCTGTCATGGGTAAAGGCTATGCCTGATATTATCTACAATGGCCACACAACTGTGTCATATTTTTGGAATTTCTTATTGCAATATTTCAGATTATTTCATATCTGTGTTTTTTTTTTTTGTCTTTTAACTTATTTGGAAACATTTTTGGAGGTAACCACAGGCATTTGGATAACCCATTGTGGAGATCCTTATTCCACATTTGAGATCACTGTTATTTAGACATAATATCCTAAAGCCTAAAATACACATGTTCACCTGACTGTACTTATTTACGTGAATACAGATCTGGTAATCTTCCACTGGAAATTTAGTGGTTGTATTTGGTTTGCAGACTCTGGTATGGAGAAATAGGCTGCAATACATATGTCAGCCACTGGAGGGCATCATAGCCTTTTGCCTTATGTTAAAATAGATAGGTGTAACACGTGTAAATTTTAGAGAAATGTTCTGAGATATCTGAACAGTTTGCCCATGTAGGCTTAACTGTGCAAGATGAGAATAAAAATAAAAAAAAGCACCTGGCGTTATTGTGAATTAATACAGTTTAAAACCATAAATTCTGAGGTACAAACTGCACTCTTGACAATATAAAACTTTATGCAAATTTTCTCTGATCTACAGTGTCTTGAATATTGCATCAAAAGCACAGTTTTTACATTTTGAGTATTTTGGAAAATATAAAATTATCCATAATGGAAAATTATGTTACTGAACTGCTTATTTATTTATTTTTGCACTTTGCTTGGACACGCTACTACAGTATTTCATATAACAAAATGTTTAACCAAAATTTTTCAAAAACAAACTGAGTTAGACACAAACCAACATGTTTAAGTCAAGCATATACATTTAATGTAAATGCATGTACGTGATCTGTTAGGGCTGGTCGATATGGATCAAAAAATATATCTCGATATATTTTGCTATATCTCGATATACGATATATATCTCGATATCTGTACAGGAAAAAATAACCCCCTAAAACTGCCAAATTCGACAAGGTCCTTTTTTTTTTATTATTAAAGTGTAAGAGGTAGGCAGTTCATATAGGAAGATTACAAAAAAAAAACTAATTACATAAATAATAATTTAACTGTAAAATGAAAGAAATAATACATATTTCCTTCTTTTCATTCATAAATAAAACAACTCAACACAAGCTCATCTTTGCATTAACTCTGTTATCCAGACCATAACCATAACCACGAGCTCCTTTAGCAGAGGAAGCTCAGGATGTTGGTTATTTTAACAGATCCATGTTCCTATCCAGTTGTAAAGAGCTATGAGGTTTCCCACAATCCACTGCAGATCAAACCCAACGTTTCCAAACACTATTGTACAAGTGACATTGCAGCAGATTATGAATTAAAATCTTCTGCATAAATAAACTTTACATGACTAAACTTTACAACATATAAAGCATAACGACTCTAGAGCCACATCAGCCCGTTTGAGATTATAATGTTTTTTTGTTTTGTTTTTTTGCAGTTTTGCGCAGACTTATTTACGTTTTACAGAAACAAAACTTAAAAAGCGCATGGCTAATTTGCATAAACAGCGCACTCCACGTGCCGCTCATGCGGTTCAACTTCTTTTGGACTGAAGGACATGACTCAGTGGAATATGAGATGTGCTGCCGATGGTCTTGTCTGTAAATGGTAGAAAAGTTTAGTGGCGCTAGAAGCTTTTCGCTGGCACCAACTTTCGGCATTCACGGCGATAGCGAGGAGTGAATGAGACACGAGCGAACAAAATCAGGGAAGCGGGGGCGCGCGGCGGCACGCACAGAGACAAACAACCAAAGAGGCGAAATCAGAATTGAATATAAGCATTATATCGATATATACGATATCTCAGAATTCATATCGAGTTTAAAAACTATCTCGATATATTTAAAATATCGAGATATCGCCCACCCCTATGATCTGTTTTAAAGAGATTATTAGGGAGCAAGATTTAAAGAAACCATAATATATGGCAAAGGAGAAATTCAATTTGTCAACTGGACAAAGTTTATTTGGTCGAATACCTTTCGCAGCTCATCTAAGCCACTTCTTCAGTTCTGGTCAGAATGCTGGTCCAAACATCAAATTCACTTGTGAAGATGCCATGAAGAACACATTGGCTTTCTTTGACTGTGCAGTAATGATAGAAGACCAGCGACTCCAGGTGGAGGTCTTCAGGCAGCCCACACACACGGACCAGTACCTGCTTTTTGATTCACCACCCACTGCAACACAAATGGAGTTATTTGGACACTACAGTGCAGGGCTCAGGTGGTGTCTACAAGCACAAAGGGAAAGGAGAAAGAAGAACAGCATGTGCAGAAAGTCCTCTCTGTTTGTGGATATCCAAAATGGGCTTTCATTAAAATAAAGAGAGCTAAAATCAAGACAATAGAGAATAAGAACCCAGAAGAAAGGGCGTGACTATTCCATACATAGCTGGTGTTTCTGAAAACGACAGTGGATTTTAAGACACAAAATTCCAGTCTGTTTCAAACCTACAAACACTTTAAGACACCCAGAGGACAAAACACCGAGCCACAAACAAAGCAATGTGGTCTACTCCAGTCAGTGTAGTGAAGACTGCAGTGAGCGCTACATTGGAGAAACAAAACTTCACAAGAGGACCAACATAGACGAGAGAGCAGCAGTGGTCCTCAGTCTCCGTAAATTTCCAACTAAAAGCCATCGCCCACTCCTTTGAGGACAGTGAGGTACAGATCTTATCAAGAGAAAATAATTGGTTTGAGAGGGAAGTTAAAGAAGCTATTTTTGTTAAGAAAGAGAATCTTTCTCTAAACAAAAATGGAGAACTCGGACATCATCTGTCTTCTATTTACAACTCCATCCTCAAACCTAAATCATGCTAATATGATGCCACACTGCATTTCAATAGGCCTAACTAACTAACAGAAACTGTGAACAAATAGATGTGTTAGTTTCATTGTAATTACCTCCTCCCTGCAGACAGATATAAGGAAGTACCCACCAGCATTCTGACCAGAACTGAAGAAGCAGCTTGGATGAGCTGCGAAATGTATTCAACCAGATAAACTTTGTTTTGAATTTGAATTTCCCCTTTGCCTTTCTACCTGGATGACTGAGGGATTTTTCACAAACCATAATGTACATGTTTAGGAGTTAGTAACTCAAACATAGTGGTAGACAGATAGTGCTGGTGTTCCAAATTAAACAGCTTCTATTTATCTCTATTGTTGTCGTTTGGGGACACTATGAGGAGTGTACACTCCAGGACAGCAGCATTGCTTATGTCATTACTAGAGCCCGACCAATATATCGGTTGGTCGATATTATCGGCCGATATGGGCAACTGGGGGTATATCGGCTATCGGCCGATATGCTTGCTGATAGGGGCCGATATTTCACGTGGGCATGTGATAGTTGTTAAAAATCTTAGACTCTCTACATTATGTTCATTTAATCCAATTTACAGACAGATAAATGTCTTAATATGTGGCTCCACATCAGTATTTATCTACGGAGTCATTTGTCTGTGTGTGTCTCTGTACTGTCCCTGAACACACCACAGAGTCGCGTCACTCACGTGTGTTTGTTTACACCCGCAGCGGTGCGCAACACTGAGATTATATTCTTTTTACGGACAATCGGTTTGAGTCTAGATTAAAAGGACATTTATTAGTGCAGACTTGTGATGTGAGGAGGAGCCTGTGTGAGCGGTGAGTGTTGGAAATATGTCGACTTTGAAGCTAGTTTTGGTCATTTGTTATGGGTTAGCTGCTGTAGCTCCCGCACATAAACAGGCTGTTTTCTATTGGTCTATTGTAAAGTGACTATATTGGCCGTATATTTGTTACTGGACCTGTATTGATATGTAAATGAGCTGTGAATAGACGTGTGAATTATGACATTTGCGCATATAATTAATTACCGCGGCGCGCACGTATTTACGGCTAAAGGCTAATAGCGCTAGTTTCTTTACTAGTTATGGGTCCGTCGCGAACGAAATGACTCTTAGAACCGACTCTTTGAAGGGAACGACGGGAGCCTGATCCTTATTGGGAGCCGTGTTTTCTCTTTCTCTCACTTTTTTTCTCTTCACGCCGCGTGCAGACTCGACAGCGGCAGCGGCTGAAAACGAAACTTTGAGAAATTTGCGTGTACATAGGATAAAAAATAAAAAATAAATTTAAAAAAAATAAATAAAAAATGAGCATATTTGGCTGTAGTTTAACATAAAATAAATAAGTCCGGGTTTAGTCCTTTTTCAGTCCTGGTTTAGACCTGGTTCAGTCCTGATTCAGTCCTGCTTTAGACGTGCTTTAGACCTGCTTGCAACAAAACAATCTGAAGAGCCACTTGGGAGCCAAAAGAACCAGCAGCTTTTAGTGAGCTGATCCAAAAGAGCCAGTTCTCTAAAAAGAACTAGAATACCCATCACTAGTGTCTAGAATGTGATGCAAAAATGCCATTAAGCCAACCTACTGTCTGTAAATATGATGTAAAGAGGCAGAATAACAATAAATGTTGCCTAAATAAACCCAATTTAAAATCCACCAGAGACAAACCTAAGTTTTTTAAACAATTCAACATTTACAGTGAATTTTTACATCACTAAATATATCTGCGATTATATCGGCTATCGGCAGCTCCAACTCCCATTATATCGGTTTCATATCGGCCACAGCAAAATCCATATCGGTCGGGCTCTAGTCTTTACATAGTGATTATTAAATGCATTTACAGTTTTATTATATACTTCAATATATAATGTTATACAGTATCAGTGGAAAATCACAAAATCTGTGTTCTTCATTGAACATGCTGTGACTGTTGCATATGACCGTGGTAAGTCTGTGACAGATTACTCATCATGAGTACCACCACAAGAAGCCACTAAATCTGCACGACTGGAATTAGGATAAGTGAGTTGAGTGAACCTAGTTTTGCCTAGAATTGGAAAGCTACATTTAAAAACATTGCGCCTTAGTTCTTCGTTGCTGGATTGATTCCCAACCATCCATGGCAGAAGAATGATTGGATGTACTGATACTTTGCAGCTGATAGCATCACACCCCCAGAGAATGCTGATGACAGCTCTGTATCAGGTGTTGTTAGACTTTGAAGTGAGCTTTATTTCATTACAATTTGACCGTAAAGACTTGACTTTGCTGTAACTACAACAGCTGAACTGATTTGTCCCATTAAACAAGCCCTTCTTAAATGGAATTACAGTAACATGTTACCTAGCATTAGCCAACAGCTGTTCAGTTAATGACTCACCTTTTTTGTTGAAAATCAAACAGGACCACGATGCTCGTTTTGGCTCCTTTAATATGCTGTTTAAATACATTTTGTATTTTTCTGGCAGTGTTTGCTAATGTGTGCATTGTGTCACCATGGTAACTGGTGAACATTCCATCACAGGCATACATGTAGTACACCCTCAATGTAATGTGACTGCTGTTACGACCCAGCTCGTTTGGGGTGAGGGAAGTAACAAAAATAAAACCAAGATGTAAAATGGAATAAATTAAGTAATGTTTAATTAACAGGAATGTAAAGGTAAATTAACAAAACACAAAAAATATACAGAAAACAACCTAAACTAAGAAACAGAACAACAGAATAAACAGCGTTTTGTGCCAGAAAAGGGGTCACGCAGGCTTACACAAAAACGAGTGGTAAAACTTAGGGACACACACTAAACTAAACACAAGTTCCCCAAATTAAACCACATAAGCCCACAAACAGAATCGAGTGACCAAGGCAAAAAAGGCACAAAACAGAACTACACTAACACACAAGCACAAAACCAAAATGGCATACTGGCCACCAAGGCCAGCAGCCCCGAACAGGTGCTGGCAATCTCCTTAAATAGGGGGAGGTGGCTGCAGGTGAGTTGGGCGTCGACTTGCCCCACCAATCACGGACCAAGATTCCTGCAGCAGGAATTAGGAGAAGTTCACAAAAATCACACAGCGAATTAAACCTAAGGCCTGGGGCCGTAACACTGCAAAGTATCAATACCATAACCACTGTTAGAGGGGATTCTTAGTTGTATCTAAAATGAGAACTGATGTAATATGATTTATTGCAGCTGATGTCTTGGACAGGGACATTCTGTGAACACATCAATTCAAAGCACCTTTGTAAGATATAAATATCTCTGAACATGAAGCAAAGTTACTGTATAGTCCATAAAGTGGTTTTACTGTTTGTCTTTTGTTGTCACCATGTTCTTTATTTCAGCTATAGCTTTCCTCCCTGTTCTTCCTGTCCCAGTGACACCTGGAGATTTAACTCTACAGTCTTTTTTATGCAATATAGGGCTACCTACCGAAAAGCAAATGGGAGATGGACACATCTGAAGCAAAACTCGGTATGTCTCACCTGTTTTATGTGTTACACAAAATACTTTGTAGAATGATGATCATATTGTTCATCATGTTGTATACTTTTAATTAAGACTTAATCACAGAATGAAAATGGCAGTGTGAATAGTTAAAACTGGCAAATTCCAAAGGCGAACAACTCAGGGTGGTGGTCTTCATGCAGTGTGAAGTATCTGCTAACCCACCCTGTACTTTAGACCTCCACAAACCCAAACCATGAGACATGGTAACAGTTCAATTCTCTCAAATGTTAATGCTATTAGATGTGTTTAAAACTGTGCACTATGAATTCATCCTTAAAAATGAAATTTCATTCACAGTGCAAAAACTATATTGGGAATATTAGTTTTATCAAGTCTAACAGTTCTATTTGTGTTAATCTTATTTTTCTATTCTAAATGTATAGAATAGAGTTGAGGCTGAACTGGCTCATCTATCACTGTGCACATGTGCTACTACAACTGTTGAAATCAAGAACTGTACTATCCTGTTACATTAGTGTGTGCCATTAGTTTAATTTATCAGTTGACATTGACCTTTCATTACTGTACTAATAAAAAAAATCCACTTAGAGACAAGGATTCCTATTAGTTAAACCTTATGCACATCATAGCAAATGTCGTCATAGTTAAAAAATCTCATCCTGGGCAATAGGAAGGTGTTATATATAAATAAAGCCAACTTCAGTCTCTTTGGCATTAAATAATGATAGTATTTATTTTGAACAGACCGGTTGGATGGTCTAAGCATCAGCGGGAAGAGGAAACGTGATGGTGACCATGCTGGGTTAGAGGACTTCCTCCAGCTTCCTGACGACTATGCCACACGTCGCTCCCAACCAGGGAAGAAGAGGGTAAACATGCTTGGCAAATATGTCCTTCCAACTATCTCTATCATTTTAACTTCTTATATTTAACCTGAAAACCTTTGCCTTCGTCTCTCAGGTGCGATGGGCAGATTTGGAGGAGCAGAAGAATGCAGATCTGAAACGAGCGATTGGTTTTGTGGTTGGTCAAACGGACTGGGAGCGGATAACAGATGACAGTGGGCAGCTGGCACAAAAAGCGCTCAACCGCACAAAGTATTTCTGAAGAGGGCATCTTTTATCAACTCATCTAATGGTAAGCTCTTCATTTTTGATAAAAGCGTGAGTTATTAATTAATATTTAAAAAATAAGAGCATATTCAACATTCATCATAAATATAAAAATGTGTTTGATTTGTAAGCCTGCTGGTTAGTGTTAGTTGTTACGGTTAAAATTATGAATTGCATTTTGTCTATTCGTTTTTCATATTTATGAAATAGTTTGAATACGGTTTAATTAAATTCTCAATGTAGTTGATGTTGACTATTATTTCTGTGGTGATCTGTGATTCTGTGATCTGTGGTGTTTGTATTTGTCTGTCTCAGCTAATGACTTTCCATTTTATTTTAGTTCATGTGATGACATTGAAGCTGCCTTCTCCTGACGCTTACTGTACCCAGTGATTGTTTCTTTAGCCAGAATTAAATTTAGTTTTTTAATGTCTCTATCATATAAACTCATTATGTTCATTTCATTATTTGTATTAAGTTTTTTGCTGTTTTATATATTTCATGCCCTCAATTGTGTTTCTGTAGCAATGTCTCTTAAAAATGTATACTTGAAAAGACAATAAAGGCTACACAATTATGAAACTTGTACATTGTAATTCCACTGCCTTTTAATGCGTTATTATTTAAATGAGATGCATTAGAAACCTGTCTATCAGATCGTTACTTTACATTTTCATTGTAAACTGCAACATTGATCAAATTCCTTTGACTTTGTGTTTAAAACTGCAGAACTGATTTTTGCTGGTCCGCCTCAGTCATTTCACTGTATCACTTTTGTGAAAGTCAATATACAACATATTTTTAATGTATTTATTAAAACATCTGTAAATGCAGATTCATGAGTGGGGATGAGTGATCTGTAAAAGCTAAAATTATCTGAACACTCATCCACAAAGCTCTAAAGCAGGGGTCATCAAACTAAGGCCCGACTTTGGTCCACCGTGCCCCTTTGACTGGCTCCCCACCCCCTCTGCCCCCCACCACTTGAACCGGGTCTATGAGGTAATCGTCAAAAGTTGTCATGGCCTATTTTTTTAATGACTTTTTGACAAATAACACGTCTGCACCTTGTATTTTGTTGATTTTTTTTCCAATAAAAACAATATTTATATAGTTATATGATGTATTTACTTTTGCTGCTGAATTTGCCTTCGAATTTTCATCACCTGACAAGCTTGATATCAAACAGTGACCATCAACACACGTGCAGAGTCCTGTAGCGCAGTTAAGGACAGCAAACTGGCAAGTATTTAAGAACAAAAAGTTGACCGAGAGGACTGAGTTTTCAAAGAACAATAGACGATAGATAATTTTTTTGTGCAGTGTGAGGACTGCATTTTGTCTGATATGTAAAAATGTTGCGGTTTTCAAAGAATATAATCTGTGTCAGGGTCATACAATTCTGTTATATGGCCTACCCGACCCCACCCCGGCCCCCCCCCCCCCATCAGTCAGAAGGGATAATATGACCCCCAGAGAAAAAAAAGTTTACTGACCCCTGCTCTAAAGTAATACAGGAGTACTTAAACATGCATGAATCATTTAAAAATAGTGAGATGGTTCAGTGCAGTGTAAGATGACTAACTGAGATAATACTGGCAAAAATATTTATTGTGATTAGATTTTTTAAATTTAAATGGCAAATATAACAAGGCCTGGTGAGACTCAATTCAGTCTGGAATCTGAGATCTCAACCACTCCTTCCACTGGTGGCATTCCATTTTGGACATTACATTTGAGATTCATCCAGATGAATCCTTCTTGGTGCTATTTGCATTACATTTTTAGATTTAAAGGTGGCAAAATAATTCATTATCATAACAGTATACTTTGCTGATCTTGGCTCGGAACAATTTTGGTGACTAAACATTTTTGCAAATCGACATCTTGACCAGCTTTTTGCATTAACATGCATTTACTCATCTTCTGTCCAATCATACCATAGTAATATTAATTACTTAAAGATGCACAATGTAACTTTCCTAGTAAAGTGTCTGTAGCTACTTGTATACATGGATATTTTATTGTCTTGTCTAGAATGCTCCTCAATATGGCATCAAACTTATCTGTATGGAGACCAGCAGCGGACAGCACCAGACCAAGTTACAAGTCAGAGCTTTGGCACAGTGACCCCACTCAGTTATGAGTATTTTTGAGTTGTAAAAATACCTGTAATTTATTGAAAGTGTAATAGGTTTAATGCCATTCTGTGGGACATTTCTGACAAAGCAATATTATCACCATGGACATAAACCGGTGGATTTACCAGAAAAGTTCTATGGCGCACACATAAACATTGCATTTGTATTGTAAACTTTGCCTCATTTATTGCTTATCCTGCTTTTCTACTTCATCGTACACTTAAATATTAGAAATAACAGTCTCATTTTCTGTTTCTTTTCTGGCCTTTTAAAAATACTCCATCACATAGCACTCGTGGTGTTCATTGTATTTATTTTAAATGTATATTGCTTGAAAGATAATTTGGCCCTGATCTGAGTGCATAGACATGCCTCTGTTGGGTGCAGGGAATGAATCTCTTCAAGGACAAAAAAAGATCTTTGAGCATCAAGAAGCATTTTGTTGAGAAGAGAATTTGAGCGCTGAGAAGATCAGAGCAAGTCCTGTGCAAACACAAAGGAGCATTTCCTCAAGTGAAGATGGCCTAAATAGACACAAACACAAGTGATGCTTGAATGTAATTGTTCTTGAGCTGTTAGACTGCTCACCAGAAGACAAGATGTGTGCATGCAACATCACAAGATATAACTCAAGACTGCAGTAAACAAACTCATTTGGATACTTGACTGGAGTCATCCTTTTTGTAGGTATTAGCATTGCAAGTGTATTTCATTATATTTGTACAATTAACATGCATATCTTTGTAGCTAAAAAAAACTCTTGATTTTATTACAGATAAAATTTGACTTGAATGTCATAAGTGTATTCTTGTTTTTCAGTGTATTTTCATTCTTTGTAATTGCACAACCAAATAAATATTCGAAGTTCAAATTCCACAGGAGGGTATGAACAGTTTCTATGCCGTGCTTCTTTGACATCTGATCTGTGGTAGCTGCTTATTGTCCTGGATACGTGTGTGTGTGTCATAAACTCTATATAGTCTGTGTTGTGTGTATCATGGGGCTTCTTTGTCCAACTATTTCCAAAAATGCTACTGAAGGTTTCTTGGGTGGCTAACCATGATTTATTTATAAAAGGGAAAAAAAACACTTAATTTAATCTTGTAAAGATACATGTTGCTTTTTTTTCCACTTACCTGACAGAATGCATAAGCTCCCTGTGCCTCATAGGAGGCTGGCCATCTCATTCACCTAAGAGTCGACATGAAGAATATTTCAGTTTTAACTGTTGGCTTTGTGTCATTTGTAGGCCTCCACTCTAAGAGTCATAATGACTGGCACATAGACCTGGTCCTCATGCAAATCACAATGTTAGAAGTAAAACGTGGTCATTATTTTTTTCTAATCAATTTGTGTTTGTTCCCTATTGATTATTGTTTTTTGTAATATTAATACTTGAAAATTTGAGCTGATAAAATTATGGAGCCTATAAACACTGACTTCCTTTGTGAGCCTATTTTGTTACTCTTGTTTTTACACCTCTAGTCTACTACGCTGAGACGTTATTTGTTATTTGTGCATTATTATTTTACACATCTCGCTCCTACTGGCACGGTGGTCTTTTTAGGCAAACTAATTCAAAATGAAGTGCGCTGGAACATCACTGTCCAGTTTACTGATGACCCTGTAGATGGCTTTTTTCCAGGATGGGTCTTGATCCTTCCCCAGACAAATGGCAACGTAAAACTCTCTCAGCGTAATCTCAGCAACTTCAAGGAACCTGTCAGGCACCTGTCGACACAGGCGGGTGACATGGCGTTAGTCATAGGCTCTGGAGAAACAGGTGAGTATGAAGGAAATGTGAACAACAGATTTATTTTTTAACTAAATGTGCAGGTGGATTTACTCTGATGTACTTATCTCACAAGTGTCAACAAGAAGACTTCACTGTTTTGTCTTTAGTTTTATAATTGAAAAGTTTAATTTAACAAGTCTGTTTTTCTTATGCTGTCAGGAGCATTGTTTCTTGTAAATAAACATCCTAAGGCATATAACTTTAGTGCTTTGACATTAATAAAGAGAATATGGACACTCTACTTGCAGACCAGTCCTCTTGTTCTCAGGTGAAAATGTGTATATTTTTACTTACATATTTATATTCATTTTTTATTTGTACCGTTTTGAGTATAAGATGGAATACTTTTTACTATTTTAAAACAGTTTCAAAATCATGCTGTATTCTGGGGAGTGTAGTTGGGACTTTTTTCTTTCTTTTTTTTTGTGAATTAATAATTTCTAACTCACACATGAAATTGTCTTCTACATTTGTGGTTCACCTGAAAGACTTTATATGGCAAAATGTATTTACCCTCTTAATTTACTTTTTAAGAACAATATTCATAACATATTTAAAGCTAGCAAACATTTAGCTTTCACAGATGACAGAAATGGCACTGATTTTCTACCCTTTTGAGTAAAATGGGTAGAACAACTTTTGGAGGTTATCATAGTAATGTTTGTGCTGTTTAATAACTGAGAATGTGGGAGATAATATATGTAGAATAATCATAACCTACTTTACGGATTTTTTGCTTCTATCTGGTTATTTGTAGGTGAACTACTGAATGCATACTTTTACACTGTCTCTTGATGAGAATATAACATTTACTTGAAATTAATTAAAAGCATTTAAGTGAATTTAGGACTTATACATTTAATTGAAAATCCCAATGTATTTTTTTTTTTTGAGTGGATAATAAATTGCAGCCAAAGCCATAAATCAGCAATTCTTTGTGTATATATCTCTTGTTTATGGAGTGTATTGAATCAAAATACTGATACAATTTTATTTTTTTAATCAGTATCAGTGCTGCTTGACCTTTTTATAATTTTACTCAGATTCACTGTAAATCACATACAAACATGTATTTTAATATACCTGTCTCTATATTAAAATCATTGAATATATATACAGACATGTGTATGTATGTGTATATATATATATAAATATATAAAAATATAGCATTAGTTTTGGGCAAATAATTCCTTCTTGATTTGAAGGGTTTTGTGCTGACCTTACTCTGTTCAGAATATATATATTTTTTATTTAAATGAGTTAATTGCTGTGGTGACAGAGGATCCTAACCCATGAGCAGCTTGTTCATTCTTGATTAGTTGTTATCTTCTGTGCATTTACCTGGAAGTCGGTGGTCTTGTTGTAGTGCAGGTTCAGGACTCTGAAAAGCTCTGATTCTCTGCCCACAGTTAGCACCTCGCCATCAGTCACCCTCTGAAGGACGGCATGCCTCGCAAACTTCTCCATCTGGATGTAGAAGAACTCCCTGAAGTTACTAAACCACTTGATCAGCTGGGAAGTGACGCAGCGAGTAAACTGGTCAGTGAAACAAATAAATAACAAAGGTAAGTTAAAACAAATTTAGTCTGATTTTTAAATGCAAATAAATCTAATTTTCACCAAACTGTTGTGTTGTTCTTATTGTGAGTTGATTAGTAATTATTATTTAAATTTATTTATTATATGATCTAATTTTTATTATCAATCACTGACCGAATGCCTTTCTTTTGGCGTCTCACCTGTACATCACTGAAACACATCTTCAGCACATGGGAGCTTGGGTAGCGGGTGTAAAAGAACATGAGCTTTGCTTTCTTCAGATGGTTTGTTGTCAGTCCCTCCTAAATGTAGTGATTGTTAAGGGAAATAAACAAACCACAATAAAGCGTTAAATATACAGTGGTGGAAAGTAACAAAGCACAAAACTACAATTGCTGTACTTAAGTACAACATTTAGGCATTTGTACCTACATTTACAAGCAGGTATTTGTACTTTCTATTCCACTACATTTTTGAGCTGATGGAAATTTTTTGTTTATTTTTTCTTAGTTTGAGACATGCTGAAATGTCTGAGGAGTTTGTTTAGCATGTTCATAGTTGAGCAAACAAAAATATACAAATAAACAATAAACTGCAACATGAAATTCCGGAAATAGATTCAGTTCTTTCTGTTGAAAAAGAATTGTGCTGATTTTTACTTTTTCCTCAAAGTATATTTTAAACAGGTGTTTCAGTGCTTTTACTTAAAATTTTTTGCTCATATCTGCACTTTTACTTTAACACATTACATTTCCACCACTGCAAATGTAGACTTTAAACCAATGAAAAGCATTACTGGATAAGAGAATTGTAAACTTTACAGATGTTTCATATTGTATGTTAGGGGATGGGGTGTTTTGGGTAGCAAGTGTTAGAAAAGTTTTTTTTTTAAAAAAAAGCTGTAATTACATTCAGAAAAGACAAAAAGAGTATATCAAAGTTTCACTGAAATGGCAGCTTTTAAGGAGACATCAACTCTACAGTATAGGCATCTATTACTATTAGTATTTACATTCTGACTTATTCACCATATTTACAATATTAAAGGATACATTGCTGATGCTGGCGTACATGTTCTTCAAGCTGCTAGACTCCCCAAGATGCCTCACACGAGAAACAGGTAAACTTTTCAAAATTGCGTGATTCATTGTGTACAAACTTTTTTCTTCTCTGGAGTTGGTTTTTGACTTTTCTTTCAGAGCATACCAAGACCTGTCAATCATTTTGCTTTGCCCCTTTTCAAAATCTCTTTTCTGTAGACTTTTGGATGACTTTTTACGAAGTTTCATCTCAGAATCACCAGTACTGTCTTGTGAGATAGGGACAGATTTATCCTTTCGTACTACAAGAGAAATTGCTTCAGTTTGAAATGCAGGGACTGGCACAGGTCTCATCTCACTGGATGAAGGAGAGGAGTAGTAGTATGGCTGATATAAAGGAGGTTTCTTGCTCTCTTGTTTGGTCTGTGCCTTGAAAATGGTGTCCACACCTGTACTCAGAGCTTTGGAAAGTTCACATTTTAACACATCTGCCATATATTTGATACTCTCAGTACTGCGTTGAGAGTGGTTAAGTTGTTGTACCCCATGAGGCATATCCAGAGATGTATTCTGTGAGAAGTTTTTACCCATAATTTTGCTTTCTTCACAGTTAACTTGAACCTGTTTGCAATGCTGATATGGGTTCTGAAGTTGGTGTATTCTGAACATCTCCATTTGATAGGGATATAAAGTTGTACTCTTGCTTCTGCTTTCTGGTAAGACCTCTTGTGAATTTGCTTCTGAGCCATTCATGCTTTTAATGATGTTTTCCACCCTGGCTCGTTTGGCTTCACGACCTAAGTTTTGTAAGGGGAAGTGCAGTAGGTTTAAACTTGCTTCGCCCTGACTGAAGTACAGGTCTGGTGCATCTACACCAGAACCCAGATGAAATGAAGACACTTGATCTGCAGTACATCCATCCAGAAAGAAGTCTGAACAATACAAGCCTTTGCTCCAAGTGTTGGGAATCATTGCTACAACATGGAAAGAGCAAGGTGAGTTTTACATAAATCAATCCACAATTATTTTTTTTTTTTTGGAAGTTGAATAAATGTAATGGCATTTAAATAAGATGAATAAAGGACTTTTTCTGCCAAAGCTGCAAAGACCAAATATTGTGTGTACACATATATCAGCCTATATAATTACCACTGCCTAAAATAATATTGTAATAAATGCTCCTACCTGTTTGAGGTTGGCCCAGCTGCAGCTCTGTAACAAGCAGAAATAGTGGGTTTAAATATCTGTTCTGTTAATGAAGCATCCCTTTCCTATCAAAGAGCAGGGGGCGTGGACAGCTCCCATCCCACCCTGGACCAGAATACACGTACACGTAATGCGTGTCATAATTGTCATAATTATGCATTTTCTCTTCTTGTGTTAATAAGATATTGTAAGTGCACATCAACAATAAGGATCAATAGCTAGGCCTTTCGGGCCAGACAGAAGCTTTTGCATGAGAACGTTTCTTTTGACCTGTACATCTACATATTGGAACTAGAATAATTTTATGTACTCTTTTTGAGAACTATATCTCTTTTGGTTTTGTTATCTGTAGTCTCTACAATATAATACAGTGTATTACGTTTGTTTCAATAACTAACGTATTCAACCTTACAGTATCGTGTGACACCAAACTGATTTATAATATGACTTTATTTTAAACTAGATCCATGCACGGGACCCCCCTACACAAGACTGGTTCCTCCCTCTCCCTCTCTGTCCCCTCTCGGCTTCCGTAATCGCCGCTCCCATTGCCGCTGCTAAAAGCCGCACAGCCCGTGAACGATGCTCTCACGCTCCCGGTGTGTGTTCAGGACTCTCGGCCGCTCTTTGTCAGCAGTGAACCAGGTGGGCTTTAGTGTCATGTGTGGAAGGACGGGGACGGCTATTTTACTTGTGATCCTATAACCTAATTAGTATTAGTTGATAATAGCTAGTGTCGCTCGGCCTCAGTCATATGCCAAGGGCAGATTACTGCTTCTCAACTAGTTTATCCTCATTGTGGCAAGAGACATTTCTCTTCATAATAACACCAACATGAAGATCAGTAGCTGAAGTAACTAACTTTTATTTCTGTCGTAAAAGTAAATAGATTCATGCACGTCACATGTGTGGTCTTGTTTTGGTTAATGACAGTTCAGCTGACCTGAACCAAAATAGCTTGTGTCATTTTAGACATGAATGTCCAGTGACCTGCTGTGTCAACTTAAGTTCAAATGGTCTTGCAGGATTTACAAATCTTTTCAGGAGAATTCTTTCACATTTCAAGGTGACTTTTTGCTGGGAATGATTTGGTGCATTTTTTGCCATCAGTTTTACATTGCGGTCATGTCTAAGAAGAAAAATTCCAACCCTGATATGATTCACACAGCAGCATGTTCTCTGCTGTACTGCTGTGTCCTGATTCTTCATCGGTTTTCTCTTTGTTTACTCTCAGGCTAATAATGTGTTGGTTCGGAGTGCATCAGGTGAGTTTCAACACATTTAGTTTTTGTGCTGTGTTTTTATAACCCATTGTTTTGTTTTATATTCATGCTAGTATACAGGAGCACACAACTGTAAGTGCTTTCATTATTTATAAAAAAAAAAAAAAAAATTTATGGTGTGTAATTTACATCCATTTCCTTTTTTATAGATGTGAATATCCATCTGCTGCACGTGTCCCTCAACTCCGATCTTTCAGGACCTCAGCAGTTCACAGTACGTGTATTTGATCCACTCACAGATGTGTGCTTAATCATCACTGACTTTTATATCTTTTTGAGAAGAGGATGAAGTTGTTGTGGTCAAAACTCCTGCTTTTGCTGAGTCTGTTTCAGAAGGAGACGTTAGATGGGAGAAAGGTACGTAACTTACTTAATCTTGTCTGTAATGACCCAAAAGTGAACAAAATATAACTTTTATTTCTATGGTTTTAAGCTGTTGGGGATTCTGTGACCGAAGATGAAGTTGTGTGTGAGATTGAAACTGACAAGGTACAAGAAATTTAAAATATTATATAAAAATCTACTGTATGACTAATATACATTATACATTTTTCTGTTGTGGAACCAGACATCAGTGCAGGTCCCATCTCCTGCTGCGGGAGTAATAGAGGAACTGCTGGTTCCTGATGGAGGGAAGGTAGAAGGAGGAACACCACTCTTCAAGCTCAGAAAAGGAGGTTAGCTTCTGCTCATAACTGTTTTAGACACAAAGATGGCTGTACAATGTACAAAATAACAATATGACGTGTTTCCTTTCAGCTGCTGCAGCCAAAGCTGTTCCTTCTCCTGTAGCAGAGGCTCCTGCCCCATCTTCACCTCACCCGACTCCAGCCCCTGCACCACCTCCCCCTGTCCCACCTGTGTCCCCGCCACCAGCTCAAGCCAAACCAGGTTTGTTATCAATACATCTTGTCTTTTTCAAAGTACAATCAATACAATATTATTGTTTAATTATGTTTTTCCATTTGGCCCATTGTTCAGTGGCAGCAATGAAGCCCACAGCTACTTCCCCAGCAGCAGCTCCTCAAACAGCAGGAGGCAGAGGAGAGAGCAGGGTAGCACTAAAATGCCCATGTAAATACACATTTATCATGACACATAAATGCTCTCATGGATAATGTTGTCTTTTGCTGTACAGGTGAAAATGAACCGCATGCGGCTCAGGATTGCAGAGAGACTGAAGGAGGCTCAGAACACGTGTGCAATGTTAACCACCTTCAATGAAGTGGACATGAGGTGAGCAGATGTAAATATGATCTGAGATTTTCAGTCATTTCAGACACTTAGATATTCTTGAACTTTCAGCAACATACAAGAGATGAGAAACCTCCATAAGGATGCCTTCCTAAAGAAACACAACATTAAACTGGGTTTTATGTCTGCTTTTGTGAAAGCTGCGGCTCATGCTCTGACAGACCAGCCTGCTGTTAATGCTGGTGAAGTTATATAAAATTGTCAAAATAACATTTACATTAATAATATGTAAACAGTGTATTATTTTAAATTCTTTTAGTTATTGATGATACCACCAAAGAGATTGTGTACAGGGAATATGTAGACATCAGCGTTGCTGTCGCAACACCAAAGGTATGACTTTTGTTTAGTTTTACTTTAATATCAGACTTTAATCTGAAGATCATTTTAGGGGCTTGTGGTCCCAGTGATTCGGAATGTTGAGGCCATGAACTTTGCCGACATTGAGAAAGCCATCAGCGCTCTGGGCGAGAAGGTAGAATCTTTATTCTTAGTTTACCCACTCTTCTGACAGTCTTGGTCATTTTCACTTTTGTGTGTTATGAAGGCTCGTAAGAATGAGTTGGCTGTTGAAGACATGGATGGAGGGACATTTACTATCAGTAATGGGGGTGTGTTTGGGTCTATGTTTGGGACACCCATCATTAACCCTCCTCAGTCTGCCATATTGGGTATGCATGGCATCTTTGACCGACCAGTTGCCGTTAAGGGCAAAGTAAGGGGGTACCTTTAATTAGTTCTAAAATGTACAATATTACTATTACAAAATTGTTAACTGCATTTGCAGGTTGAGATTCGGCCAATGATGTATGTGGCTCTGACTTACGACCACCGCCTGGTGGATGGAAGGGAGGCTGTCACTTTCCTGAGGAAGATCAAATCTGTTGTAGAAGACCCACGTGTGCTGCTCCTCGATATGTAACTGGGCATTTGAACTCATCTGCCCATAAAACCACCAAGACTTGAAAACTTCACAAAGTCGCCTAAAAGTAGTTTCATTCGGACTGACTATTCAGACGTTATGGTTCTTAGTGCGTCTTAGACATACATGTCAACTATGTATATCCATTTTTTTTTTTTTTTTTTACTACTTTTATTTATATTTTGTTTTGGTTTTAAAATCTCACTTGTGGTTAAAAGTGTACTCTTAACTGATCTTTTTTATAATGATGCACAACATCATGTAGTTATTCTGCTGGGGCCCATATTTAGTGCGCACAATAAAGCTGTTCTGTTGCTTGAGCAGATTTTCCATTTTCACAAACAATACGCTATTTAAAGAACTAATTTTAAACAAAAAACACTTATTGATTATTTATTTGTGTGCCATATCTTTAGTTCTGTAACATTTGTGCAGGAATTAAAGGGTTTGGATTGTACAGCAAAAGGCAATAACAAAAAAAACCAAAAACATTTTATCTTTTGCCAACTTTTTCTTGAATAATTGTCCAGTTAAAGTCTGCCCAAGCTTGATGTTCAAAGCTTCATTACCCAGCAGCCCTTAGTGCTATGGCTCTTGAGATGCCCTCCATAATGGGATGATCTGGGCCCAAGTCTTGAGGGTTGCTTTGGCTCTTCTCTCCCTCTTCATAAGCACACGCTCGAGTGTGTGCAGCTGTGCACGATGCCCCTTCAGCATGTCTGTTTACTTTCATAATCACAAGAGGACAATTGCTTCTAATGTACGTCTTTGTTTCTTTGCCAGCACCTACACAAATGTCTAAACCACTGTTTGCAAAAAACACAGTGTTCATTATGAGAGAACCAAAGCCACATATTTACATGAGAACACTGGAGCTTTAATGGGCCTGGATGCAACTCACAATGATTGGATGGTTGCTTTAATTTAATTATTTACTTGTATTACATCTCAAGATTCCATTATCGCTTTCAAATCATGCTAATTGCCACAGTGTACCAGCGGGACCATCGATATCTCAAGGGCTTGTTGGCAGGTTTTTGGCCTTGCTTTTACATCTTGGCTTTATAACTGAATTTGCAATTTGACTGCTCAACAAGATGTGTGTTTAGTCTGTTGGGTAAAAGATGGCCCATTAGTGATCGGTAACTATTTTTATTTTGCCACATCTAAAGGATTATTTACCCAAATTATTCCCCTTTTGTCTTTTTAATTTTAATAAGCTTATATTTTATACAAAAGTATTATGTATAATAAAGTAAAAGTATAATTTCTTTTTATTCTCAGTTCTAAACCAACACGACAGTTCAAAAACAGCCTTATGTCTTTTTAAAAACAGAATCTTGTTCTTGAAGGATGTCAAATTCAATATTGCAATGTTATCAAAGTTATAGGATATATAAATGTTGGCAGGTCCAAGTATCATCAACACACATTGAGATTCACAGTCTAGATCATAATGACCATTCTAAGTGAATATATTTTAAAGTCATCTGTCTGACATACATCCTTTTCAAATTAGAAAATTTTTTTCCCTGCTGTAACAGCAACACCACTACAATGCCGTTTTTGTCCTTCTGTCCCATCACAAGATGCCAGCTCCACAGAAAAGCATTGCTATTGATTCATAATAAATGAACAATGAGCGAACTCGCCCTCTTGATCATACACCGGCAGCCTGTATAAGTAATGCTGCATATGCACATATTTATATGTGTGCTTTTTCTTTTTGCAGGCTACTGTTTTTCATTCACTACAAACTAATGAGGCAACAACAGCCTGCATCTGGGCCTATTCTGTTCCTCATTGGGCCTTTGATATCAATGCCAGTTCTGCTTTTCTTGCTTCTATCCTGTTGTCATACCTGAAGATTATTTGGTGGGACTGAATGAGACTGGAGCTCATGACTCAGAAGCACAGCAGCTGGCAGCTGGTTGGTGTCAGGGGTTCAAGTATGGACCCTGAACAAGAGCATAATAACTGAAGAATGAATAATTCCACAGATATGATATAGTGTGTGAAATACAGCATTTTATTTGTTACAATGGCATATCAGCAAACTGGCTGCAAAATAAAAAGAGAGATAATATAAACTATTTACAATATAGTGAGAACAATGTGACAGGATTATCAATTACCTGTAACTGATAGTGGCTGTGCATTGGCTGTCAAACTTTCTAACTAACCATTCAATTTGATTTCGATCCAGGGGTATTTCAGAAGACTGCACAAGAACCAAAGCATCTTCATTATGATACATTACAGTGTAATCTATAAATGTTTCCTCAACAGATGCTCCGTCAAACTTTTATAACGTTCCTAAAGTCTGCGGTGGAAATCTTCATTGTCCGGTCCTTATCCACGGCCCGGAAAGCCTCCATAAGATTCTGTCTTTGTTCTTTGAGATATTTCTTTCAGTTGCATGATGTTAGGTGTTAGAGTGACTAGTGTGCAATAATTTCCTTACAGGAAACACTGACCTTAAATAATGGGAGGGCAGAAACCCTTTTAGTGATATGTGGCAGAACCTTGTATTGGATAACTAATGCTGGCAACTTCTTCTGAACATCTTCTAGTAACTCCAAGAAGGCCTCACACACCAAGACTGTCTATAAGCATTTGCAAAGGGATTAACAGTTATAACATTACAACTACTAAACATGTTAACATATATGTACTTACAGATATATTGATGTCCTCCAGTGCAGTTCTAGTGTTGATTTTGACTGTTCTGAGAAGAGTCAAAGCTCCAACAAAAGTGATGGTGTTGTAGTGAAGCTAAACAAAAACAGTTCATACTATAAGGGACCAATGAGATATAAAAGACAGACACACTGATATGGCAACAAAATTTCAAGCTAGTGGAGGAAATTTAAAATGTTGATGGTGAATTTTGTAAAAAATAAATAAATATAAAATCTAATAAAAACTGTTGGAATGAAAAATAAAAGCAATACATCTGTCTATCCTTACTGAAAAAGCAGTATACCTATTTTGTGTAAATGTAATGGATTACCTTCAGTCTGCCATTAACAGCCAAGCCAGGGCAAAGCGTACTAACTGCATTGTCATATATAAGGTTACTACTGAGGTCCAACAGAACCAAAGTGCTATTCATCTTCAGTGCGTCGCTTAAAGAGTCTGCCACAAAACTCGAAAAGCCATTTGAAACAAGCAAGAAGTGTTTCAGTGTTGTGTTGACCTGCAAAAGGTGACAAGGTAAAAACAAAAAATATAAGTTGAACATAATGTTTTTATGTTACCTTGAGCCCAGCACACAATGCCTCAGCTCCTTTCATCATGAGGTTATTCCAACTCAGATTCAAGGTCTCTATGGCAACATTTCCAGCTTTAACAAGTGACAGAGTACATTTTATTTTTACCGGCTATACTGAAATCTAAAAACAAATAGATATTTTACTTTATTTTATGGATATGCTGTACCTAGCATTTGACCTAGATGTTCTCCTCCAGTGTTAGAGAACTTGTTGTGACTGAGATCCAGCTCTTTGATCATGTAGTCTCCATGGTACAAGAAAAAATTATATTTACAAAAACTGAAAATTCTCTTCTCCTTAGTCTAGAAAAAACTTGAACAACCTATCAATGACAAATTATACGTTTGTTGTATTGCCATAAACCCATAAAAAGGATGAGTGAAAGATTTAATATGGGCTATTAGCTAAATGCATTTATTCTTCAAAAACTGTATATAAAATCAATAGTCTCTCCTGAATCTGCTACAAACACTGACTTGTTATTACCTTTAAGGCATCTGCAAAGTATTTAGCAGAAGCATCATCAAAGCCGTTTCCTGTTAAAACACAGTGGGATATAACAACACGGATGGTGTTGATATTCAAAGGAGTTTTAATAATAATCAGTAAGTCACCAGAAAATCTGAGGCATTTGACATAAAGATTGTCTGACAACATTTTTGAAATGATGTGTGCACCCTCGACACGCAAGTCATTGTTTGAGAGATTCTGAAAAAAAACATTATTTCATAAAATCATTATTATGATAAATAAAATAAAAATAAATCAATGTATAGTTACAAGACTGTTGATAGTGGTGTTTAATTGAAGCATCTCCACCACATAGTGAGTTCCTTCTGCTTTTAGGCTGTTGTCCTCCAGCTCAAGATTTGTAATGGTACTGTCATACTATAAAAAATAAAAAAAAAACACACACACAAAATATAGAACAATTAAAATGACAGTCTTATAAGGGTGTCATAAGAATCCAATTTATTTCCTGTCTGAAATTCTTACTTGTAAAACCGTGGCTAGAGCCTTTGCCCCCAGAGGCCCTATACCGTAATAATTCAGATTCAGAGAGGACTCGCCCAGATGACGGAGGAAATACCCCACAGGGACAGTTCCAATCCTGCTACAGGCTTGGAGGTACATGTCTGTCAGAGATGATTTTTCGCTGGGAACATCTGAAAACAACAAAACATGACTAATGACCCACTGGCTGAGAAAAAGTGAAGATTTCATATTATATATATATAAATTTATTATTATTATTATCCATTTTGTTTAATGCTGTGTAACCCAGATGGAAAAGTTTTCGAACAATTAATCATTTATGTAGTTCATCTTAGACATTTATAGTTTTTACTTATTTCATTCTTATTTTATTTAATTAGGCCCGAGCCCTGAGGCTGGCGAAGGGCCTTTTACTATCGCAAAGCAAAGCTCCTAGTGGCCGAGAAGTGAACTGACGCGACGTGACTCGCCCGTAGTGACCAGGCAAGGCAAGGCAAGTTTGTAGAGAACAATTCGTACACAAAATAATTCAAAGTGCTTTACAGAATAAGAAATACATTAAAATCACAATAAAAACAAATCAAAACATGGATAATCATCATAAAATTACCAGGGACCCTCGCCATGACGTAATGCTCCAGTGCCTTCCGAAAACGTTACCAGGGACCCTCGCCAGATAAATTAATTTACTTTATTAGCTAAAAATTTAACTAAAATATTCTTCCTTTCTTCCTTCAGCCCACCCATTTTTCACCCTGAAAAAAAAAAAAAAAAAAAAAAAAAAAAAAGATAATAGTAATAAAAATAATAAAAATAAAAATAAAAATAAATGGTGCAACAGTGCCCCTCGGCAATTCTGGTACATATATTCATGACATGGTCTCGATCAAAAAAATAATTGATGCCCATTCCCCAGTTCATTGTGTTGCCATGCCAATAACGTTAACCAAACCAAATTTGGTAACCAGATCATAGAACTATAGTAAAATCCATGAACCAGACACATCATGGCAATAGGAACAAAAAATATACTGTGAAAACGCCTCCTTTCCATCTTGGATTAATAAAAGGGGAAAAAAAGTTAATTTAGGTAACCTAGGTTAGGGGTATTATTATTATTATTATTATTATTATTATTAAGTAGTAGTAGTATATTTGAGTATATACTGTCAGTTATGAAAATATGTCACTTACCGTCCTCCAGATCTGTGTCAAACTCGCAGCTCCCCTCTTCCTCGGTCTGTGGCAGCACTTCTGGAGAGGACTGTTCATTCACCTGCTGCTCCATCTTCTTATCGTCAGCAAACCAAATGTGAGCAATCTACTGAGTAAAAGTAAAAAATCTCTCGTTTATCAAATTAAAGCACACTACCCTCCTCCCCCAACTTTAACGTTGACATTACTACAGTTAGCGGACAAACGTTTTGCGTCGCGTTTAGCTAACGTATTCATTAGCTCATGCCAACTGACAACTGAATGAATATATAATAATGTATTAACGTAAAGTCTACTAGACAGTTTATCTGGAATCTTAAATATAAAAAAGTAAAAGGACCACCACATTAGTACATTTTGTTTGCAGTCGAATCAACTGCTGTAGGGCGCGGCTTACGTCATGTTTGAATTTCAACATGTTTTTCTTCCACACGCGGTGTTTTTACTGTCTCTTCTACGTTGTTTGTCTACACACAAGCAATGATATACAAGCTACTGTGTCTGCAATCACCACGAAATCCACTAGATGGGGCAAGTGACTACAAAAATCAAACATTGAATTCAATACCAAAGCTGTAGCTAAGATTTTTCAGTGGGCATTCCTGAAGCAAAGAATCACATCAAGTGTTATTGTACATATTTATGAATACAAAGCAGTATAAAATATGTTCAATAATGAACACTTAAAACAAGTTGTAAACAATGAATCAATATGTGCTTTTTGTAGGACGCCAGCGTCTCCATTTATAAGCGTTACCAGCACACAGTCCAGGCATACCATGAATAAAAAATAATCCACCCTGGTGCAGTTCATATGGAGAAAACAAAAGTTTATAGAAAATAGTGCCAAAATACACAGGGCTTTTGAAACCGAGCACCTTGTTGCTATTAGTGTATCCACGCTGTTGTTTCCTGTGATTATCTTATGCTTTCATTGGTCCCTTTACGAAGAGGTGGTTCATGATTCATCTAGGCACAGAAGGTGTCTCCATCCACTTTGTGCAGAATTTCAACAGGCAGAGCCAGCTCCTGTTGCTGTCCTGCAGGTTTTAGGGCAGAGTCTCCAAAGTGTCCAGCTCAGAGCTCAAGTGCTTCATAGAAATGTATTTCCAGTTCTCTACTGTCTGATGTCTTCAGTTCTTGTCTAGGGCCAGCTGCTCCAGCAGAGGGTTGGCCTCACTCTCTGGTGTTTTCACACTGTCTGTCCTCACTATGCAGGTGGGCCGGTGCAGGTTTAGCATCATCATGAGTTGCTGTCTCTCCTGACGAAGTTCTTCAATTTGAGCTTTTAGCTCAGAATTCACCATTTCTAGACGCTCCGATTCCTGGACAGAAGGGTAAAGCTTCACGTTACACAAGAAACACACCTCTGAAACTGACTTTTATGTAACTGTTATTTTCACAAAATGAGTAAGCTCAGACAAAGTCTCATATCCTGCATTGTACTCTTTACCATACAAAGTGGTTTCATGTCTCACCCGCTGAAGGAAGTCTGTTCGTTCCTTCTTTTTGTTTCGACAGCGTGCAGCGGCCACCTTGTTTTTCTCTCTTCGTCGCTTCCTTCTTTCTTCATCTTCATCCATCTGAAATTATATTTGTGCTTCATTATTATATTAGTGGTAAATAATTCTCAGAAAAGCATCTACACAGTAATTTAATTTGAATAATTTAGCACTTTAACCTTCTAAACACTAAATTAATAGTGGCTTTATTCCACATTTATTTGATGCATTTCTTTCCTTCTGCAAAGTACATCAGTATAAAAATGATATTTTAACTGGAAAGTTGACTAAAGATGTTTAAGTGTTTTTTAAGAGCAGCAGACATCATATGAAGCTATGATTTCCATTAGTTCAGAAGTGCAGGCTCAGTATTTGATGAGCTAATTCATTTGGTCCCTCAGTGACAGATGCATTTTCATTTCTTCATGGGCCGCTCTCACCACAGATTGTCTCACATTGTCATTTCTATGAGTCAAAGGTCTTCTCACCTCAGTCTTTATGAGCAGTGGCCTCTTCCCCAGCCGGCCCAGGAAGTGTAGGGGGGCCAGCATGGAGCCCAGCTGTCGAAAGTCTGCCAGTTTGAGTTGGTCGGTGAGTGTGGTAGCTGAGATGCCCGCCAACCCCAGACTGGGAAGGGAGCCCGCTGCCAGAGCAGGGTCAGGAATCTGTCCCGGCATCATGTCCCACCCGGACACCACCACCCCTAAGGAAAAACATGGAAGGAAAAACAGAGAAGAAGTTGAGTCGAAGACATTCTTGTGAATGTACGTTGCAGTGAGATGTACGACTGGGGTGGATTCTGAGTCATCAACTGTTAAGAGAAAACTTCGACAGCTGCACACTCAAACCTGAAGCTACTTGTGCAAAAAGAAACATGTTTTCTACAATAAAACTGAGATGGTTTACCAAGCCCAGGAATTCCCTTTCAAATATGCATTTGGTCTTAGTAAAGGGAAACCAAAAGCAGTCAAATCTAAAGACAACAGGCACGCTCTCATTTCACCCCAGACTCTTTCAACAATTCAAGGTATTTTAAGGCTTTGACCACAGCTCTTTTAACGCAATCAGAGAGGAATGAGAACGCAGAGGAAAAGCAGAACCAGAGCAGTCCACAAGGAAGTAACACAATTAAGACTTCTCCCTAATGACTAGAAGACCAAGAACTGGAAAATCTCATATGGACAAATAAAAAACAAATGTTAAAGAGGGAAAAGTGAAATGTGAGGCAAATCCCTCAAAGGAGGTGTCTAGGACTGTCCCACTGTGCACATGTCAGACGCACTAGATAATAGTGAACAGACTGAGTGGTTTATGCAACATGACCATCATTAAAGTGACAAACTGATGAAATAAGCTGCTGATACTGAACTTGTTAGTGTGCAAAATTAGTTATAGAGACCACAGAAAATGTACTCTTAAAAGACAGATTACTGTAAATGAGTAATTGCAAATTATTCTCCATTACCGCCACATTGTTTTTCTCCGGCTGGAGGTTGGGCAGGTTGGAGCAGACATACAAAGCCCCTCTCATATGTAAGCCACAAAGACGTGCATTGTGAGGGTCAGAAAAACAGCTGACTTTGCTGGTGGGTAACTAGCTGACAACCTGACTGTATTCAAAGTATCTCTTTCTCTGCATCTGTTTTCTGCTAAAATGAAAGCAAGCCTGGCTATTACAGCAAGCATAAAAGCAGAGTTATGTAAGCCTATTCTAATTCACTCCACCCAGCTCACAGGCGGGTATCCAACTGTTAAATACTGAGCACCAATCAGAAGTGGTACCACAGCAGAACATAATAGATCCACTAAAACAACAGTTGTCATATGGAGGTAGAGTCAAGTTGTTTTATGAGTTCATTTCCCAGTCTCCTGTGCTTCTTCACTTCTCTGTATGCTTGCATGTACCCAGCCCTTGGCAACAACAGTTTAGTTGTTTTTGCTGGAGAGGAAAAGAACAAGCTCTGCTAAAAATCTCTCAGAAGCCCCTCACTCTGATGCTCCTCTAAAAAGTGTGAACATAGAAGGTGCAGAAAACTTTCTCAAAGCAAGTTGTAAGTGTCCAGACATGCACCAACACAGAGGCACAACTTGAAATGTTAGCTGACAAGAAATCTGAGTAGAGTCGAGTCTCAATGTACATTTAAGAAATTACCTACATATTGCAGAGAATATTAGTAGTAAATATTCAGAAAAGTAGTGCAAAGTCAAAGTCAATAGGTTAAGTCAGCCATATAGAAAGGAAAGCCCCCATTCCTCACCGCATGTTGGAACTTGCCAATTCAGATGCAGGAAGACCTCGAGACACACAGACACAGACAATATATAAAAGAACAAACCTCCAGTGTGTCCGCCTGACATCAAATCTCATGTAGGAAATCTACCGCCAAGCTTGAGATAGCCAGGGGTTGCTTTCTGGTCTAACTACCTACAAAATATATATTTTTTTAATATTTAAAACTAACTACTATGTTAAAAACAAAAAAAGTTTGTAAGTGTTACATATACAATAAAAACATACATCTGGCTAAGGTCAATATGCAGTTTAAACAAAGACCCTTACAGTGGCACTGCTGCCTCTCAGAAATAGCAAGAAGACACGCAAGAGGGCGGGGAGCGGAAATGTCATTTATTAGTAATGAAATATAGTGCAGAACGCAGGTGCTGGCTGCAGCCCAAAACCAACCAACCCCTCTCTCTGTCTGAGCTTTGGAGAGCTGAGAGAAGAGAAGGTCTTCTGTATATCAGAGCGCTGCTGGCCTTACATAAATATATACAATCCTCTGATTCCTCTGCTGACACACTCTATCAGTCTTCAGATACACTAAATCGCTCCATTTCCTGAGCCCAATTAGCACGACGGAGGAATTCAGCCCCTCACCGACAGAGCCACTCGCCCCATTATCATTCCTGTAGGACCCCAAAGGAGAGGGACAAAGCAGGCTTTTACAAACTAGGACTATGGCTTAACCAAAGTAACATGAAATTATCATTAAATCCACATTTTTAAACTTACCATAAATGTTCTCATTTAGTGTAGGTACATTTCGATTACATATTCACAGTGTGAATAGTTAATGTTGGCGACTTGGAGTCTAGCGTTCTAGGTGGACATTGCTCATGCTTAACTCATTTCCTATGACTTTCACCAGAGCATAAACAGACAAATTTATTTCGTGTTAATTAAGATTTAATTTTTCCTTTCTTGTGAGATTCCTACTACTGTCTGTAGTTTATTTGTATTAAGTTTGTGAAAAGTTACTTCAAAACTCCATGCATTGACCACACACAGTCTTCTTACTTTACACAAAGTGGTAAAAATGAACAATGAAAGCCAAGGCACACTCTGGCCAAGGTCTCAGTGATCATCATTATCGTCTCCACTTAGTCAGACTGTGTTGAGTTAAAACTTTCACAATCCCCAAAGGAAACAAGGGAATTTGGCATGTCTTTCAGCGGGACAGGCCAGTCCAAATACACAGACATTCTTCAAAATCTTAATCTACATAATGATTTAACTCAAACAAAAAACATATTAAAAGAACTCTCGTATATTCCCCATGGTGAAAATGTCACTGCAGGCAAATGTTCGTCAGTCCTCACTTGTTCATCTAGACCGGTTAGTTTACATGATCTTAGAACACATACATGCAAGATAAGTTTGTAACTTTCATTTTACTTAATGAGACGCTTAAGATATGCTAAATGAACACTAAGGTATAGCTGATTCTGTGAGAAAATTAAGTTTGTTAATCTGCTTCAGACATGAGACACCTGCAGAAACACACACAGCATAGGTGCTGTCGTAGCTCGTAGCCGTCTTTGTGATTGTTGGCATAAATCCTATTCACTTCTATATTCTACATCTGGGTGGTCTTGTCTGCATTATTAAAATTATTTAAACATTCAAATTAGACAAAACACTTGGTCAGATGTTAATTACTTTGAAAAGAAAAGAAAAAAATCTAAATTAAATATCGCTCAATAAAGACAGGTCATCAGAAGCAATAACTAAGAGTTTTCCTAATTGTCCACTTGCATTTTTGTTCACATATTCACATCACAAGGTATTTTCCAAAGCTGCTTGCTGTTATAAGTGGCACAGTAGTTTGCGCAGTTGCATTCCTAATAACATGTGGGCAATCTGGAAATCATAACCTTGATAAAAGGCCACATTATGGGCTGTGTTTAGAAAAAATGCTTTTAATGTCCTCTGCTCAGTTACAGCCCATGACATTTGGGCTTCAGTTTTCATGGTGTACCTCTAGTCTGTCTCAACAATGTTTTTACAGGCCATGTGGAAAGGCTTATGAAGACTACAATGTGAATCTGATAATGTGATACCCCCAGAATTAGTATTAGAATCACAGAGCTGGTTGTTGCATAGTTGGCTCGCCTGCAATGCGTCTGCTGTCTATTCAGTGTACTGGGGTGTAGCTTGGCAATTCTCGCTCTCCAGAGACGCACTGGAAGGCATTTCTATTTAAAATAAACCCTGTGCGCCCACGTCCAGCCTCTCAGCCCCACTGGCCCTTCACCACTTGTCGGCTCGCCAGCTCTTTCCTATTAATCCACTGCAGTGTTCCATTTATGCACAAACCATGGTATGGATATGCCCGGGCAAGCGCTGGGGCATTTAAAGCCCTTGCTACATATGCCAGCTCACTTATCCACATGTAAACAGTTTGAAACAAAGGAAAGACGTCCATCACACACAACTGTGTCCTGTCTGGACACAGTATGCATTGCACCAGCTGGAAAGCATGCTGTGGCATCAATGGAAAACACTGAACTTATGAACCCATGTTTGCAACACAGGAGAAGCATGGTCTGAGCTTTGCTGTACCTGGGCCAGGTGTGTTTATGTCCTGCATTTGCTTAGAATGACACACTAACTGCACTATGCAGCTCAGTCACTCTATGTTAAGTGCCAATGGCCACTACTCACTCAACATTTAACTGTCCGGGGTCCTCCATTTGTGCACCTGTAATGTGGTAAAAGAGTCTCCCTCGACCTTACAATAGTCATTTACCATTCCTGAAATATAAATATATGTCTTGTATCCAACGCCGTTGTTCATAGTGATGTTCTGTTTTATATAATATATGGTTGGCGTAAGTACACGAATTATGACATCCGCTGTGAACATCGCTAACACTTCTACAAGTCTCGTGCGTTACATAATACCGCCACAAGCATCTAGCCGACACATCTGCTGTTTGGTCCCTCTCACAATAAGGCTTTTTGAGGTGAAAAACAAACAGACTCTTACCAGTGTTTTAGCTCTAACGGTCTAACTAGAAATGAGCTGTAAACCCACAGCTGCAAAAGCAGATGTAACACCAGCCAAATGACTGAGCAGCATCTTCCACCGAGACGAAGACGGAGCAAGACGAAAAAGTTCATCAAACTTATTTTTGAATAAACGTATTTTGAATAACTTATCTACACGATGTACAATAAGTTATTCGCACAAAACACATGATAAAACAAACTGAGAACGTATTTGATTCAACTCTTGTTTGAATCAAATAAAATATATTTGTATTTGTGTTCAGCTGGTACCTGTAGTGCGTCCAAACCCCGCAGGAGCTCGTGTTGGCCCGGTGTGGGACTCTGGAGTTGGGTGTAGTGTGCTTGTTTGGGGCTAGCAGCACAGCTCGTTGCATCAGCCCGTTTAAGTAGTGCTGCTCAGGTCTATGAGCGCTCGGGAATGCGGAACTTGTGTCCCAGACGTCAGCATGGATCAAAATAATGTAAGGGGAGGGTTATAGACGCGGATTTATTTGCTCCACCCCTAGCAACCAAACATACACACGGCTTAGAGGAAAGTTTTCAGGACAGACTAAAGGCTGATACTGTGATAAACAAACGCCTTCAGTAGTCAAGTAGTCAATAAATAGCCACCGTTTATTAGCCTGCTATTTATGTACTCCTAACCCTTAGTGTTTTTGTTTTTGAGAGACAGCTGAAGAGTGAAACAATTGCTATACTGTCGAAGAGAATGTAGTTAATTGCTATAACTACATTTAAGGCCTACTGACCCTTGACCAAGATGACATTAACTATTTTGTTATCATCTCATCTTTTTAATCCAGTAATCAAGTGTTTTTAAGACTTTGCAACACACAAGCTTTATCTTATCTTTATGTGTTATATCTTCAGACTTTTATAGTACTGCCATTTATAGTTTAGAACAGTAAATATAATATATAAAGCAATAGCAATACAAAATAAATACATTTTAATATAAAATGGAACTTATTAAAGGGGTATGAGAAATGTTACACCAACGGTTTGATTAAACTGTTGTTATAAAAATCTACCCTGCTTCTTTTTCCATCCAGAGTGCACAGCTGAGATAGACTTCGGCCAAACTTCCAGACTGTTCCTCGTTTTAGACTCTAATTTAGTTCCACAGTAAATTATGCCCTGTGTCTAAAGGGGGCTCAAAGGGAAGTGTGTCATTGTCTGTCTTGGCTTCAATGACACATTTCATATTTTGTATTTATACGGAACTACCACCCAAAAAAACATTCCCTGTTTTCAAAGAATGTTGAAAATATGTAATGTTTTTGTTTTACATCTACACACAGGTGTGTCTCAGTGCAAACAATATATATAGTTAAGGGTTTCAGTCAACCAGGCTCAAGGTGCTGTGTAACTAATCTGGTTGAGGGTAAGGTACCTGCTTGTCTCCATAGCGATGTTATTGTTTACCAGGTATTTTCTAAATTATGGCATTAAGCTTATCACTCTTCTGTTTGTGGACTTTTTTTTTTAATTGCTGATCCCCATTAGTCTCTAGATCTAGGAAGTGGGAAGTTTCTTCTTGGGGTGCACTGTCAAAGTAAAGCATTACAATGCATTCACAGATATCTGACCTAACTGGTCTTGTGGTTTTACAACATGGACATAGATCAGCTTAATGCCATACTGTGGACCACTCCAGGCAAAGCAGTAACATCTCCATGGAGAGCAGGTGGTGGACCCTCTACCTGAAAGGTTACATAGTGCATCTTTTACAGCGTGATTACAGTGTTTGTCTTAAACATAATAAGAGATTTTTAAAAAATGAACATATCATTACCCTAGTAGCAGAATACAGTATTTAAAGTTTTGCTGCTCAAGAGAATTATGTTGTTGTGTTTTGTTTTTTAAGAAAATATCAAAATGGCCAATAACCAGTGTTTTTGTTCTGTAAATATGAATGGTGTTATCCATATTTTATCTGTTGGAAATACCCTGACACTCAGACAGTTTCCTGACTCATTCAACCATCAGACCCCAGACAGAAATGTAGACAGACTTTACGTTTATTCACCTTCCTTCCCTTTTGTAGTTTAATAATAATCACCAGGCACATCAAGTGTGCACCGGTGACCAACGTTATCATAGGAAATTATAAACTGCAGGACTATATTTCATTCAGACTACAAATTGTGTGACAAATGTCCACTCTCCTTGAGCAAGTTTGCAGGGGACAAACAACTCTATTTGTATTTTATGCTTGCATGGATGTTTCATTTAGTCTAAATGTTTTTCCCCCTTTACAGTACCAGTCATCTCAAGGAAGTAACAACTATTTTCAGTTAAGACAAAATTTCGTTTTTTAGATGGTTTACCATTTCACAGTTGGTAAAATTAAGAAATCAAATGACAGCACAATATGAGCTGACACAGTTACTCGTGCACTAACTAGCTAGCGCCCTCTGTTGGAGAGACGGAGGTGAACAACGCGTGATGCAGTTCTCAACCCTATATAGACCGTATACAGTCTATGTTCCCAACCCTTTTCAACGCGGTTTTACCAGCGGACAGGCTGGCGACCCCGTCCTTCTCTTAACGCTACCTGATAAGATGCTTAATTGGAAATAATATCCCAATAATAATATGAAATTGAATAATAATTGTTTGTTTTTAAGGATGTTATAAAATTGTAAATAATTTTAAGATGTATCAGCAATGAGCATACCTTACGTTATAATTCATGTTAGCTATTAAACTGGGCATTTCATTTAGCAGTTTGGCGAGAAGCTTGGTTATATTTACGCTTAATCGCATCCACTGCCCATCTCCTCTTCTGTTTCCCGACATCTTCCAATCCCGAAATATGACACCAGTTGCCATAGAAACAAAATAACTGCAGTTACCCATGTCCCAAATATGGGCAAGGGAAGTTATACGCAATCACCCGCGTGCTGACGTCATGCACTGTACGTACGTCCTGCGCTGCCGTGAAGTCGGATTCCCTTGACCGTGACAATAGAGAAGCAGAGAAACGAGCGATGAATAAATAATTAGCCCACTGTATCTGCGGCTCCCACTCATTTGACAAACGAACACGCGCTCCATGCAGCGTTTTATGTAATCGTCACTTAGCACATGTGCAAGGCTACAGAAGAGGGCAGAGGACGCCATATCCTCATTTTAATATTCTAAAGCTATTTTAGGCATTTCATAATGGTCGCTATAACGTCTCTCATATTTAGCTTCATAGGCAACACAAGAGAAAATGTATATAAAATCATATTTATTCTTGTTGTATTCTTACTTGTTTCAAATGTTGAATCAAAGAAATGTATGTTTTGCGCTTATTTGCAACATGTAAGTAACAATAAAAAAAATAAACCATGTCATAAAATACTGTAGTGTACACATTGATAATACATGACACATACAGAAAAGACAAACAAGTGACACAGAGAACCATAGAAAATGCACATTTTTACACATTACATTAACAATTATCTTGCATTATTTGGCTTTACTTCACTTTTATATAGTCATAATACCACTTCATATTAGAAAGGACGTTTTTGCATGCATTGTTACCAGTACAAACTCAGCATTATACCAGTAGAATGGAAGTAATCAACCATGTTACAGTAACAACTATATCATTTTCTTTAAGTTAACTTTTAGCACAAAATCAAAATGTCCCCAATCCTCTACACAAGCTTGTTGGCTGGTTAAAATCTATGTACATATTGCATCAGTTCTTAAGCTCACAGAGCAAGTAGCGTTGGAGAGTGTAGATCTTTTGTGAAATCAGATGCACCTCCTTTGAGACTCTCACAGCTCTCAGCCAAAGAAACAATCTCTGAGTAATTAAAGGAAAACACAGAGCGGTAATTGCTACAAGTGGGACTGGAAGACATGACTGGCGTGCTGAGAGAGTCAAAGTCATTGGCCACAGACTTATACAGGGTTTCCCAATCTGACTGACAGAATGGAGTGCCCATATCTATGTCAGGCACGGATGCTGTGGTTTCTGACAGTACCTCCATCTCTAAAGTAGGCACAAGGTCATCCAAATCATCTCCCTCCAAATCAAGAGCATCTTCCTCTGCACTGGAGCACAGGAGGATGTTGGAGTTTCCCAAAATGGCAGTTGTTGGACTACAAGGAACACTGTCCATGTTAGTTTTTGAATTTTTTACATTGTCTAGCATGGATTGTGGCAGTGGAGAGCATGGACAGTCTTCAGACTCTTCCTCACTGCTGTCATTCATAGACAGTTTGCATGAAGATTCATGAGATGCTAAAACCTGCTCAAGTCGCTCCTTCTCCTTTAGCAGGTCAGCTATCTCTCTCTGGAGTGATGTCTTCTCGTCCTCCAGTAGGTCTGTTTCCTGTGATCAATGATATCAACATGAGCAACGGGCATCCATATTTATGCCTTATGTGTGTTATATGAATGTTATACAGATGATATTAAATGGACACTTACTGCTTGGAGTGTGTCTATTAGTTCCTTCCTTCTGTTGCGACATTTTGCTGCAGCAATTTTGTTTCTCTCTCTCCTGATCCTCCTCCGTTCCTCCTCCTCTTTAGAGAGCTACAATAACAATGTTTATACATATATAAGCCATACATTAACCAATATTTCAGTTGTGTTTTGCACATACAAAAATGATTTGTGCCATTTGTAGGCACATGACTCTAGATTATAAGTAAATACATGTATCTGTTTCTGTCATTTACCTGCTCCTTCTGTCTCTTCTTGGAGAACTTCGCCTTGAATGCACCTGCCGAGGAAGACGACTGGGTGGCGCCGTAGGACTTGGCTTTGCCGCGGGTGGAGAATGTTCGGGCTGTGGGCACTACAGAGTCTGTCCCACTGTTGCTAGTGTCCTGAAATACACAAAGACACACATACATTTATACCAAGCCTCGGGAGTGAATTGCAATTTTAAGTGTTCTTGGTCTACAATAACCAGCCATATTGTGACAGTTGTGTCAGTGGCTCGTTCATCTGCGACATCGAATGGACATAATCAGTTAAATCGAACACTACGACACGGGTGAAATGTATTAGGGTCAAATTTATCTCGGTATGATCAATAACGAATTCATTGACGCATGAGGTTAAAGCCGTTACAGAGCATTTTGTCCTTAAATATCTCTTCAGTGCAATACATTTCGATTGGCATCTATACAAAAAAATAAATAAAATGTTATTACAAAAATTAAAATTAGATTGTACCTCGGATATGTTCTCTGATAAACGCGCTTCAGGCTGCTGGTTGCATCCAGGGGTGTCCCCGTCCGAAGATGATGCGCCGCAGCTGGATGACGAGTCGAACTCAGGGCAGGAGTCTTTATGCATGGTCGTTTCCTAAAATCTAAATTGCGGCATATATTGTCACTCTATATCCTTGGCTTATGTGCAGCATAAATGCCTAATGCTGATTTAATTGTCATTTACCTGGTTCTCACACCGTGCAGATAGTGAAGAGACTCGCCTTTTATAGTGATCCGAAATTTTATGAATGAAATCGGTGTGGGGAGACCAAACCATTACGGAAAGAGGGAGGTGAGATGGACTGAGAATAGTCTGGTTTTCTTAAGTTCTTAATAAATGCATGTGTTTTTTAGGAGTTAAGGATGGAGGAATTATGTTTATTCTATTTTTAAAATAACAATCACAGCACATTTGGACTTAAATTCAGGTCTTCGTTTATTTAGGCTATTTATAGCGCTACCCGTCTTCAAGATACCCTCACTACGTCACGTCATATATGCAGCATCTGCATCACAGGCATAGGATACAGTGTGTTCTTATTGTGCCCACCGCGTGTAAAAACGCATTTCTTTTTCCCAAATGAAATACGGTACTGTTCCTTATAGGCTTCTTGTACTACTGGGACCATTGGAAGTACTCAAAATACATGACGGTTGGCAATTAACTTTCATTCATTCATTTCATTCATTTATTAACATGATTTATTCTCATCATAAGTTTGCCCATTAAAATTTGACAGGTGGCGGAAGATGGCCTAATAGCTCCAGCAGCATAATTGCAGATGTAGTATCGGGTAAATCAGACGATCGTCAAGTGGTCTCGTCGAACCATTTATGGAGTTTCCGGCGATGATGTGCGCCTTCACAAAGGGGAGCGCAGATGGAAGTGATGGATGCAAGTGAATGTGACTACTCGGTCACAAAAGAAAGCAAAACACGCGTTACAAATTACAAGAAGGAGAACATTGTATGAGGAAAGGTGATTTCTACTTTACAAGCAAGTATGCAAGCAAGTATGCAACATTTGGGATTTGTTCTATTTCAAGCTTACTGGTCCATCCATGTGTTAAGATATTTCAAAACAATAGCATATGAATATGTATACGTACTTGTAATAAAAATGCAAATGGTCCTAATGTAGACCAGTCAAAATAACACAAGTGTGATATGTGATATTGAAACTACTAGGCCTCACGTATAACTGCAAAAAAGTTTCCCAAAAGTGCAAAGCAAATGTATACAAGATAAATATTTAGTCTCTTAGCAAAAAGGTTGAATTCTGTTTTTAGTGTGAAAGTTATTAGGGTTAGCACATGCGCTCTAATGAGCCTATCCTCTACGTAGCCCATTATTATTATTATAGTGACCCATTATTGCCTACATAAAATAATGGGCTAAAATGTAGTTTGTAGACCCCCTGAGCCTAAATACAAGCTACAGCCAACAGTCTCTATAGTTTACATTTCTATATTTAGTAGAATGGTTTCATAGGTCAGTCATGTGAGAGATGCATGAATGGAGCCCTGCTCCCGGCTGCTTCCCGGCAGTGCCAGCCCCCTGAACTTTACTGGCATGTCATTTAATTAGGGGGTCTTTTATCCAAGATCATATACGATAAACCAACTTCAGTGAATGTTAAAAGGTTCAGGATGATCGTCGTTTAGTCCATTTTATGTGGTCTTTTGAAGTTATAGACCATATAGGATCTTGTCTGTTTGAAACCGGACCCTGAAACATTGAAAAAATCAATAAACTTACTTTTGTTTTGACAACATAATGAACTGCACAAAACGTAACAGTTACGCTCATAGTTCCATTCAAAACAAACACTTGTGTTACTCCTGTCTCAGTTTACTAGATCCATGGGCTGGCTCATGGCTCATGGGCTGGTTGCCTGAAGTTGCGTTTCTTTCGCAGTCAAGTCGACTGCAGTCATAGATCCTTACAGAAACAGAAGAGCAACTCTTTAACCACAGCCAGCCTAGATCTTCTCAGACAACCTACGTTTTCTTTTTCTTAAAGTGATGTGTCTTTTCCACTAACAATCTTTGTTACTATGAAGGAGAAAAAAAACCTGTGACGTCACTGCTGCGAAGGGGTGGAGTGTTGCTATGGCAACCAGGAATGTTGAACAAAACAGCCGCGCGAGACAAAACACTATGTAACAACTCTCCGCGTGAACTTTGACACAATAAGCACAGACGGACTTTCTGCTGTATTTAGAAAAATAAAACAGTGAACATCGACTAATAGCTCAGACGTCTAATGAAACAATAAAGGCACGTGATTTAAAAAAAATATAACGATAATCATCTTTGAGGCTCTAAAAACTGTTTTAGACCAACAAATTTTAATTTAGACATAGACAACATTGTTTATTATATACATTTAAGAGTTAACTGCACATCAGATTACAAAATAGAACACTGGGATTCCCTCAGTTATGGGAAAGCAACCCATCTGACACAGAAATTTATACTAATGGAAAAAAGTATACAGAAGACATGTTATGAACTTGTTTGACAACTGAACACACCCCTTCTGAGGTACAAGGATTGCCCGTGGGTGTAAAGCACGCTGTCTTTGTCAGCATTTGACTGTGTTGATGCATGTAGTTTGTCTTGCTATAATAATAGGCTATAGCCTACATACAAACAGTTCATATTTGATTCATTCTATTTAGAATGACTTAGAATGGTATATAAACGATATATTTAAAAAAAAAAAACCCTGAGGAAACTGATTTATATGTATAGTCAATGGTTTAGCCTCAACCCTGGTGCTTTGGCGCAAAAAGTTTCTAAAAGAGTTTTCCTTGTTTAAGCATTATCAATGTATTTTGTTGTGTAAGCCTTCTATCCATAGGACTCCACGACTTCAGTGTTTGTTGTCTTACACCATGTCGTAGTCGGCCAATCTCAGGTGGTGTATTTCCCAGCAGGGCCCGCCCATTCGACAGGATGAACCATATATGGAAGATGACGTACTGGGGATCCCGGTTTGGAATATTTCATTTGCCGAGGGTGATTTGTGTAAAAAATTAATGTGGGGCTTTGTAAACCTGTTATTGTGTACATTATTGTTATTAATGACACATATATCTTCATGTGTATGCTATCTAAAGTGTATATTTTTCTATTATTGCGTTGTTAAGCGATTGTTTGTTCCTCGAGATTTCGCATAATGGCGCCTCCCTTTATCTACGTCATCGCCTGTCCGTGTCAGCGCCTATAAAAACCCCGCAAGCAGGCAGAGTTGGCAGTCAAACTTTCTCGAGAGGACTAGCTACGAGCACAATATTTCGGAGCTTCTTATTCCATTTTTAAACAAACGTGCCTGTGGGATTCTAAAATTCTTACTGTCCTGCAAAGAAGACTTTGTTGGATATAAACCGTTTCGAGGCAACAATGATGTTCACCGGTTTTAATACGGAGTGCGATTCGTCTTCTCGCTGCAGCACAGCTTCACCGGCTACAGATAACTTGGGTTACTTTCCGTCACCAGCGGGATCCTACTCCAGCATGGGGTCTCCCCAGTCTCAGGTGAGTCAATTTTAAACAGTTTTACTCAGGAGCATTACATTGCTATTGTTAGTATAAACTAGGACAATTATAAGTTCAGTTATAATATAGTCATGCACCGCATAAAGGCCAAATGTAACATTAACGATGTAATATCACAGTAATTACCATTTTGGTAGGAGCTCCTCTCTCCATTCATTCACCTGAACACTCCATTGAGTATGTGTAACGTCATAGTTGACATCATGAGGATATTTTTAACCCATCAGGCTTTTTATAGACTACTTTTATTCAGAGGCACCCAGCACTGCTTTCCAGTCTCTTCTGCAGATGTACTTAAGAGTTTTTGATTTATTTATTCCAGGAATTCACTGAGCTGACAACGTCAAGTGCCTTCATTCCTACCGTCACAGCCATTTCAACAAGTCCAGACTTGCAGTGGATGGTCCAGCCTTTGATCTCCTCAGTGGCCCCCTCTCACAGAGCTCACCCCTATAGCTCAAGCCCTAGCTCATCATACTCCGGGCCAGCCATGAGGTCAGCCATGAAGGCTCACTCCAAAAGAAGCAGACAGGAACAGGTAAATATAATTAATTTAAATATATTCATTATGTAGGTCCCTAAGTTTCTGTTTTTAAAGTGGAGGTTTAACTTTTTCTTTTCCCCACAGATCTCTGCTGAAGAAGAGGAGAAACGTAGAATTCGTAGAGAGAGAAACAAGCAGGCAGCAGCCAAATGCCGCAACAGGAGGCGGGAGCTCACAGACACTCTCCAAGCTGTAAGTATCCACTTAAAAATCATAACTGGTAGTAATAACGCAGTCTTCTCTTGTGTCACTTAAATGCATATTCCATATTCCTTCTTGATCACAGGAAACTGATCAGCTGGAGGATGAGAAGTCTAGCCTGCAAAATGATATAGCCAAACTGCTGAAAGAAAAAGAGAGGCTTGAGTTTATACTGGCTGCCCACCAACCCATCTGCAAAATCCCATCTGAGCTGGACATTGATTTTCCTGTGACCGCTGTCTCACCAGTCCACTCCTGCCTGACCGCTCAGCCCTGCTCTCAGACACAGACAAGTGCCTCCAGCCAACCAACGTTCTCAACCTCCAACTCCATCTTCTCCAGCAGCAGACCCACTCTCTCTACAGCCACCATCTCCAGCACCACAGTCAAAATGACAGATCTCGAGAGCTCTGTCCTAGAGGAGTCTCTGGATCTGCTTGCCAAGACGGAAATGGAGACCGCTCGCTCTGTGCCAGAGGTGGACCTTACCAGCACCCTCTACACCACACAGGACTGGGAGCCTCTTCACACCTCAACCAGTAACCATGACTTTGAGCCCCTGTGCACTCCTGTAGTGACCTGCACCCCAGCCAACACCACCTACACCTCTTCATTTGTGTTCACCTTCCCAGAAGCAGAGACCTTCTCTAGCTGTGGCATTGCCCACCGGAGAGGCAGCAACAGCAACGACCAGTCCTCTGATTCTCTCAACTCACCCACGCTGCTGGCCCTTTAAAGACTTCCATAAACTCTAATACTTCCTTCTAAGCACAGTTTACTAATAAAAAAGAATGTGCAGATCACAGGGCTACAGAAAGGACTTGTAACAAATAGCAACTTATTATTTTATTTTAATAGATATTGACTTGCCTACAACAGAAATTAAGCAAGTACTAGCATGCCACATAGTTATTTAAGTTAATATGATTTAATGGTGCTAGATTAAAAAATATATTGTATTGTGTTTACAGCAATAGTCATTATCAGCCCAGTTTGTTTGTGGTTGATGGAATGTGTGAATTATTGTGAAGTTTATAAAGAACTCTAAAACTTATGTTCTTCGTCTGAACCATGGTCTGAGTGGTCTTATATTAAGTTTTCTGTGAAAACATTAGTCCTTTTATTTATGAAATTACTTTATTTTTTTACAGAGCAGCAATGAGTGTTTGCATAACATGTTAATAAAGACGTAGTGATATTTAAGTAAACTTTTTGTGTTTTTGTGTTTATCGTATCTCACTCAGTGGAACTTTACCTTCCAAACATGTGAATTCGGTGTATAATAGCAGTAGTTTTCCAAACCCCAACCAAGCCCAATGCTTTTCCGTCTGTTGCCAGGGTTAACCCGTACGTCAGAGCTATCACGTCAGCACGTTCTTTCCATTTTTATTTGCAAGCCCAACGCGATGACGTTGAGCTTCCGTGCCCAAATATAGCATTTCCACGAGGTAGAGCCTTTGCCGTCTGCCATGATCAGGAGGAGCCTGGTTGCGAGGGTGCGAAGCTATCGAAAACTGAACCTCGTTTCTTTTTCATGAATATCTATTGACATGTAACACCAAGCGCGCAATTAGCTCCAGATCTCTGCCTATAGGAGAAGGAAAAGGGGTCGAATAGCTGTCCCTTCAATAAGTGTGAGACCGTGCGAGATGGCTTTAGGCAATAAACCTGCATTATTCAAGATGATACGATAGCTAAAATGTATTATTATTTTGTTCTTAGTTTGATTATGTACTTTTTGCACGTCTCACATGTACGTGTGGTTTTGCAATAACGCATTCAGCTAACTGATTTCCACATTTTGGACACGCTGTCATCCAGGAGTGGGGTGATATAAGCCAATCAGAGAAGTCACCTCTTTACTATAATAAAAAACAAAGAAAGTGAACAATTTGAAGCTTATGAGCGTCAAATTACGTTTTTGTGTTTCTAGAATTTTCAGTTACCTTGACTACTTTGCCTTATTCATTTGGTTTGGCTCCTCAGTCTTGTTTTGGTGCCCTTAAAGTATTTACTTATTTTGCTCTTCTAACCTACCTACCTGAATTATTTATTTATTTATTTCAAAGCAACAAGAATGAACAGCATGTCCCTACAGGATATCCATTATGAATAAAGAACATGTTGGATCAAGAAGTAGGCTAGCCCAAACACAAACAGCATATTCTGATGACTGGAGGCTTTTCGTGCACACTCCTGTTTGTGCAACACTTAAAATAAATCACCATGTTTAAATAAAATTTAGAAAGATACATCATTGTCTTTTTGTCATTTACACAAAACAAATTGAATTTCATGTTGCATTAGAAATCCAGATGCAAAGTTTTTCTTAGTATCTGAAAAAACCCTTTCCTTTTCATCAATCATTTTCCATGTGCAGTGCCAAATAACCTGCATCTATGAATAACTCCTTGCTGCCCATGGGAGAGAGGTAGAGGCAGAAATAGCAGGTGCCTCTTGCTTCTTTTAACATCAGCATCAACAACAGTAAAATTAGACCACTATGACGCCAACCTGCGTCGAAGCTTCAACTCAGGGGAGGAACTAAATCGCAAGCTTGAACAAGAGAGTGAGGAAAGACATGAGCAAAGCACAGAAGAAGGAGGATTAGACGAAAGCATGATGAAGATAGGAGTGAAAGGACAGGCAGAAAGACCAGAGAAACGAGAAACCAATGCACAAAAACATTAAAATTTGGTTTTCTTTTTGGATATAGGAAACTGCAATATAAAAGGAATAACATATCTGAAAATAATTGCTCAGACCTTACATAATGACATAATCAGATTGTATATTAATTGAGATCCAACTGTCAGATAGTCAATGATCGGCTTGTGTTTTTAATCAACATGTTTGCAGCCAGTGTAGCAGCAAATGTGGTTTGGGGATTTAGAAGAATAAATGGGACTGATTTTAGAGGTTATGTCTTTGTAGTTTATTTTCATACCAATACAAGGAAAACATTTTTTTGCCTAGACATACAGCCAATATAATCTTTAGAATTATTAAAATTAATTTTATATTTATACAAATTAATTTATGATTACAGAGAAAAACAGATGAAGTAAGGGTGTGACGACTTGTGCGTCACAGAACAGTCACTGAAGTTAAGAAATTAAAGATAAGCTACACGTGCTTAGTAATGACAATGAGGAAACAGTGCCCAGAAGTGACATGCTTTATGGCACGTAATAAATATCACCTCCATTTTTAAAAACTGCGTATATTCCCGATTAAAAATATACGGTTGAATGTATATTTGGACTATTTTATTTTTGTGATATTACTGCTCTTACTCTTTGTTTTCCATTCCTGAGAACATAGTGTACAATTTGCTGTATCTAATCTTACTTTATAGGGTTATTGGTATGTAATGTAAATGCAATGTAAATGTTACTAAAAAATATCAATTTCCCAGAAAGCATAAGAAGCTATTCTTAGCCTTTTTTGACGCAAGAGCTGCCATCTTACGAGAGGAACTTCTCCCTCCAATAATGACGGTTGGATTGGTGCTAGACTCTCTTTGAGCAGCCTGTCCTTGTCTCTGGGGATCTGCTACACATGTCTCCTTGGAAACTGGATGGACTCATTGTGTGCAGTGGGTAATCCCTCCTCTGACAGAGAAACGATAGCACTGGTGGTGACTAGTTTTCTATTTAGTCTAGTCTAAATAGTCTGCATTCATTTAGACTACATAAGTTCATTATCATATATTAAATAAAAATCATGAACACTTCTAAACACAGTTGCACCCTAATCAGATAATTAGCTCAAAACACCAGCAAAGGTTTGTTGAGCCTCTCCTGAGTCTCTCAGTCTGGGTCAGTGGGCTACACAATCATGGGGAAGGCTGCTGACTGGATAGAAGACAATCACTGACACACTCCACAATGAGAAAGCCACAAAAGGTCATTGCTAGGGAAGCTGATTGGAGTGCTGTATCCAAGCATATTCATAGAAACTTGTGTGCAAGGAAAAAGTGGTAGGAAAAGGTGAACCACCAAGCCTTGAGAGGATTGTCAAGCAAAATCCAGAATTTGTAAGAGCTTCATAAGGAGTGAACTGAAGCTGGAATCAGTTCATCAAGAGCCATTACACATAGACAAAGCCTATATGGGATATGAGACTATGTCAGAAGCATCTTACATAGACTGTGGAGAAAAAGAACTGCATTGTTGCCTGGTGGTCCAAGTGGTTCTTCTTTTCAGAGGAAAGTCCATCTTACACCTCTGAGGTCTGAGGGCCAGCTCCAACTTGTTGTCCCAAAAATGAGACTCAAAAGCCGGGAAGACTGGGCCTTTTCTTTGGTTGGTCCCAAACTTTGGAGCGCTCTGCCCCCTCACATTAAGACCGCCCCTTAAGTCAATTCTTTTAATTCTCATTTAAAAATACATTTTTACTCACTGGCTTTTAACAAGGCGTGAGAATTGTGTGGTCCTCTGACTGTCTTTTATTGATTTTATTTGCTATTTTTCTATTTGCTTATTTAGTATTTTTAATGCATTTTTAAATTAATTTGTTTATTTATTCATTTTATGCTTTATTTTATTTAATGTGTTAATTTATATTGTGCCTGCTCTGTGCAGTACTTTGGAGACTTTGTGTTGGTAAAATGTGCTATACAAGTAAAGTTGGATTGGATTGGACATTCTTTTTAAATCAAGAGTCTGGAGGTAGAGTGGAGAGGCACAGAACCCATGTTGCTTGAAGTCTAGTGTGAAGTTTCCACAGTCAGTGATGATTTGAGATGCTATGTCATGTGCTGGTGTTGGTCCACTGTGTTTTCTGAAGTTCACAGTCAAGACAGCCATCTACCAGGTCATTTCATGCTTCCTTCAGCTGATAAGCTTTATGGAGTTGCCGATTTAATTTTCCAGCAGGACTTAGCACCTACCCATACAGACAAAGGTCCCAAAAGCTGGTTCAGTGACCATGGTGTTACTGTACTTGACTTGGCCTGCAAATGGAGTATTGCCAAGAGGAAGATGAGAGACACCAGACCTAACAATGCAGATGGCCTGAAGGCTTCTATCAAAGCAACCTGAGCAGTGCCACAGGTTGATTGCCTCCAGGTCACAGTGCATTAGTGCAGTGATTTAACCAAAAGAGGCCTAACCACATATGGAGTGCATAGAAATGAACAAGCCTGATGTTTCTGTTTAAAATGTATATATGTATAAATGTATGTATTTTAAATTTTATTTTCTGAGACACTTCATTTTGGGTTTTCATTATTTGTAATCATCCAAATAATCATCAAAATTTAAAGAAAAAAAAAAAGCTTGAAAGCTTCACTCTATGTGTCATGTATCCATACAATATATGGTTTTGAATTTCTGAAATTAGTGACAAAAATAATGAACTTTTCATGATATTCTAATTTTTTTAGATGGACTAGTATATATATATGTGTGTGTATGTGTGTTTACTTACCTTGCTGTAGGGTCATCTGTCCAGTAGATATTCATAATGTTAAGCCACAGACTGGTGCAGATGCATTTTACATTGGTTTGACAGAGCCATAACACAATTTACAAACTCTGAAACACAAATTTAAAGTCTGTATCACAATAAGATGTTATTGTGGGTACAGTGATACTTGAATTTGCAGTAAAAAGTAGACCTACTGTCTATGATTATTTGGGTGGTCAAATATCAAATTTGGGCAATTCAGAAGTATCCCTGGGGGGCAACAAATATTGATCTGAAGACTGGATTTGGCCCCAATGTCATAGTTTGGACACTCCTTCTCCTGAGCTTAGTGGTGATACCATTTGCAGTCACAGTTCATGACGTTTTATAGATTAAATCTGAAAGCGAAAAGAAACATACTCAATATTTTACATCGCAGGAACTTTCATGTATCTACTACCTTGCTTTTTTTCTACTGAGTACTACGGTAGCTTTCATACGTGAGTTGTGTGCACTCTCCTGAAATCGTGTTTGCAATGAAAGTGTTGTCCCCCGCCGCGTCAGTAGGGGGCCCTCCGTGTCCGCAGTGCGCTAAACAAACCGCCCTGGGTCAGTGTTAAGTTGGGGCTTCAGTCGGTCGCTTCAGTTTCAGCCATGGCTCGACTCGCCGCTCTCCTGCTCCTACCGGTTCTCATTGAATCGGTATTGTCAATTTCTTTTTTTTTGCCGGTCAACTCAAGGAAATGCCTGCGAGAAGAGATCCACAAAGACGTGCTTGTTACGGGGGAATATGAAATAACTGAACAAGCCAACACTAAAACTAACCTGAAGGTGAGCTCGGACTGCATACGGCTCTTTATTCTGTTCATTATGTATCTAACCATTGTCTTGCGCTTTGTCAAGACTATGAAATGCTGAAAGGCATGTTTTTAATTTGTAATCCAAGTTTGTCTGTGAGATCTTTGTAGAGACCGGGTGACAGCTGCTTGTTAGCATTGTAGCTCATTCAGGCCCAAAAGCCAGGCTGACTTCCTGGTGTATACGCCGTATAAATTTATTCTTTAACTTTCCCATTTTTTGTATGTCATTTATACATGTGTTTATTTGCTGTATGTGTCAGTATAGATGGCGTCTTTTAAAACCATAATTATACTTTGTTGTTATAAGTAAAATAGTTGCGCAGCTAGCATGATTTGCCGATGTTACACGTCAGTCTTAAGCACTAGCCACATTAGCTCTTTAGCACTGTTAATAACAGATGGAATAGGAAAGGCATGATCACTGGTTTATTTATACTATCGCTTAATTACGTGCTTTGTTTTAATGAATTGTATACAGGTTTTCTTGGAAATTTAGTGATGCCTGGTGGGTAATTAAAGCTGGATTCTGGTCAACCGCTGTCACCTTATGCTGGATACAGTGCACATGCATCTGATGTGCAAATACAACCTTGCATATTTAATTCATTTTTAAAATACCGCAAGAGCCTCTCACTCTTGAGTCAAACCTAGTCAGTTTATTTATAATATGATTAAGATGTGTTTAATTTTCAGATTACAGATTCCTCTAGCCACACTCTCTACTCCAAGGAAGATGCCACAAAAGGAAAGTTTGCATTCACCACAGAGGACTACGACATGTTTGAAGTTTGCTTTGAGAGCAAGTCACCTTTAGGTAAGTTCTTTTACTATGTAGGTTCTTTCTGTTTTTGCAACTCTATGATTCTATTAAAGTCATGTTTATTATTTAGGAACTGGGAGAGTGCCAGATCAGCTGGTTAACTTGGATATGAAGCATGGTGTGGAGGCTAAAAACTATGAAGAGGTACCTTGGCTTTTTGGTTGGATGTTATTTGACTGAATGGAATGTTCTACTGATTAAAACACTTTTTGTGTGTTTCATAATGTAAACCCTTTAATTCCCTTAAGTGTATTGATACATGGCTACATTTTTGGCTACTTTTCATGAAAGACCTTAAAGTGACCTTTTTGCTTCTGTGATTTATGTGTTCATCTTATAAATGTGAGTATTGATGAGGGTCATGAAGCAAAACAGACAGACTGCTTTGCTTCTGCCCTTAAATGCCACAATGAAAACGATCAAAAGAAAAGGCATTTTTCAATCTCTTTATGAGGAGTGTTAAATAACCAGTAAATTCATAAATCTGAAACCATTGGAAATCTTCTCTCCTGATGTTCAGAGTTTAGCGCATTTTGATGCTAGTCATGGTTGAAGATTGCTTAGGAAGGGTCATCCTCATTTGTTTTCAAAGTTACTTGTATATAAAATAAATTATGTGTTTAGGCTGATCAGTATAACAAATTAGTCTTATTGTGTATTCATTTTTTCTAGATTGCCAAAGTGGAGAAGCTGAAACCTCTTGAGGTTGAACTTAGGCGTCTGGAGGATCTGTCAGAGTCTATTGTGAATGACTTTGCCTACATGAAGAAGAGGGAAGAGGAAATGCGTGACACCAATGGTATAAACTATAATTAAGCAACATTATACATGTACATTGAAAATTTTACTGAAAGGTTATTATACAAATACAATTCATTTGCACACACCTATTAACTAACACAAAGGATTTACATGTATTAGAATGACATAATTTGCTGATGACTCCTCTTATTTTTTCAGAGTCTACCAATACACGTGTGCTTTACTTCAGCGTCTTCTCCATGTGCTGTCTTATTGGACTGGCCACGTGGCAGGTCTTTTACTTGCGGCGTTTTTTCAAGGCAAAGAAGCTGATTGAGTAAAGAGTCTATCACGTCCTGAGGAGAAAGCTGCTTTTATGTCAGGCAAAGAAATTCAAGACCTTTTCTCATCGGACTTTAGCAAACAATTGCAACTGGAGTCAAGGAGCTCCAGCACAGTCAAAAGAATGATAATTTTCTGACAAAAGAAGTCATCTGCTTATTTGTAACAATGTTCATCCATGGTATCAACTACAAGCTGTTTTCTGTTCTGCTTTTAAATGTTGCAGCTACTGAATAACAACCTAAAATTACACGAACAGATTTCAGAGCTTGTTTTGAATGAATGTGCCATTAGAAAATGTCTTTCTTTTTATTAATGTAAACACTTATTTGTCATACCAAGCAAACTTTCCACTAACTTATCCTTGGTGGCCCATTATCAAGTGAAGGCTATTTAAAAAGTGGTTAATTGTTACATTCATGAAAAATTACAACCACTTGTCCAGTTTGCTAATGTCTTTGGAAGCTAAATTGATTTCCTGTTTGTTTTTCAAATTGTATATACTTGTTTTTCTTTTATAGTTGGGATAATATAGGTTTGGTTTGTCAATATATTCAGCCGATCATAAATGATGTCAGTGCAAAAAAAACAAGCCCGCATGAAACTGGGTCAGTGAACATGCTTCAATTCCACTTAGGTATTTGTTATTTAATTGTTTTTATGTTGGCAGGTTGTGAAAGAAACTTTAAATGAATATTAATGTCACCAGTCAACCACATTTCTTTGCTGATCTTACCATTCAAAAGTTTTGAAACTCAGAAACTTAAGTTCAATTTAATCCAGTGTGTTTTTTCAGTTTCTGTATGGTTTTAGGGTTAGGGTTATGGAGGCTCCTACTTGGCAGGGATTACATCAATTTGGGAACATTTTAGACAAAACGTGCACCATCGGCACTGTCAGTACTTTTTATGTTGAATAAAAATTTTGTAAATTTGTTTTTGAACTTTTATTTCCTAGAGTGGTAATCTATTTTTGTATGGTTGTGCTTTTTCTAATATCCTATTAAGCCTTCATGGTACTGAATGAAAAGAGAGGTACATTTTATTAAGGTAATCTATGTGGAATATAGGAATGGTGTGGGACATGTTTCAAAGATGGAAGAATATATTATTAAAATATTATATAAACTCCTTTTAGGCAGCTCTTTGTAGTATTGACCTAATTTTTCAGTCTAAGCACTTCTGTGCTAAGCATTTCTTTTCAAGCTGTATTCTGTTTGGCTGCTCTTTATAGGTATTTGTGTGAAATATAGGTATTGTATTAGTATTAACAACATTTCATAGATGCTGTGTTTAACACTTGTGAGAGAAGAGCATTTTCCATCTGGATGTGAGGATTTTAAGAACTTTGCGTTGCCTCCAAGGTGGAACTCAAACAGCTCTTCCAAAATTAGGTTTACCACATGTACATAGAATATTGTGTAGTTGGTGTAACGGCTTATGTCGATTTGGCACAAAAAATGTACAAAGTTATTTTAAAGTACTATCCGGAGATTGTGCCAATTTTCACGCTTGCATCATCACATAAACAAATACTGCACCAATCTGCTATGCACGCACCACTAAAGTTACACAAACTTGTTTAGAAAGGGACCAAAAGACAAGACTATCTTAAATACATTTAATAATAACGATGATTAATAATACTGAATAAAATGAAATAAAACAATGAACTCTTAATCTGAAAATGCGCACTAACCCGGAAATACATTGGAGTACATCCTGTTCACCGGATTCACATTGGAAATAACAGTGCTGCTGTGTTGATCACTTCAACCAAGCAACTTAAAATTAGAGATGCCGGGATCAGACAAAGAAACAGACCTCACAGAGCGAATAGAGGCATTTCTGTCCGAACTGAAGCGCGGTGGCTGCGGGACAGGACCTCTTCGTGGCTCTTCAGAGACTGCCCGAGAAACCACAGCTCTGCTCCGTCGTATCACCGCCCAAGCCCGATGGAGCAGCGCAGGTAAAATGTTTTTGACAGCTTTAGGGAAGCGTGATTAAGTGATTTATATTACTGTATTCTGCAATTCTCATCAGGATTATATGTGAAAAAATAATTAAGTGTGGCTCCGTTACCGTGCTTAAGAGATCAAGGATTTTGACATCTTGTATGATGGTTGCATTTTAGGTGAGCTCATGGAAATAATACGAAAAGAGGGAAGACGAATGACCGCAGCCCAGCCGTCTGAGACCACTGTAGGCAACATGGTGCGTCGTGTCCTGAAGATCATCAGGGAGGAGTATGCCAGGTGAAGATGTGTTCTTTTTCATTTGTAAACGATTAATTGTGAAAATGAGTAGAGTTCATGAGTTTATAATATCTGAGCTTGTGTTTTCAGTCATAAAATATATAAATATATATATACTCAACATACAAAGATAATCTTATTGTGTTACATGTATTTTTTTATTGCAGGTCTCGAGGAAGCAGCGAAGAAACAGACCAACAAGAATCACTTCATAAACTGCTGACTTCAGGGGGGCTTAGTGAAGAAAACTTCAGACAATATTTTGCGCCCCTCAAAGCTAATGTCATCGAAGCCATTAATGAACTGTTAACAGAACTAGGTTAGCAAATGGCATATTAAGGCTAAAAGCAAGATAATGTATAATCTAACTGAATGTCTGGGGAATTTACAGAGGGAACCACGGACAACATTGCTATGCAGGCCTTGGAGCACATTCACTCCAATGAGGTCATCATGACCATTGGCCGCTCACGTACAGTTGAAGCTTTTCTCAAAGACGCTGCACGCAAACGCAAATTCCATGTAATTGTAGCTGAATGTGCCCCCTTCTGTCAGGTATATAGCAGTCTTACCAAATGATTTGGATTGGAAAAAGTGCATTCTCTTATTATTTTCTCTTATTCATCACAGGGACACGAAATGGCGACCAGTCTTTCAAAAGCTGGCATTGAGACCACTGTAATCGCAGATGCTAGCATATTTGCTGTGATGTCTCGTGTCAACAAGGTATGTTAAGGTGAACCGTGTAATATTAAATGAATTGATTGAAAGTTTAATGTGAAGATATTACTGTGGCTAGGTCATCATTGGGACACAAACTGTGCTGGCAAATGGAGGTTTAAGGGCTGTCAACGGGACTCATACTCTGGCCCTTGCTGCAAAACACCATTCAACACCACTTATTGTTTGTGCTCCAATGTTTAAACTTTCACCTCAGGTAAGACAACAATCCAGTGATTTATGTTATTATCATATTTGTATCTGGAAGTATTAAATTGGACCTAAAAATGTCTTTAGTTTCCAAATGAAGAAGATACCTTCCATAAGTTTGTTTCTCCTCAAGAAGTTCTGCCCTTCATTGAAGGTAAAGATACAAGCCCATAAAAGAACTAAATACAACTCCTAAAATAAAGTAATTGTGCTTTTCATTTTATATTACTAATTTTTCTCTCCTTCAGGTGAAATACTGTCGAAAGTGAATGTACACTGCCCCGTCTTCGACTACGTCCCCCCTGAGCTAATTACCTTGTTTATTTCAAATATTGGAGGCCATGCACCGTCATATATTTACCGTCTAATGAGTGAACTTTACCACCCAGAAGACCATGAGCTTTAACAGCTGTAAATAAAATAAAGTGTGTTAAGTCACAAAATAATTGAGTGATGGACTAGTGTATTACTAGTATTTTTATTAGAGACCTGAAGGTGTGTTGCTGAGTACTTATAAAATAAATAAATAAGAAATCTTATTGTCATTATATGGGACACTAATTTCTAATTTGAGATATAAAGTGAATACTTTTATGTGACATCAGATTTGAGTGCTACGGATAATTGATGCAGTGCGTGGCTAGATGTGACAGAGGGCGCTGTTGTAAAGGTAAAGTTTATGTCGCAAACGTGAAATGAACATAATTTAATCAATGCAGAGGTAGGCCTTCTTGACGTGACGCCCATTTTCAGCGTTGTCACTAAATGACCTTCCTCCAAAATTAAACTCAACTGCACCAATATGAATTTATAAATAACATACAGTTTTACAACTGAGATGCGTTTAATGTTTTGGTATTTTAACAAAAACACAAAAATTTCCTGCTGTGTGACACTTCTTCAAACCAGTCACTTGTGTCAGTGAGGTAACAAAGGTGTTGGCTTAAAGGGAAGTATGTGTACATCATATAGTAAAGTTATACAAAAACCAGAAGGAGCTCATTTGACATTTATGCACCAGAAAAGCTGTGGGGTTATATTTCTGTATTATTTTAATATGGGACAGTTACATAATTATTTAACTAGCACAAGAGACATATTTAGTAATTCTTTCAACATAGCAAGCTGTAGTGATTTTCCAGCAAGGTGACAAGGCAATCTCACTCACACAATCACAGGGCATGTTAATGTATCTAAAATTAAAAGAGTTGCACAAAAAATGCTGTGGGCTTTGTGAAAAGGCTTCCTTACAGTTGTTGTACAACTGATATGTTTTTGAATATTATTTTTGGATTTTGCTACAAAGGGATGCCACACTGCAGGACAGAAATGGAGACATTACACTCCAACTCACTATAGATGAATGTGTCTGTCAGACACAGTAAAGTATCAGTTTTTATAGTTTGTGATCGTGTCAGCTTGGCCTGTCCCAATAATTACTACATAGACGTACTGTTCAATATATGAAAGTTGGAACAATATATTAGGGCTCAATATTTATCCTGTGCACAATTTCTTTGTAAAAGTGGGGAGATTTGAGGTATTTTTGTTTTAATATGACAAGATTTGAGCTGTAGAGGGGAACTTCTGGCTAATTATGAGTTCATTCTGCTATTTATTTGTTGCAGCTCTGGAATTTTAATGATACTGTCTATTTAAAAGAGGATTACTATCTTGCATTACTGTTATTAAGTCAATGTCACAAGCAGTTTAAATTGTATCATCTATCGCAGTGCTAGTATATCTCTAGCAACATATCATGCTTCAGAATTTGTTATCATGACAGACCTAATGTCAGCCAGGCCAGTAATAAAATATAAATTTAATATAAATAAAAGGTGCACTATCTAACCTGTGATGGGAGGTCCAGCAACATGCTTGTTATTACTTTGCAAGGCATTATTATTATGACACTAAACATGCATTTCTACTATAATTAGATTCATTTTGTCATTTTCTTCTGATAACCAAGTTGGTAGTGCTACTGCAAAAAAAAAATATTTCAGGTAAATAAGCTATTCAGCGTTTTACAAATTGTCTTATTAGAAGAAAACAAAGTTTATAAGCATTTTTACTGTAAGCGGCATCACCTCTCCATAGATCTGACCTGTAATTTGTCCTACTGGTATCACATGTTTGTGTCCATAGAGATAGATAATTTAAGCAATGATCTTTCCATGGCGACACTCAGGCTGCAGACTTTCCCCCTGAAAAGTGCGAAGCAGGTCTATTTCTTGGATTTATACAAAGACAATAAAGAAGTGTTGGAGGTGGATAGTTGAAGTTTTTGAAGAGTTTTAAGTTCTAATTTTTTGTATCAAACACTGCTGTTGAGCATGTAGTTCCAGGAGGGTAAATTTACAGTGGTGTAAACAGTACAATATGTTCTCTTTCCCCAAAACTTTTATTTAGTTAGTGTGAAACATCTTTACCCAAATGATTACATTATTTGGTTTGCTGCCAGTATTGTGCTTCAAAGACATTTCCAGCAGCCCCCCCAGCAGCCCCTCATGATGAATGAATGAATTTAAGTGAAATTTGTCTGGCAGGCCCAGCTGTTGCCTGGTGAGGTTCTAAACAGTGGCAGGTTTTCGGCATCAGAGCATCATTGTCCCATGGGACAGTTTGGGTGAGTGCTGTAATTAGTGGGAACTGAGGCAGTAGGGCCCATGTGTTCCCTGGAGAGGCCCCTGGGGACCTGGAGACGCGTGGCTAACCTGTGGGCCACAACCTGTGAATAGCTCTGCTTGCTTTGGTTGTGGGTGTTAAGCATTGATGTATTATTCTTTTTCTAGATCTTGATTGCTAGGTCTACTGTTTTTGTACTCTAATTGACCATTAATAAAGCAAATAATCTGTATACAGCCAGTGATAAAATAATTACAATATTCAGCTGAAGCCTTTAATACTGTATGTGTGCTTAATTCAGTTTTAGTTTTAACCGTCATTGTTTTGTCATATTTGCGACAGGAAAGGCATCATACATAACATCAACATATAATAACCACTGCTTTTAAAATGTATCCCATAAGAATGAAGCAGTATTGTTTGTAACCTGTTTCTGTCCTACCACAGGATCATTCTGTGGGGTGAGCACTGGTGTGTGCAGGTGGATGAAGGCTCCATCTGCTGCCTTCACTGATGAGTAAAACCATGACATAGATCCAGCTGGAGACGTGACGAGGGGAGCACGGCCTCATGGGAAATCATCACCCGCTCCGTGTCCACTTCTGCAGCGCCCCCGAGAGCTATCAATAAGTGGGTAATTGAATTTTAAGCACAAACTGTGGCGTTAGATGAGCGGGTGTGAGTGGGAGGGGACGTGGATGTTTAGAGTGGACACGATGATGCTGTCATGTTTCTGTCTCTGGGGACTCAAGAGTAAGAATGAATGTTTAATCCTCTAAATAACAATTACACCCAGTAAGAGGGCAGGAGCAAGCAACATGCTGTATGTACACTGCTCTAAAGTCAGACATGTAGACTACCTGATCCTGGTCAAGCAAGCCAAAATCTTACATAAATTGGATGAAAATTTTCCTATATTCACATAAGTTCACATAATAATTATTGTGAAAATTAACTTTAATATCAAGGGTTTCCATTCCTTTCATTATTTTTTTTATCAGCTAATTGTGATTTAAATTACTTGTTGGTAATATCAAACCTGGTAGATTTTATTTGTAAAAGAGCTATCTAAAAGTATCTCAAATTATGTTTCTGAATAAATTGTAACAAAATAAGTTAAAATCTCTGAACATATGGTTGTAATGGCACATGGGCAAATACAGTAATTGAAGTGAACTGCATAACATGGATATTGTTGTTGCAATGTATTATGTGTGTTAATAGGAAAAACACTATATTGTTCAGGCAGTGACACATTCTTGGACATAGTAGAAGCCACAACACTAGAAACCATAATGCATTGCTGCGCATCAAACAAACAGCCCCTGAACACAAGAGTGAGCAGCGATTGTTAAGTTGCACTTTTGATCCAAAGTGAGTTTGCTAGCTGTGCTGTTCTCATGGCGCTAACACAATGGCCTGTGTATGGGAGCTGCCTGGTGGCATTGCTTAATTAGGCGAACAGTTGATTCATTTGCACTAATTGACAGCTAATTAAAGGAGTGAGGGCACATCGGAGTGACGTCCTGTGAGTGGTGGGACATGCTCTTGTGAAATGTGGTGTCTTCAGAAAACCACCTGCTGCAGACTATTGCACACACACATATGGCAAGTGTCTGGACAGGGCTGCTGTGGAAACGTATACAGAGCTCGACTGGAGGCAGCTGCTTGGAGTTTTCTCTCTGTGCTGCAAGAAATGAAAGTGAAGCTCTCATAAGAACCATGTTGTTTAGCTCTTACTCTAATAAAGGCTCTTAAACCTTATTTTTCATGCAAATTTTAAAATGACTGTCAGTTAGAAGACATTAAGGCCCATTGATTACATCCGTTGATTTTATTGATTTGGTCCTCTCCTTATTCATGTCAGGAGCCGTGGGCACTAGCTTCAGCCTGTAGTGACCTGACACAGAACAACTCCAACATTCATTTACTATGAGCTTGTCTTTAGAAGCTATTATATATTGGGTATTTCTGAATATTTCTAATGTTTGTTTCTACACCAACAAAATGTGTCCTTAAATGCTACATAGTAAATGCAGGATTTATGCCTGACAAATTGTCTGTCCAGTAAATGAACTTGATATGACTTTTAAGAATTCAATAATGTACATGTAAAAGTAACAGAATGACCTGTATGATGCTGGACAGAGTAACTTGATGGTGGCTGACTGTCATCCATGTTTGGGACCCTGTCGAAGAACATTACTCCAGAACATTTAAAGTTTGGGGTCAACCAGTTAAGGTTTGGAGTGAGTGCTTTCCTCACCGTAGGAGTCCTGCAGGCCTGTCCTCTCTGTCTGCTGCTATCCATGTGAATGCCCCTAAAATAAGGACAATTAGGGGCTTATTAAGGTCCAGGGCGCTGTAGTTCACGGGGCGTCTGCTCTGCCCCATCTCCAAACAGTCGGGGGCATTGTCTCACCTAATTATGCTGAGGTGGTGGGCCCCTTTTTGTGTTGTTGCTTCTGCCATGCCTGTCCGGTTCCCTTCTCCATCGAAACCACTAACTCTTGTCCATCACAGAGGTCTGCTAATTAGACAAGAAACAAGCCCAAGTAATTATGTCAATTCTCGTTATAAGTAAAACCACATACAGGACTATCATTCAATCCAGTTTAAAAGTTTAGGGGAGGGGCCTCTCTCTCCCCCACTTTTCCCAGTGAAACATCTGCACATGCTACAGGGGAATGTGGCACGCTCGGCGAACTTCAGAGCACAAACCGATGCACTCATACAGAAATGGAGACTATAGAACGGCACTGGCATGAAGTTATTGCCCTAATTAATGCTTTGTGAAGCCAGAGCAAACAGTTGAATCGTCAGCGGCACATTGTTCAACTGTGGGAGCTGCTTTTGTTTCTGCACCTTAATAGGATGTTTTGATCAACGGCTGTTTGGTGACCCAGCTCTCTCCTGAAAGGCCAAGCTCTGGGAAATGGCAATTAGCTAGATTAGAGGAGCCATTTGTAGAGCACACACAAAGACAGATACGGCAGAGTGAGAGTGTGGGGCAGCTTATGATCATCTCAAATCAGTTACCAAGTGCCACCAGTCAACAGTAACACGTCTTCTGTGGAGCATGCTAAATATGTAACATTTTGTGTTTTGGCCCTATTGTTTTTTGTTTTTTGTTGTTGTTTTTTTCCCCACAAAGAAGGATGCAGCCACTACTCCCCTATTTTAAATGGAGTGTTTTAGTACAGATATTAGAATCTTGCTACAAGCTTTGAACAAGTTGCTCATTCTCAAATCAATACATGTAGGTTTTACCCAAGGCCATGCCAATAGTTATAGCCTGGTTATTTTATTTTTATGTGGAAACATAAAATACATATCTTCTTTCTTTCTTATTCATATTATGTCATTATTACATTATATAGAAATGTATGTGTGTATGTATGTATGTATTATTTTATTATTAAGATGGAAAGCAATGTCTTCCCAGTCCACATTTGTTCCGTGTGGATGCAGGCGGCTCGTTGTGCGTTTTGCGGCAAACAACAAAGGCCCAATTGAGTGACGTGGCACGCTTTACCCCTCGATCTTACGCGAGATACGGCTTTAAACCTGCTGTGACCCACTCCACTCGTACCCTATCTACATCTACCCCTCCCTACGCGTGCGCGCCCGGCCCATTGAGGAGGCCCTATCTAAGCGTCCGCTCATCTCCATAAACTCTTCCTTTCCCCTCGGCGTCATTGTGCGTCCACATGTCCAAGCCTAAAGTGTGCCCCAAATTATCCCCGAATGATTTTAACACAACAATAATGGATTAATGGCTGATTAGAGGGCGTATGGATCGAAGTAAGCAGCCGTGTTGTTAAAGTTAAGTGAGTTTAAATTAGCGCTAAACCAGACTAGAGTTGATTTCCCTTGGCGTCTGTGCGTCCGGTCAATTTTTTTTTTTTTTTTACCAAGAATGTAATCACGATACATCAGCTATATATCCAGGGTTATTATGAAGTAAACAGGGTTGAAATTAAATCAACAACTCGCCATGGTTTCTTCAGCTATATAGTGGCCCTATAAGTTGCCAAAACAAATCTGTAGGAGATAATGTCCCGTCTCATGTCGTTTGTCCCAGTGTTAGCGACTTGTCTGGCGCTTAATTGCCCCTAATGTGCCCTAAATACAGAAAAGTAGGACATTGTACTCAACACATATTGTGAATAATCATAAAGAAGCTTAATAACTATTAACAGATGCAGCGGGGGTCCGGAGACAAAACACGCAGCCTAATTAGAATATGGTAATCACCCTGAGTGTGGGAGGCTGGGCCCTGCACCAGGTCCAACGATCGATCAAACGAGCAACAGAGCGCGCCATAACCAACTACAAGTGATATATTGATTAAAGTTATAGAAGCATACATGTCTACATAACCACCAAGTGACAATGGGCTATTAAGATGTCTGTAGCGTGTTACCCTATGTGCCTGAAACACTGAATAGGCTACAGATTATTGTTGAGAACAATACACGAAATTTAATCAAATAAATGCAAGGTTTGCCTCAATTTTCTGTGGTCAGATCAGGAGCCTTGTTTTGTGTTTCTGTTTTTGTTGATATGTAAAACAGCTTTGGTTTGAATTTAGTAGAGATTATTCCAGACAGATGTTATGGCTCAGAGTCGGGCACTAAGATCTACAAACAGAGCAAACTTAAAGATAATGGACCACCTCATTTATCGACAGTAGGCTACTTTTCAACTGAAATGATTGGTTATTCCCTTATGGTTTGGACGAACACGGGATGATGTGATGATGATAATCGCTGCTGAAGTTGGCGCGCCTCGGGCTGTGATTGGCTGCAGCCTGACGCCTGTTGAATAAAAGCCAGAGGCAAGCGCCGCACTGACACCAGCACTGTCCAGACAGGACCTGTCCGATCTAAACTCTGAACCACTCTCACTGTGCACTGTCCCGGGATGACGGGCAAAGACGGAGCGGTGTTGTCGGACGCTGAAAACAAGGAGAGGAGCACAAGTCACTGTGGGATGGCGCACGCGGGGCAGCAGCCCGCTGCGTGGAAACTGGGCCCAGCTGTGCCGAGGCGCACGGGCTTTGGGATTCAGGAGCTGCTTGGTCTCAACAAGGAGACGCCCGCCACACCGAGGCGACCCCTCGAGACGCTTCCGCACCGAGCACACGCGCTGGTAGCGCGAGGGCCGCTGGGCCCCGGGCCGCTGCTGCTGGGGCCCGACGGAATCCACTCTTTTTATCGCCAACCCGCCTTCCTAGAGGCGCTGTCTGAGGCACAGCACGCGCACCTGCCACCGCTGCACAGAGACGCGCACGTGGATCCGCACTTGGACCCGCGCTCCTCCAGCTCAGGTCAGCATTTGAGTCTTTATTAAAAAAAAAATTATAATAATTTTTAAAAAATGCATGTAATTGGAGAATTATATAGGATATTTTGGCTATAACGGGCCTTCACCTACACGGCTCTGGGTTTAAAAGACAAGGACAGTTTTGCTGCGCTTAGTTGCATTAATGTTACACATTTTCCTGAAGACAACATATAACATACAACATAAAGCCAGATTTTTCCCAAATGATTGTGAGTAGGCTCCTTCTCTTCATATTTATTAGTCAATGCATAATGGAGCACTTAGGCCTTCTTCTGTGTCTGGCCTAGTATATAATACAGATAATAAATAATTGCATACAGGAATGCCTACATTTTTACATAATTATCAAATAAGACTTTCATTTCAATTTGCTATTTGTACAGATTCGGATGACATGAGCATCTCCGGAGATAAGAAATTTAAGTCATCAATGAGTCAAAACAAGAAACGGAAGAAAAGACGACACAGGTAAGAAAAATAAATTTTAAATAAATACTAAAATTAATTTAAAATAATACAATGTGTCCTGAATGTGGAATTTTATACAATAAAAATTCAGGTAAATAACAGCCAGTCAGGCAACAGCTTAATGATAAGTGTTTATTCCAAGAGAGGGCAAATTTCTAATAAAATATTACATACTTGGATTGTCCAGGACCATCTTCACGTCATACCAGCTGGAGGAACTGGAGAAAGCATTTAATGAAGCTCACTATCCAGACGTTTATGCTCGGGAGATGCTCTCAATGAAGACAGAGCTGCCAGAGGACCGTATCCAGGTTGGACACTGAAACACTTCACACAGGATACATTAGTCAACACTAACAGAATAAAACAAACAAACTGAAAACAGAGGCCTATGTGTAAGAAATAAATAAAATAGAATGTTTATTTATTTAGGTTCCATCACAGTACCTGTTTTTCTCAGTTTCATAAATACTACAGAAGCGCACAATGCCAATTAAAAATACATACATTAAAATAATATTAATAATGATAATAATCATTATTATGATAATTATAATAATTATATTAACAAATCAATGTTTCAATATGAAAATTAAGAAGAATTCCGGCAAAATATGCAGACTTGCAAAAGGAGATAAAAGAACCAAAACTATATTTTTTGGTTTACAAAATATTTTATAACATTGAATAAGTGGATAGAGGTTTTTGGTTATTCAAATGAGCCTTGACAGAAGGAAAACCATAAGGAAAGAATTTTAGTAGAGGACTGTGTATCTTTTAATCTAAAACAGAAGACATATAATTTACTGCATAGTCAACAACTGCATGCGAGACAGGAAAGAAGGCCTTTTTTAGTGTGACTTTGCAGTACAGTTGTATTGATGCTTGAAATATGTCGAGCTCTTAACAGGTCAGCTGTTTGCAGATGAATCTAAACAGAGTATAGTTCACTGAAAACCTCTCGCACAAGAAGAAGTCAAACTGTGTAAGTGTAATTAGTTAATTGAGAAGAACTTTTCACCTGGCTCCTCTTGGATAGGATAAGCACAGAATGAATTAGCGCAGGTCCGAGCAGTTTAATTTCCCGTGGTATTTCACCGCCTGTCTCTCATCGATCAGCTGTGGAAATTAACTTATTTCAATCAGCCTCTGTGCCCTGGGGGTCACCGCTCACTCACGCTGCCGCTGTCACAAAGCATGATTGCTCATCTGAGGCCCATCTTTTTATGAGATGGAGGCTATCATCAGAGCTATGTACCTGAATAGCTTTTCCGCTACAGAGTGTTTTTAATTCCACACACACACAGCAGGAACCAATCCCAGCAATCTCATCCTGCCTCCTCCGCCATTTTAGGATGCTCATTTTTCCTGTTTGGCTCATCCATATTCACGAGCTGGCGGAGGGTGTTACAAGGTCTGGCAAATCAATTTAGGATCTACACAAGGCGCAGGAGAATGCACCAGCACATGTTCACTCACACACACACACATACACACACATGCACACACACACACACACCAGTGGTTATGGACTGCTCATAAAATTCACTAGAAAAATGTCAACTTTCCTGCAACAGCTGTACATTTTAAAAATGTGAAAAGTTAATAATCAATGATAAACCATTTACTGTATTCAGTAAAAACATTCAGCAATGTCTTCTTTCTTTATAACAGTTGGTATTTTGTAGAAGCATTCTTTTATTTTGTTTACTCCTTTAAATTTACCACAACTAAATGATCTACCTTCTTGTAAATTGCATTGTTTGATTTAGTTTTTTCACTGAGCTTGGGAGTGGTTAAAAGAACCGCCCCTCTGGCCATCTATGTCTGGAATATAGATAAGATAAGAAACTATGAAGTAGAAATCTTCATTTGACTACTGAGATATGCTAGCTCTCCAGTAGATGTCATTGTAACTCTTTCTTCTATGAAAAGTTACTAGATGTTACAAGCTGAAAGATCAATTCAAATGCATTTTCACAGGATACATGTATATTATCTTGTATTTATGATCTTTTTCTTTGTGATGTGTGGGCAGGTGTGGTTCCAGAATCGCAGAGCCAAATGGAGAAAGAGGGAGAAGTGTTGGGGGCGCAGCAGCGTTATGGCAGAGTACGGTCTTTATGGGGCTATGGTCAGACACTCAATCCCACTGCCAGAGTCCATCCTGAAATCAGCCAAAGACGGCATCACAGAATCATATGCACCATGGTTACTAGGTACTTTTTGTTTGTTTTATGTTTTGACACATTTAAAAATAAGTAGATAATGTAACTTAAATAAATGTAACATAAGCAGATTATTATGAGTCTGATTAATAGGCCGGGCATAGGACCATGTGGAAAAAAGATAGCATTCCTTAACTCCCTGCATGATATGTAAGAGTTATTTAAAGCACTTTTTGAGCACTTTTTGGCACAGAAAAGTGAAGAGCGTAAGGAGCCAATGAAAGTGTGCCCTTGTCAATGAGAGGTGACAGTCAATGGTGTGTAAATCCCACTTCATCAGGACAGATTAGGCTAAATCTCCTTTCTGCCACATGTCAATTGATTTGTATAAATCAATTAGGCTGCTCTGAGTCAAGATTCCTTTACCAATATACTCTCTATCTGCTCACTATGGAGGTCTGACTTGAAGATCTACTCACAGTCTGTACTAAAAAATAAAGCACTTTAAAATATTATTATCTTTTGCTTTAGTTGAAATAAAAGTTTTTTTTCACTGCCACCACTAGTACCGCTATTACATTAAATGTGTTATATTAAAAGTACTGCAACTGTTTAGACCATACTGAAAATCTTCTCTCAAGTCTTCCCAGAACAAAATAACAGAAAATTCTATTAGTAAGAGGTATTCTATTACTAAGAGGTATTCTCAAGTAAATTACCTGCAACGATCTACCACTCCTTAGTATGACAACATTCAAACTGCCAATATGATGCAATATAATGTAAAAAAAAACAATTCAGTGTGTGCTAATGACACACTAATGACTTAATGAGTAAAGATGATGAAGTAAACTTGCACAATAATGGAAACCAATATTCAAAGTGGTTAACGTTTATGTCACTGCTCTTCAGGTATGCACAAGAAGTCTGTTGAGACTACTCACTCCTCTCCAAGCAAAACCTGCAGCACAATACTTCCCCCTGTACAGGACAAGGTGGAGGACAAAGCAACAGAGGAGGACAAGGAAAAGTGGACAAAGGACACTGTCTTGGACTTTTCCAAAGAAGAGATGAGAGAGAACAGTATTGCAGTTCTGAGGGCCAAGGCACTTGAACATAATGCCAAGATACTTTCGAAAGTCCCAGATAAAAAGCATAAAGATGAGGAGGAGGAGGAGGAGGCGATGAAGGAGGAGACAGAGGCGAAAAAGACAAATTAAAGACATTTAATGTTGCCAAATAAAGGGACATATTTGGCAAAATGGCCCAGCTGACACACTCCTGGAAAAGGCCTAAACTCTACAGTATGTTACTTAATTGCTAATGAAGAACAATTTCCCACCACACCTTTGTTCCAGAGGTGCTACAGGCCATTTGAACTATGACCTTTGAACCCTGATTATGTATGATACCTGCAGACCTCATCAACACTGACACTACTGCTGCCATTTGTTGCACATGATGTAAATAAAGCTAGTACCATGTTATCACTGTGTAGCTTATCAAATATGTGTTTGTCTCCTTACGATTGTAAATGTAGGCAAATAAAATCGCATCAACTGTAACGAATCTATTCATTGCACCACGTGACATTCCTCCCACATCAGCCGGTCTGAAGAACTTTTGGGGGTTGGGGGCGGGTTTCCCTGCGGATGGATTTCAAGATATGGTGAAAGCTCAAAAAGTATGTAAAACGCACTAGACAGTTCGGAGAAATTGAGAATAAACTGTGGACGCAAGAGTGATAGTAAGTTACTGATGTGTTGTTGCGTAAAAGTGCGCATTCCGTACACCCGTAGATTCCAGTAAAGAGCGCAACAAGGGCTGGCACTTGTGTGCGAACCCGCCCCACGCATCACCCCCACTGCGCTTCCTCTCTTATAGTTTCGGTTGGGGTTTTATTCTTCACTTCAGTCTTCCTCCGCTCAGTTACAGCCCCGATAAAGCATCATATAGCCTAATAAGGATTTCGTGAGATACTTGCTGGCGTTATGTGGCTGCGGTGCACTTCGAGACGCCTGCTAACTTGTTTTCGTGTGTTAAAGCACAGGCGTCTAAATGCGTCGTCTTGGAGCAGTAACGTAGCTACTGCTATGCCCGAAGCTCTGGGCTTTCAGGGAGTCACGGACCACGCCACGCTCCACGACTTCTCCCTCACGCACAATGACAGTTTTTGGGAAGCTATGGCCAAGCAAAGACTCACCTGGATCAGCGACTATTCCAAGGTGCAGGACTGCGACCTGAGACGAGGCAAAGTCAACTGGTTTGTGGGAGGAAAGCTTAACGTGTCTGGTAGGTTTGGATAAACAACATCAAAAGTGTTAACCAAACAGAACTCGAGAAAGCACACAGATGAAATTACTTGCATTCAGTATTGGTGACACCATCTTTTAATTCAAACCACGTCGTATTATTTCAGGCTCTTTTCTTGTATAGTGGCTGGCTTTTCAGTTTGGTTTCACAGAGGCTTATTGTGATGCAAAACATGTGCCACCAGCATTAATGTTACCACCTCTTGGCCAAAAACAAACTTGGGACCCCTATCTGTTTAAATTCTAAATCTGGAAATAAAATGGACACTGTTATATTTTTAGTAGGTCTCCAGGTTCTACTGGTCTAATAAGTTGGTGAGTGGTAGTTTAGTTGAGTTAGTAGCCTACAGGAGTTTGGAGAAGCGAACAGCAGCACTGATCTGTCACTGTACAAACAAGCTGATAAAACAAAACCCTAATGTGTGCATATATCAGTCACATTTACTGTTGGGTTCACATTCTTGTTTATGGTCTGTTTGTGTGGTCAGTGAACTGCCTGGACCGTCATGTACTCACCTGTCCTGACAAAGTGGCCCTCATCTGGGAGAGAGACGAGCCGGGGTCAGAGGTCAAAGTCACGTACAGGTCAGTGCGGGATCACTGTTCAGGTCTTTCCCTCACCTCATGAAGAAGAGAATATTTCAGAGTGGAGATAATGCAGTTGTAAAAGGACCTATAAAGTGAGAAAACAAAGAACTTGACCTTGAGTTTACAATGATATGTAGCAAGTTGTCAAAACTGTCACTCTTGCCCTACTTGTAATATCAGAAAATACGAGACAGACTTTTATAGACCCTTTAAAAGTTTGTAAATAAAATTCTGAAATGGAGGAAACTGAATTTGGAGAAACTACAGAATATCACAGTAAGTAAAATAAGTTTGTGTGTTTGCGTGCGTGTGCAAATTATAACAACATATGAGTGAAACCAGAGCCTGGTTTAGAGATGTTTACATTTGTATTTGACATTATTTGCTTAAATAATAGATAGATGATACACTTTTTTCTTTTAAGTTTTACTGGACAACAGCTCACAGAAATGTTTACCCCATGGTAATTTATCTACAGATATACTGAATACACAAATAATACATTTTGCAAAACTCAAAAACAATATCGAGATAGCAGTAAATGGTATTTTTTCAACCCTTTGTAATAGAAAAGTAAAAATGTTTGTTATTCATTTTGTTATAAAGATAGCACTAGCATTTCGATCTTATGTCTATTAATCTTTGTCAGTGTGTTATGTGTGTTTATTAACTGTGCATAATGCTTTTAGGGAGTTGTTGGAAATGACATGTCGTCTTGGCAACCTGCTGCGACGTCGTGGGGTAAAGAAAGGAGACTGTGTGACCATCTACATGCCCCCCTGCCCCCTGGCCGTAGCCTCCATGTTGGCGTGTGCACGGATCGGCGCCGCACATAACGTGGTGTTTGCAGGATTCAGCTCAGACTCTTTGGCGGAGCGCATTAGAGACGGTGAGGACAGAGATAAATAATATTACAGCACTTAAAGGTTGTATGGATGATTTTTTATTTTTTTTTGTTTCAAGTTGTCAATGATAGCATTATAGAGGTGCAGTAGCCTTGTAATTATGATGACCAAAAAAAAGAGAATAAAAATTCATCAACTCTGGACGTGGTGGGGCCAGCTAAACATTTGCCTATAGATAACGACACTGCCTCGTTATCTGTTAGCTGACAGGCTGTCAATCAATCTCCCTACGTTTCTAGCGTAACTGACTTGCCTGCGCGCCGCCGGTACGTGGTTTACGTACGCCTGTCACGCAGTCCACAGACGCAAGACGCACAGACGCTGTTTACTCCACCAACGCAACAGTTCTTAGCGGCTTTTTTTGACCTATATCTTCCTCGCAGTTAGCACAAAGTTTGTTGCAATGGCAGACAAGAATCCAGGAGCAGTTAGCCGCAAAAGAAAGTCCGTTTTTGAGGTCGCTGAAAGAAGAAGACAAGGGGAAAAGCAGCGAAGCCAAACTAAGGTGATTCTTGAAGATTCATTCCAGCGATGGCGCGACTGAAGCAGACGCAGGGTCTAAAGACTGACGCACTGGTCCACAAATTACTCCTGGACAAGTAACTTCTGCTTATTATGAAAACATACTTTATTTCCAAGAGCTAGTCAAACGTTTTTCAGGACACGAAAGCGATATCCTATGTCTGAAAACGTAATTTTCAAGGCAAAGAAAGAGTCCGCTTGCTGCTGCGTGTTGTAGCTAGTTCATTCGCACTGAATCTGCAGCCTTCTCTGCACAACTTTCCTGCTCCTGTCCCCGCTGCCCGTTCCGCTCTTCCCCCTGCTCCTCACTTCTCCGGGCACGGAATCTCCGTGCACCGCTCCCCTCTCCTCTCTCCTCTCCTCTCTCCCCGCTCCGCTCTTCTCCCTGCTCCTCACTTCTCGTCCGCGAACGAAATGTCCGCGCACCCGCTCCCCCCGCTCCTCACTTCTCCGCCTTGCCTAACCAACACTGTAGTTAGTTGTTTACAAGTCATGTGCAGCGCACCGGCTGTAAACAAACCTGTTTCTGGCGTAAGGAGGAGGCGGGAGGAGGCGTTTTTACGTAGGGAGCTGTAGGGGAGGGGGGGTGGTTTCACGCATGCGCAACATTTGAAAAAGGACAAACAGTCGCTGGATTTCTCGTTCCTTGGAAAATCCTCTATACAACCTTTAATGTTTTTAATAATGTACTAAACAATAGGCTTTATACTCAATACCAATTTTGATACTGAAAAGATGCTCTTTATGTTACCATGTGGCCTTACAGTAGTTTTGATAAAGTTTAAACCCATTAATATGATTTTCTTCCAATACTTACTCAAATGAGTATCTAGTTTTGGCATTAATTAGTATCTGATTTTTTTATACTTTTCACAATCTACACTTTTCATTTCAAAAGCATAAACCACCAAATACATAAGCAAATCACTTCAAATGAGTTGCTGTTCACTAGGGATGTCACAATAACTGAAATATCCTGATATCGTTCTCACAATAATATCATGGACCATCACAATATATCGAATTACAAGTCTTTTTGCTTAAATTGAGAGTTATGGTGCAGTAATAGTTAAAAAAAGACAGAGGGAACAACATAGACCATGATCCTTTGCTCCATTTCAGTGTAGACTACATGAAGAAATAATAGTTCTAAGCACTTTTAACTCTTAGTTCTTTGGATTAAGTCTTGTCAAGGCAATTTAAGAGGAAAAAGTAGCATATTAACAGTTTTGTTAACCTCCACAAAATATCGCAATAAATATACCATGAGATGTATATCGTGAAAATATCGTCCCGAGAGATTAGGATATTGTTACATCCCTAATCGTGAGCCTCCCCACCATATCGTGAGCTTTCCCACGATATTGCAATAAATGTCATACCGTGAGGTTCATACGTAACGATATCGTATCGTGAGACTTGGAAATCATTACCCTCCTACTGTTTACATAACAAAGCTGGCTGTACCGCCATTATTATACGTGTTTTATTTCTTGTCTATTGTTTCCAGCCAACTCCAGTACAGTGATCACAGTGAACCAGGGGGTCCGAGGGGGAAAGATGATAGACCTGAAGAAGACAGTGGATGAAGCTGTAGACACCTGTCCAAATGTTCGACAGGTGTTCATCGCCATGAGAACAGAGACTCCGGTTGCTATGAACAACAGGGACGTCGCTATGGAAGAGGTGAGATAGTTGTACATAAATTGATTAGATTCTGAGGTAACTTTTGTTTATTAATCAATCACTGGCTATGGCTACGTGCACTCCAGAAAGTTCACCCATTTCTAATTTCTAGAGATTATTGAAATGGCCTGTACATCTGATTTCTTTTTGATTGTCCACAAATCTGCAAGAAAAATATGCAAACTAAAGAAAGAGAAAAAGATTCAAGTAGTTATTTTAATATACTTTGTACTTTGTTTTTCAAATACAACAGTTAATCTAAAACACACTGACTGAATGACACCAGGTATTTTTGATTATGAGTGTTGTATTTTGCATCTAAAAACACCAAGAATCAGGTCTAAATATTGAGTACCCATTGACAATACACTTGTTATTACATTTAGTTTATTAAAACTTTGTACTTCCAATGTGCTCTCTTTGCAGGAGATGATGCAGGAGGATGTGGTCTGTGAACCCGCTGTTATGGACAGTGAAGATGTTTTATTTATGCTTTACACATCAGGCAGCACTGGCAAACCTAAAGGACTCGTCCACACTCAGGCTGGATACCTCCTTTACACCTCATTAACACACAAGGTAATATAACACCACAGCATTTGAATGAAAATCTGAAGTAAATATATAATTAATTCATATTTTCTAACTGTGTTCTCATCTCCAGTATGTTTTTGATTACCATGATGGAGATGTGTTTGGTTGTGTGGCTGATATTGGCTGGATAACCGGACATAGTTACTGTGTCTACGGGCCTCTGGCAAATGGAGGAACTACTGTTTTGTTTGAAAGCACTCCTGTTTATCCAAACCCAGGTATGAAGGATTATGTAACAGCCTGCAGCATTATGTAATATTAGAAAAACAGTATAATATTTCAAGGTTAATAGTCTGAACGTATGCCTGCCCTCAGCTCAGCAGGGACCTCTTTTTACTGTTTACACTTAACACTGAACCTGACAGTGCCCCCCCATTATCCTCCAAAATGAGTAGCTTCTGTAAACACAGTTATCTTTAATGTCAACATTAGCTTAGTATTGTTCTTTATACATTTTAGAGAAACACTTTTATTGGGAAGTCTTTATATTGCACTGTAAAATACTCAAATGCAATATTGTACTGTAATTGTCTTAACTCTGTTTCACTATCAGGAAGATACTGGGAGATGGTTGAGCGACTACAGATTAACCAGTTTTATGGAGCTCCAACAGCCATCCGCCTGCTGCTCAAGTACGGAGACCAATGGGTGCACAAATACGACCGCTCCTCCCTCAAAACACTGGGCTCTGGTATGTCAATAGTAACATTCATCACATGCACATGTACAAAAGGGATATCTACAATTATGCATAAACATATTCATAGAGTGGACTAACACTGACCTGATACAATGTGCAGAGTGTATTTATACCTGTCATGTTATGTAGCTGTTTGACCAAGGCCCTTTTAGTGCCTCACACAGTCACACATGGAGTAGCTCGGGGTCAGGGAACGTCTTTGGTCCAAAGACACACCTGTTTTAACAGTTCAAGTACACGCACACATTCACACACACACACGCATACACACACGCAAGTGCTCACATGTTCTTATGGTAAACTGGACATGAAACCCAGTTTGACCCTCCTGTAGTTGATCAGTTATTCTACTCACTAGACTTATGTTTGATCTTATCAGAGATTTAACATGATCAGAATCTCATCTGCTGTGTGCTGCCTCTGCCTTTTCCTCTAGTGGGCGAGCCAATCAACAGAGAAGCCTGGGAGTGGTACCACAAGGTGGTGGGTGATGGTCGCTGCCCCATAGTAGATACATGGTGGCAAACAGGTATGTGCAATTATTAGATAACAAATACTTCATTTATATTAACACTACTAGCACCATGTACTTTCACTCATAATCTAACTTTTCCAATCTGGACACTCCCAAGTGAAGTTTCACTTTTGCAGCTCAAACAGCCACGTCAGCAGCTTCCCAGTGTCCAGCTCTGAGGCTGTGCTCCACTGCATCCCTGAAACAAAACACAGTTATGTAAGATTGTGGCTGCTTTAGTCACCGCCCTCTGCACACATAGACAATAGAAAATACACACAACTACACACATTCCAGTGGAGTCCAAAGTGAACACAGATGTTTTCCTCCCAGACCTCAAGAAGCCCAGAGTAACTCAAGCAGAACTGAGTACATTTTCATATTGCTACCACTAAAATGTATACATACTAGCAATAGATGGTTAAACATTTTACACACTATTAATACTCAACATAATCTACTAATGACTACCTTGTTGGAGTACTGGCATATTTGGTCTAAATTAATTTTCAGGCATTTAAAACATATTGGCATGCAGTGTTTACCTTTGGTGGAGCTTATCATCATTGTTTGAATAGAGCTGATATTTCTGATGAATCTTAGATGAACCCAACACAGTGGCTCTAAATGAGATTTAGTAATGACCAAATGGGACAAAGCTGCATAATTACCATACGAATGGCATATAAGTCGATAATTAATTGATAATAATTAAACATCATGCCTGGAAACCACACAGATACACCATGACCCAAATACTTCAGTCAGAAGGATTATGTTGTTGTGCTGCTTTCCTGGACTGTGATTCCCATTAGGACTAAGTGGCATTATTCATAATTGTCATTTGGTTGATCTGGGAACAAGTAGCCTGTTTAGAGACTGAATTAGATTCTGATCCACTGTTGGCACTCGGCCGCCATGTTGAATTACCCAGTAGTGAGAAACTGAAAGAAACTGAAACATGTGGTGTTTTAGAGGGATGATTATAACAATATTGACACTTTATCTAACAGTGACTTCTACAGAGAAAAGTTAGAGAGAAAGTTGGAGAATGGATTTTTGTTGCTAGTACTTTTGTGCTGTTATCTGTTATGCCCTACTTTATACCAGCCTCTGCTCAGATCCATCAGATTAACCACTCCCGCAGCCTGGACAGACCTAATAACATTTAATTTACTTAATATGGCAGTAATTCCTAAAGCTACATCTGTACAGTGAAAGAGACTTATGCTAATCAGATTTTGCATTTCAGTTTCCATTTTTATGTCATATAAAACACACAGCTAACGGTTTGACCAGGAGGAGTGGGTTTGGTGTTATCTCTTCAGACTGCTCCTGCAATGTGTTACAACTTGATTAACCAAAACTGGTTTAGTCAGGACATTGCTAAGGGCATTGCAGTTTCAGACGTATTACCAACACAAAGTATCTTATTTTATGGATTCATATAATTCATACATTTATGGGAGCCTGTACGTTAATAGACAGAATGTATAATGCGAAATTGTCAGAGCCAGTCAGGAATTGATCTTACAACAGACAAGCAATTTGCCTAGTGTTGTGAGTACGGCTAGATGATACTGACCAAAAATAATATACCAAAATGTTAATAGATATTCCAGATAAGAATCATCCAATCATACTTTTGAAATCCATCAGAAATACTATACAATGCCAGGTTCATTACTGCACAGGTACTGAAAAATCTGTAAAAACTGTAGAACTGTAGTAGGCATAAATAGCCTTATACAGAACAGTCTTATTATAAACTTCATATTGTAATTTTTCTTTACTAAAAACAAGTATTTCTAAATTCTTCTGTATATGATGTATCACTACGTCTAACTGTGACGTAACTGTATCTGTAACCTAACCCCTGGGCCAGTGGTTCTCAAACTTTTTACACCAAGTATCACCTTAGAGAAGATTTGGCTTTCCAAGTGCTACCAGGTCCATAACAGGATTAGGTCCAGGTCTATTCTAGAGCTAAACCTACATCATTGCTACAGTAGTTATAATGCAAAAGAGAACCAAAGAGTGCATTTAAATGACATTAAATTGAATAAATATTAGAAATATTTGCAAAATTACTGTGAACTATGACCTGCCTGTGCTCGAGGGTCTTTACAAATGTAGACTTTTAAACCAAGCCCTTCAGCTCATACACAACCCCTCTGGCCTCCTGCAGAGACATGTTTGAGCGTTTGCCCTCCAGGAAAAGGAATTGCTCCTTTAAATATCAGACTTCTCACTGCTAAAAGCTTCTTCTCCCAAGCTGTTTGAACAATGCACTTTGAACTTTGTAACGTAATATTTTGGCCACTTAATCTTATATTTTTTTTTATTTCACAGTGTCATGTCATCTGTAATGATTGTCTATTCATGTGGTTGTTTTTAATGTCTCATGGTGCACTTTGGCCTTGTGTTCCATGTGTTTTTAACTGCAAATGGCAAATAAACTAAGGTAACCTAACCTAAGTGTAGAGGGCTTTGTGTGCCACCATAACAAGCTTGCGTACGAGTTTAAGAAAGATGCCCTAGACCATCATGCAGAGCCTCATTCTTATTGTTTCATCTTTTCTCCATTTGCTTGTTCTTGTTTCAGAGACAGGTGGCATCTGCATTGCACCGCGGCCATCAGATCCGGACGCTGAGATTGTCCCAGGAATGGCCATGAGACCCTTCTTTGGCATCAAGCCAGTGCTCATAGACAATGAGGTACAGTCCACACCCCTGTACTTTCACATGTGTGGAATCCAGGCTAAACTCTATGGGAACAGGGGTCAGATTAGGATTAGGAGAGTCGCACCAGCTGTGGCACTTTTGATACCAGCCGCCCCCCCGTGTCCTGCCAAACTCTCCACAAACACGATACCAACTGATACCAGCATTTTCCTTAAAACAAAGTGAACATGTGAACTCATCCAAGTAACTTAGATTAATACATTTTATATTAACCCTGCAGCAACACTGGATTAACTAAAGTGGAAACAGGATGAGACTTTCACTTTCAACAATGGCTAGTAAACAATCAAGGCCTTAAATGTGACCATCTTGAACTGATATCAGATCTTATGCATCTTTCTGGATGAAGCCTAAAGTCCAATTGCCATATTAGTGTTGATTCATCTGTAAGTGGGACATTGCCTCAGATGAGCTCCTAAAATGCACAGATTGTGGAGACAGTTGGAGAGGGGCACTGATCTTTTTTGGCTCAAACTCAACCTTTTCAACAATACTAGTCCTTGTATAAAAGCCACCCAACCAAACCCATTGATTTGAATTTTGTCAAAGACTTCACTGTTTCATCCAGCTTTTAATATTGTACCATGATCTGTTAAGGGAAAGGAGTTGACGTCTAAAAGTGCATCTGGAGCTCTGTGTCTGGCTCAGCCTTGGCCTGGTATGGCCCGAACTATTCACAACAACCACCAGAGGTTCATAGAGACGTACTGCCAGCCCTTCCCTGGTAAAAGACTTGATGATTTGGTTGTTTATAGATTTTTATAGTTCATCTAATTAGTTTATGTTTTACAGGGTACTTCTTTACAGGAGATGGGGCCAGTCGAACTGAAGAGGGTTACTATCAGATCACTGGTCGATTAGATGATGTCATTAACATCAGTGGACACAGAATTGGGACAGCAGAAATAGAGGATGTTGTGGTAAGATTTCAATACTGATGATATTCCATTTAAATTCATCCAACAGTGTCTGTGTTCCTTCAGATTTTGTTGCATTAGATACTTGTGTGACAAACTTGTGGTCTGTATTTGCAGAATCACTGTCCTGCTGTGGCTGAGTCAGCGGTCATTGGTTACGCACATGACATAAAAGGGGAAGGTGAGAAATGACCCTGACCTCTGAAAAAGCAGAACGTTTTATTCATATGAAACTGTAAATGTGTAACTATAATTATGAAAGGCCTCATTTCACCTGTCCTTCTTTCCGGTCAGGGGTGTATGCTTTTGTGGTGCTGAAAAAAGGAGTCGACATTACAGAGGCCAAATTACACCAACAGCTCAAAGGCAGCGTATCAAAGTCTATAGCCAAATACGCCTGTCCAGACTACATTCAGGTAAGCATTAAAATTCAATGTTTTCAAAGTCATTGTTATGTAATTATGTAATGTGTTTTGTTTTAGGTTGCTACACGCTTGCCCAAAACGCGCTCGGGTAAGATAATGCGCCGTGTGCTGCGTAAAGTGGTAGAGAACGACTTGAATGGGCTGGGAGACCTGAGCACACTGGATGATCCCACTGCAGTTCAGGAGATCATCCAGGGACACCGGGCTCTGTGCAATAAACCATAACCACAAGTGTCTTAAAAATACAGATGTTTTAATATTTTTCTGAGATGATGAAACAGTGCAAATAAAATTCCAGACAATATTGTATGTCATGTAAAAAACCTTAGATTAACTTAAAATGTATTATACTTTTTTGTACAATTAACAAATTATTTTAGATATTTGTAATAAATGTAAACACTACCATTAAGGCCTGATAATGTTTCAATGTGCTTTTCTCATCCTCTTTCAGATTGAACTCACTAGATAAAGCATATATCGACTCAATAACTAATTATAATTATACCTCAGGCACATTTCCTTATTATTGTAGGCCTATAGTTTGATGTGAAGTCATCTAAAATCCAGCAATACCAGGTCAAGTGTTAGTAGGTTCGTGACATTTGTTGACTTTAAAATATATTTATAAAAGTACAGTAACTAAAATATACAGTACATGTGTTTTTGTCCCATCCTTCATAGAGTAGCGGCTTGTGTGATGGTCATAGTGCCTCTGAAAGGGTGCCTTCTCTCAGATTAGTTAACTCCCAGCGGCCACCTCCACACAGTTTCAGTTGGACATCGTGATACTTCAAAACAAAAACAAACCCCATGAATGACGCCCATAATAAGATAAACCTTTAATATTATATTATGAGATGGTCCTGTAGGAATGAAATGTACCTTTTCAAGGCTGCTACGGTGTCCCAGACTGACCAGTGTCATCCCAAGCTGTTTACATAGGCGATACACCTGAGCCTCTGCCTCCTCTGTCAATGCACTAGTGGCTTCATCCAATACTGGAAAAGAATATAGCATTAACAAACTTGTCTCCGTGGAGATGTTATTGCTTTATCTGTAATGCTCCACAGTATAGCAGTAGAGTAGGTGATGTCACTCCTCCAAGTTACAAGTCAGCTTTGTTTTTCATATGCGACATAGATACATTTAATGCTATACTGTGGAACATTCTAGGCAAGCAACAATCTCCATAGGAATAAGAAGTTGGCAGAAAAGTTACATAGTGCTCCTTTAATGTTTATAATATATTACTTGAATATGGGTGTTTTGTAAGATAACATACTTGCATATTTAGGTTGTAAGTAGAACAGCCGTGCAAAGCTGAGGCGCTGCATTTCACCAGGGGACAGCACATCATACCTACAGAGAAAAAGTATTTGTTGAACAAGTTCAAAATCAGCACAAATGGCAAAACTTTATTAAGAGGTATTTCTTGTACCAGTTCCAGTCGACCTTCTCATCCAGGCCACCTGTTCTCTTCACGAGACTGGACTAGAGCACAGTGAAAAATACTCACACTGTAATAAGGTCAATAACAAACAAGTACCACTATATTACATTCAATATGGCTTCACATACCACTCCAGCCAATTCTAGGAATTTTATTATTCTGTCATCATCCACTGACCCTGAGGGGCAAAGGTTTTTAATCAGACAGACATAAAAATATATTGTTATTTTTTCTTTTCACAATGTATGTGATACCTGATACAGGGTAGATATCCTTGAGTGGGTAAATCACCTAGAGGAAAAAGTTAAATGACTATATAGTGCAACTGCAGCTTAAAATTTTTTTTTCTATTGCTTGATAGTTGTAATCATAAGAAAATAAATATGTTGTTTACATCCTTTACATGTAAAACACAAATACTACACACCTGTTCTCGCAGTGTTCCATCAGTCAAGTACGGTTTTTGAGGCAGAAAAAGTGTTCCTCTGGGTCCGAAACATGTCGTCATGTGAACAAAGCCTAAACATTAAACATTGCAACACAGTTAATAAGCCTCTGTCTTTAAGACTGTCAGCGTTAACTGAAGCATCAGAGTATTGACCGCTCACCACTTTCTGCCTCCCAGAGCCGGTTGAGGACCCTGAGTAGTGATGTTTTTCCGGTTCCTGTGTTGCCCACCACGAGGAGATGTTCGCCTTGACTGATTTTCAGACTCAGGTCTTCCACGAGCAGCTCCTCTGAGTATGGAGACTTATAAGAGAGATGGTCCAGTATGAAAGCTGTATCCACAGGGCCGCCATGGACATTAAAGTCACTGTGAAAGGAGACATCAAATCACAAATCTAACTGTTGCAATAGTCTCAATACCATTAGACCAATGATGACACTTTTTTTTTTTTTTTTTAACATCGCCATGAAGATTGTGCATTGCCTGAAATCTATAAAAGAACATGAAAGTAAACTTAATCTTGTCTATCTCCATGGAATCTAGCAGGTAATGTTTATGGAGAAGCCCACTTACAGTAAGAATTAATGTTTTTAAATATGTATTTTTAGCAATAAAAACACCTGTAATGGATTAATGCAAGATAGATAAGTTAAATGTCATATTGCAATAAATCTCAGACAAATCGATTACATCTCCATGGAGTTATACAGGTGCTGAACCTCTATTAGAAAAGTTGCATAGTGCATCTTTATAGTGGATTAATGAAAATACAAAAAAAACTGCTTAAGTACATGTGTTAGAATACACATAGGGTTCATCTTGTTGATATTTAGTTAAAATGTTTATTTAGAATATTTTATAAACAATATCTAAAATAAAATGATGTTACAAGTGGCATTTTAATACTTTTCTTCAGCACAATAAAGTAATTGTAATCTGCTTTAATTCCTCATATTAATTCTATGACTCTGCTACTCTTGTCCAGGTGATTCCCACAGTCTCTGCAGAATACATTAACATGTGATACAAACCTGTCAAAGTCGTAGCTCTCCCCTGACGCGGGGTCGTAGTCGCACTGTTTACGGAGGATGTCGTCCATTACTTCTCTGAGCTCCCCGATCCTGAACACACACATTCAGTGAGAAAATGAGATGCCATGAAACGCGCCGTGGCGATCATCCGTCTCCGTGGAAGAGGACTTGGGTATGCAGCGTGATACCTGTGGGTGTATCCTGCCACATCGGACAGAGTGGTTGACAGGTCTATTAGCTGTGTGAAGCCATTTATCAAGTAGATGCACACAAAGGCGTTCTGAATATAAACAAGAAGAGGAAGCAGAGGAGATATTAAAACTAAAAAGCAAAAGACTTAATACATATAGAGAAGGCAACTACATAGGAAATCAAAAACAGCATATCAATCACATTTATTACAAAATCTAAGAAAATGGTCATCTCCTACACAGAACATTTTATAAGAAGTTTAAAGCACAATACTGGATCCACATATGGTATGCCTCACAACATCTGCAGGATTCTCAAAAGCTTTGCTGCCACCTACTGGACAAATAGTAGGTGACATTTTGAAAGGAGAACGAGCTAAGTGGCCGAAGTATTCATGTACTTTTTATATTACTGAAGTATACGTAGTGATTTTATGGATATAATATGGTATTTGTTATGTTAAAAAATAGAACTGACTCATTAAAGATACCATTAACAATTCTGGAGCAGAACAAAATACATAAATGTAAAATGCAGTGATTTTTATTTAAATATTTATTTAAATATATGATTATTTATTTTACTGAAAACAATTACAAAAACACTACCCACCTTACTAATGAGTGCACTGAGTTCTCCAGGAGTGAGGCCGTCATAAACTCCAGTGAAGATGGGAATAGCGATTATAATGTAGCTGAGGAATCCTCCCAGGTAGTCAAAGGTGTTTACTCCAACTGAGACAGGACAGAGTTTAATATTGTTAATCAATGATGAACCAAGATACTCCAGTCACATCTCAAGCCAATGTTCAGATTGTGTTGGTGTCATTAATGTCTAATTAGATCTGTTAGGACTGTAACATTAACTGTAATTCAATCAGAATCACTATGTTGCGGTTAGGACTTAGGATCAACCTAAATCACTACGCCAAATTAATTCATGATGACTGCAAATGACTGCAAACAACAAGAACAATGACTGTGTTAAAAGGTGATGGTTCTTACTGTAAAGCAAGAGCTCTTTGTTGATCAGACTTCTTTGAGTATGTAGCAGAGCCTGCAACCTTCGGTCGGTCCTCATGTGCTCTACTTTACCAGCTCTGAAACAGACACAAAGCATTGAATCTGCCATGTAACAAGTAGAGATAAGATTTTGAAAAGTTTCAAATGTGTGGTTGATCAGTGAAATAAATGCTATGTCTGTGGTTTGAGTCACTGCAGTGTTGTTGTTTGAGCAGACCTGTAAAAAGCTGCCGACTCTGCGTTGACTCGGATCTGCATGTGCTTAAATCTGCAAAAAAAGAAGTTGATAAAAAGAATCTTTGCTGCAATTTCCTGAAACTTTGTCCATGATTGCCAAAACATAATGGTATGACATTGCATTAATATCCTGTTTGACTTCCTAATTTTGTTTAGGTCAGGAAGAAGATACGACGTCAAAACAAATTACCTTGGTTGAGAAATTATTTAAAATTATGACATGACAATTTTTACAATCCAGACTTACCTGAAGTCTCCCTCCAGTTTTTCTTGCTCAAAAAGTGTAGACACAATTGGTCCCATGAGAGTTTTATTGGCAAACGTCCCAATCACAAAGTAACCAAAAATACTCACAGGACCGATCCAACCTGTGCTGTAAGTGAGGAAAACCTTTGTCAACACACCAATCACAGGCAGGAGCCACGCATGAAAACTAAAATAATATCTAGAAATAGTATTGGCTATTGGCCTTAAATCTCCCCCAGACGCTGATATTTTGTTTTTTGTTTGCCTGCCTACTGCCTAAAGAATCCACATAAAACATTATATGAACACTTTAATGTGAAGAGATAATTGCACCAAACATGAGGACACAAATTTCTTAAAGGTTTATGGTAAACGGAGGCTGTAGGTGAGTTTTTAGTCAATTTAAATTACAGAATTTGGGGAAAATAATCATCTCTGCCCAAAAATATTGGCACAACTAATCAGGCATCAGTTGCTATGGGTTTATTTCCAATATGTTTAAAACCCTCATTGGTCATTATCCAATATTATCATTTGAATTTAAAATAATGATGTGGTATTATAATTAAATTGAAGATACTGTAACTGCTTGCCCACCTGTAAAAGCAGTGATAGGTGTAGTAACCCAGTGTAAATGGTGAAACTATGAGACGACTGGCCATCGAGCTCATCTGTTTACACAGTCTCTCTGCATCCTGACTGATGCGCTGATCTCTGAGAAAACAAACAAAACTATTAAAGAATACCATAATATATACAGTAGGTTAGAGATAACACACTCTGTAACCATCACTAAATACATTGGTGCTGCCAGGGACGGTTCTAGGGGTGGGGCCAAGGGGCCTTGGCCTCTAATCTGATTGGCCCCTGAAGTGCCCCTGTTCTGTCAATCAACTGAAGAGAAGAACAACTGGAGGATTCAATTAAATCACTGATGCAATTCCATCTGCTAAACTCTTGGCACTAGTAAACCTATTACATCAGTATAACTTGGGAGAAGAAACAGACCTGTGGGGGGCTTTTTTTACTGTCTATGCTTGTATTTACAGCGTACTGAATTAATTATTTGTGTGCTTGGAAGTACCCTGTACTTGGCCCCTGAATGTAACATGTGGCCCCTTAATGGCCTCTGTTTCAGAAAAATCATAGAACCGCCACTGGGTGCTGCAGTTGATTTGTTCAGCTTTAGACAGAAATAGCTGTCCTTTATATATAGCTTTACATTATATATTATATTTGTTATTACTGGTTAAGTGCTAAACAGGTAAGAAGAAACATGGGGTTAGACATGGAAAGTAAAGTATTTGTTGCGAATCTAAAAACTACAGGGACGTACTATGAACACACTTACGGGTTGTCAATGTCCTCTCGAAGAACATTGAGGGTGTAATAAACCCGCCCCTGGAAATAGGACGAGTGGAGATCTTCTGTGAGCGTCTTCCTCCAGCTCAAATACATCAGACTGCAGATGTATTGATCTATACTTTTTAACTGCAACAAGACAAGTGTCAAGTAATATATTTGGTTACTAAGTAAATCAGGTAATAAAATGGAGTGAGGTCAAGCTGATACAGCATTATTCTGTAGAATACATGCAAATGAATATGGGAGTGAATTACAACTTACTGTAGAGTTAAGTAAAATAAGAACCATGGCTTTCCCAACCAAACTCTTGAAGCCTGAATAGTCTTTATCTCCCAGCACAAAGTAAAAGTGGCTTGGGAGGATTCCCACCTGGTAAATGATCAGCTGCTCTGAAAGGAACAAAAGATACCGTTACTGCAATGAGCAGAAACTTGTAAAATGCCAGAGATTTAAAGCTAAAGGTCAAGACAAAAAAGTACAACTTATAGTGGTGGTAGAAGTAGTAGAAATATAGTACTACGCAGTACTGAAGTATAGTACTGAATTACAGGATGACAATAAAACAATGAGTTGCTTACAATATGCAGCAAAAATGTGTAGTCATAGATTGCTTCTATTTCTATATAGCATGTTCGCTTGTTGCATCACATATATACACAAACATCACATTGAGCCCTAACCTTTTTTCTAAATAAATCAGACTTTGATATGTTTGTCAAGATGCTTTAATTTTTTTTAGTGGTAAGTTTCTAATTCAATCAGAGTTACCTGCCAGAGTGACTCCGAGCAGTGTCCCAAACATGAGCACACTTTGGCTGGTCCATGAGGGGAACAGCACCCTCTGGATGCTGCAGAACCTCTGTACAAACCTCCAGTCTAGCTTGGGCCTGGGCACACATAAACACAAACAAGCATTCCTAAACTATGAAACACTACTGCAGTGCACTGTGGGTGAGTTAGGTTGGTCTTGCGTTACAACTAAAACACAATAGCAGAACTTGTTTCATAATGTAACAGGGTGGTAATACAGTTAGCGTGTCACTTATAAACTTGTCAAACTTCTAAAACCATCAACAAACAGAAGTATAAACCTGTGATATTGGTCAAGAAATACGTCAAATAAGTAATAGTCTTCTTACCTTTTAGAGCCTCTGACACCTGATTTCCCCATGCCGGGCATTTTTTTGTATAAAACTAGCGACAGGATATAACAGCGAACATGAAAATGTTCAGCAGTTGTAAACGTGAGCGAGAATTACGCATATGTAAAACATCTAACAAAAAGAAGATCAACATAAAATCGCCACCTTCCACAGCCAAGACTACTCTCTCCGACTAAAGTCCTACAGCCCTGATGTCTTGTGTGTTTTGGTAAAGGTGGAAAAAAACGCCGGATATCCGCTTTGGTTAGAGGGTCTTTTCAAAATAAAAGCAGTTCAGACTTTTACAACATGGGTCTATTGAAATACCGATTTATGCTTCTTTCTTTACTCAGTTACACCAATGATAAACACAAAAAACACACAAAAAACAAACAAACAAATGAATAAACAAAATCCCTTTTTGTCATTGAATAATTTATTTTTATTGTTTACAAGTTTGTGCAAAGGACACAGTCCTTTAAGTTATTCAATTTAATTACAACAATTTTACCTCTTCTTTAGAGACATAAATATCCAATACTCAAGAACAAATACTTCAACGATATCATTAAAAAACATTATTAGAGCATAACAATAAGAAATTACAAATACAACATATAGATAAATACTTAGTCAGTGGTTTGAATACAGCAGTAATTATACAATAATAAATCATTTTCAAATCATGTTAATACTCTTTGATCATTTAAGGCAAAGAAACCTTGAATTGTGAAGCTATAGCAATACAGAATCAAACAGAAGTGATAGAAGGGTCTCATCTGTTTATTTGCACACATCATCTCCCAAAACAGCCATATATAGTATTTGTGTCTGTAAATTAGTGTTTAACTCTTCAGTATATAGAGAACGTACAGACAGATGATATAGAGTAAAACTGGACTTTTCTATAGTTATTTCATATGGCATTAAGGCCAGTCCTCTCTGTTCTTTCAGTGTCTGTTAAATGGTCAGCAGGACGTGACAGGTTCAACCTAGATACAGGAGGCTGAAGAGCAGAGGGACCACCGTCACACAGCTGAAGCCCACCACACTGTACACTATGTAACGATAGGGCAGTTCCACCCTCATGAGCTGCCGTGCTCCCCGTACGTCATCTAAGGGCAGTCCGTATACCTGGCAGAGGAAGGGAATGGTTACTGCCTTCATTCCCATCCTGGTGACAAGGAGCACAGCCACCCCAACAAGAAAGCGCAGCACGGAGCGGACCACCAGTGCGGCGCTGAGGGGTGGTAAAATGAGGGGTAGAGAGGATAGTGGGTAATCTTCCAATAAGCCAAGCTGGTAGTTTAGATAAGTGGCAAGAGCGACCCCAGCTGCCGTGCCCAAACCCTGTGCAGTGTCTCCCCGGGATGTGCTCCAGGAGTCCAGAGAGAAGGCGACCAGACCGAATCCCACATGGGACACCAAAATAACCAGAGGAGCATAGTTGCCCATCATATAGAACGTGTCAATCCTCTCCAAGAAGGGTTGGAGCACGGCGAGAATCAGGAGGGTGTATAAGAAGCCAGTGATCACCTCCTGAAACACAGAATTATCATTTTTATATTATGCTTCTGCAAACAAAAAATGTGTAAATATGTGTAGTATTTTTCATATATTTGGCTCGATCATTATATTTCTACACAATGTTTAATTTGGAATTAATTTAGTTATGTTAAAACACATGCTATGTTAAAACACATTTATGTTTTCTTTTTAAAGACTTTAAGTAAACAGATACATGAAATGGCATTGTGACCTGAATCATTGAGGTTATCCATTAACCTAATAATTTTCACATCTCTAATTAGGAGATCCCTTGAAAAGAAAATACCTCCACAGTGAAACCAAAATACTACTATCTTATCTTAATCTAGGGAATATCTTAATGTAAGGAATTAAATAGTGTTGACAAGATTAGGAGATTTTGACAAGCCCATGCTGTAATGTGAAACTTTCTCTTTCCTGCCTCCAAAATAACTGCATAGTTTCAAAATGTAGAAAGCGCACTTACCAGGACAGAGTGCATTCCCATGTAGACTCGGCTTACACAGACCAGGATGCTCCAGCTGAGAGCCACGCTGAGCCCAAACAGAAACGGGTACTGTGGGACAAAACATAAAGAGTTTATTCAATCTGCTTCAAATATTCTTTATTGTTATTCTATTCCACAGGGCCATGAAAAACACAGCATACACTCAAGTTTCAACTAAAGAACCATAATAGTACTTCTATTGAGCCTCTACTATGCCTTAATAGAGAAATTAGGATTGCCTTTTAATGACTGGTAAATTGTTGAACTTTCTAACTGCTTTCTGTTTGTCAAATGATTGTGCATGTGAGGTGGCAATTGTTGTTATACTGTTTCCTCATTACAAACATACTTGGAGTTGTGTTTTGCTTCATTTAACATACAAACCTTCCAGGGTGAGTTTTTCTCTCAAACAGAAAACACTGTGATGTCATGTGGTAATACAAGTGCTCCCCTGTGTTTTTAAACACCTTTATTACAATCATTTGATTAATTTCAGCTCAAGAATTTTCTAACTCTAATGAATTAAAGGTAAAAGGTAGTAGTTAACTACGGCTTCATGACATCATGAGGGAATACAGAGCATTGTGAGATTTGGAGGTGTAGACAGACTAATAATTAAGGGTTACTCAAACATGTGCGAATGCAACAAAACACAACTCTAGGTATATTTTTCATGAAATAATATTATAACATGGCTTAAAAATGCTAAATTTACTCATCACAAGAGTCAATTTTGCGTAATACAGGATCTTTAAAAGATACTGAAGCAATTGCTCCACAATTTATGGCTTTATGGCTATCTAATCACTGATTATGTACTCAATGTCTTCTTAAACCTTCACATTAAGACCAATGTATCTGTTTTTTTTATGCTTTGTAGAAAGAGTAAAAACAAAACTGCATCAGACTCTCCCTTTCCTTCCTCCTTTTGTCTGAAAATACTGGCCCTCCACTGTGGCAACAGCTCATAGAAGCCTTAACCTTGAGTGGGAGATATAATTATGTTATTATTTAGGTTTTTTACTTTACTTTCATGAAGAGTCCCTAGACAGCACTGTGAACCTTTAATGCTAGCTGCTCTATCTTTTGAATAATCATTATTTATTCGATTTGCAAATCCAAGTTTCCAGGAACTACACTCTATCTGCTTTGATCTCCCTGGCTTCAGCTCCTCCTTTATGTATAGCTCTAATAATGTTACTAAAAGCTTGAAACTAAAAACTAATAGACTCACATTTTCTTCTCTTATCTAAATCTTATCATTCTGTGAAATAATGACACAACAGGTCTTGTGCTGTCACGCCCGGCTCATATCTAAACCTTCAACTTTGACAGTGAATCACTGTCACTTTTGGAGATACAGGCTCTGCATAAACAAGCTCTGAACGGCTGCAGCAGTCAGTGGATTGATTCAAAGTTTGATGAGGGAACCAAGACACTTTTAGAGAGTTCCATATTTTGTAATTGTCACGAGTCTTAAAGGGGAACTGATACTGTGTTTTTTGGTTTTAGTGGCATCATGACTAGTTGCAAATTCAAGGATGGCCTTTCAGCATCTGTCAGTGTCTGGGCCTAAGGTTATTTTGCATTAGACTTCCACTGAGATGGTAACAGTTATTACTGTGGTTTTACATTTTACCCATAAAGTATGTCCAATTCGATTTAAGATAAACATGTGAACCCATGATGTGGTGTTGGTTCAATGAAGTCACCTCATTTGACCTGACTCAAGCTTGCTCAATGTCTAATTCATAGAGGACATACTGAAAAGGGTTGACTTTGCTTTCCTTTCACCATTCTGTTCAATATTCTAGTGTAGTAAAGTTAACTCATGTACATGTACAGTGCATACCCTGTACACGTGGTGCATACAGTGTTATGAAGCATGGAGCAGGGCTCTCACCTCCCACCGCCCATAGGTGAGCATGAACAGGCAGAAGGGGATGGCAGTGCCCGTCATGGCGTGCGTGGAGGGCATACTATACTCGGAGTTATAGAAGACCTCCACCTTCACCACAGGAGGAGACGCAGGCCGGGACCAGCGCACCATGTCTTTAGTGGACTGTCCCACAAACAGGTTCCAGGCCCACACCACGATGAGCCTGCGGCTGACCAGGGGGTCCACGTTCCACAGGACGAAGGGGAAGAAGATGATGAAGAACATCTCATTGCCGAGCTCTGTCCCAAACGTGAACAGATAGAACAAAAACTTGTTGTGGATGAGAAACTCTTGTCCCACGTCCCCAGTCAGTGAATTCCTCCGCAGGGGCTTCGCTCTGACAGTGTCCTCACTGGCCCCCGCTGTTCCCTCGGGCCCTGCGCTGCTGTCACCCTGCATGCCGTTGGGCGCATCTCCCGCTGCGGCCCCGTTACCGACCCCGGAGCCCGGGACCCTCCTCCTCGGGCCTCTGTGGTCCAACTCCGGTGCGCTCTGTTCTGCAGGGGCTCTCTCTGGAAATGTCCCTTTAACGCCGCATATTCTCTGAAACCTTGCCACCAGGCTGGGGTCTTGGAGGTAGTTACACATCCGCACAAACCTCGCTCCAATGTCGTTAGCCATCACGCCAGTAAAACAAACACAATTCCGATGTTAGGATTCAGACCATGTTCAGATACTGAGCAGAAGTGTAGTCCTGTGCGTACGCCGTTGCATTCCAGTCCATTCACTGATAAAATAAACAGATTTCCTCTCACCTACAGCGCGGAAGGTTTGGCCCGCCTCTTATCGGCCTGTGCAGTAGCCTCACAGCCACCGTACGCGTGAAGACACGAGGACAGAGTCCGGATAGTTAACCATTACTTTAAATACCTATCTAATCCATACGGCACCGTGTACGCGGCACTGACAAACTGCGTCAGGCCACCGTTATCCCTGTTCCTCTTTCTGCGCCTCCTCCTTCCACCCACAGCCTTCTTCTTACGCCGTACATTTAGCAAACAAAGTTTTAGTGCCGCCCTCTGCTGGAAATGTCCAAAATAAGCTTGCAAAAAACAACGCAATAATAAAAATAAAAATAAACACTAGGCTACAATTTTACTATTTACAATGTTAGAATTGTTTTACAATAAAAAAAAGTAAATTTTTACAAGCACAACCTGCAATAATTAAAGAAACCACACGTACCCACAGTGTGGAGTTCATGGGGACCAAAGGACTGGGACCTAATACATTTCCACTATCACATACATCATTGTTTACAGGGCAGGCTGCCTACCATTGATAAGGCTGTATAACAGGCTAAGATGACCAACCATGTTAAACTTTATATGTTCAGCATTATGAACATACTAAATGACCCTACATCCATAAAGCCGTCTAACACAATGGAGGAAATGTAAAAGTTCCTGTTTCAAAGTAAAGCCACCTATTGTGCCTCCAAACACACAGCTTACTACAGTATTGCAACTGTAGTGGCCCTTAAGCAGTTGCCAACCCAGGAAGGACGCTTAGGTTTTAATTTCCCTCGAGTCGAGTCCCAATAAAGCTCCTGCTGCAGAGGCGCCAGAGCCACTGGTGAAGTGCACCTGTAATTTGAACGTGAGAATCTGGCCCTGTCCACCACAGCCACTCAACCTACAACAGTTTAACTTTAGCTACAATAAACAAATACATACATACATACATACATACATACATACATACATACATACATACATACATACATACATAAAATTAAGACCTACACTCTCATCAAATTTTTTCTTATTTTGAAAATAATTGACCCCTCATTCTCACCATGATTTAGACCTATTTTGATCAAGTGTTATTGTCTGGGGTAATTATTTAAAAGCTTTAATTTAAGGCTACTAAAATGCTGCATTAATTGACCAGGTTAGTAGGTTTTATTTTGTTAGATGTTTCCCGGATGCTCCTGGTATAATAAGAGCAGTCTGACGCTCAGACTCGCACTCCTCGGTCCCCGCGCGCAGCCTGGGGTAGTTGGGTAGTTGGGATCAGGGAGAGCTCCTGCGCGCGCCTCTGTCCCGAGTCCGGATCAGGATGCACTCGGGCAAACGGGGACTGGTGGCACCTCAAAACACTTTCCTGGAAAACATTGTCCGTCGCTCCAGCGGTGAGTCTCTTTAAGAAACATCTGCTTGGATTTAAGACAATTAGCCTACAGCAAGACTGCAATTCCTCAAGACTAATACAATTGATTAAAAAAACAAAACAGTAAACTTATGTAAATAGCCCTGATTAGCCTGTAACATACTCTGTTCATCACTTTTAAATGTTTTTCCCCACAAAAAAACTCAAACTACAAAAGTTAATCTGATAAACCTATGTTAGTTGTTTAGCTTAATTATATTATTTTATAGAAGATGTGTTTTTAATTAGACTAAATAAAATGAAAGCATTTAAGGATAGTTTATTTATGAATAGTTTTTGAAAGCTACTAAACAGCTGTTGTAGCCATTTGGACCAGCAGCTGCCTTCTTTGATTTATGCTAATGATTTCAGTTTGGTAAAATAAATGCCTGTATAAAGTGTAAAGAATAAAACAACAGAAAAGTCCAAACTGTTGTCGGCAGGTGCAGTCTGTTCATAATGTTTTTGTGAACAAAATGTCCCTCTGTTTTTCTCAGACCTGTGCACATCGGGCTGGAGAACTTTGCTGCACTCATTCATTTTTAATCTACATTAAGATTTAAACATAAACATTTTTATTAACTGTAAAATGGCCTCAGCATCTTGTTTCTGGTTTGAACTGCTTTGGGACATTTTCTCTCTATGGTATAGCCTGCATGTTCAAACCAGCGAACACTATATTTTTGCAAATTATTCTGAAATGTTCCTATGTAGAAATATTTAAAGTAGGAGACAAAAGTATGAATATAATAATTGTTTTTTTTTTATTATTATGTTTAATACTGAGACCTACACAATGTAAAAGCTGTAGTTGCATAACCCCGGTCAGTTGTGCCTCCGCTTGCTCCTTTAGATCCCACTGGTGCGGTATGTGTCTTTATTAAAGGATAATTATATTGTAATTATCTCATATTGTTTTTTGCCTCAGAGACTAGTTTCATTTTGGGAAATGCACAGATCGTGGAGTGGCCAGTTGTTTACAGCAATGATGGCTTCTGCAAACTGTCTGGGTACCACCGAGCCGAGGTCATGCACAAGAGCAGCACATGCAAGTAAGTCTAATGAGTAATTAGCCCAAAAACACTCACCAATTTAGTACCACTAATAGATAGTCCTCCTATGAGAGGTTAAAATGTATACTCCGCTTTTTTTGGTACAACAAGATCATTTTATTGTTTGCATATGTAGATAACTCCACTTTTTTCTCATTAAGCATGAAGTGCTAAATATTAATAGGTTTTATTTACCAATCTTTATGATAATTTGACCTAATACTGTAGTTTCTTCAGTGGTGCCTTGTAAATTTAGATAATAATTCTATCCTGTAGCATCGTGTCATTATAACCAAACCACCATAACATGAGATCCAACCTTAACCCATTTCTCCAGTTGCCAAACTTAACTTCCTTTTCCTACCTGACTATCTCATGAGGAAAAATATAGTTTTATAGTTATAGTTATAATCGACATATTATAGTTTTATAAAGGTACTGAAGCATTAATTTAACATGGACAAATAATGTATTAATATGCCATTCCTTCAGTCTACTTCGGAGCATTTCTTTAGGAAGTGTAGGGACCCAGAATTATTGGTGAATAACTTAAACCATAATATAACATGTCATATTTGTATTTCTATCATTGCAGTTTCATGTATGGTGACTTGACTGATAGTACGACTATTGACAAAATCAGGGAGACTTTTGACAATTATGAGTCCAACTTCTACGAGGTTCTGCTTTACTCTAAAAACAGTGAGTGATCATTGTATTGAAAGTTAAGTTTGTACAATCATTTTTGGTCTCTCTCGATAATACAGTATCTATTCTCTACAGGGACTCCAATATGGCTTTACATGCAGATCGCCCCAATCCGAAATGAAAACGACAAAGTTGTGCTTTTCCTCTGCACCTTCAGGGACATTACTCTCTTTAAACAACCAGTCGAGGATGACTCCACAAAAGGTGAGCGAGTCAGTGTTTGTTTGCTTATAATTCATTGCAGCCACCATTTGAATAAACAACAATTAACCATGCAAGAATGAACCTTAAAATCCGACACGCTGTAGTTTCGCATATAAAACAAGCTTGAACTGCTGCTGAACACTGAGCAAACATATTGTCTATTGAGCGTATGGTTAATTTAACACAGTAGAGTCATATAGGAATCTGTCCCCAGCCATTGCCACTTACATTCTTCAAACAGCTGTCCAGGTGTTGTGAGTGCGGTTCACTGCTCGCTTGTCTCGGTAGGCCTGCACTGTGCCAAGTCCCTCTGAGACTTAAGCATACATCAAGCAGAAAATAAAGAACACTCCAACCACTCAAGAATAGCTCTGAAAATACAGTTTACTCTTAAGAGATGTTAAAAATTTATTAAACTTTGCTTAGCATGATATTTTGACTGATAAGAAGCAAAATAAATATGTAGTCCTCATACAAATATACCTAAAAAAACATTTTAAAGAGCCCATGTATAGACTATATAAAAAAGTAGACTAAGTGAGCAGCAGTTACTGAGACAGGGGCCACAATATTCCAATGTAAGTCAATGGGAGCCAGGGTCAGAAGGAGCCCGAAGAACCCGTATGCAAACTTCCTATTTGGAACGTGGTAACTAGCACATTAGCTATGTCCACATCTATATACAGTCGATGGCCCATCTTACACTAGTTTTTGATCTATGTTTTAATGTTGATTCCTTATCACAAGCATATCCGGAGTTGTGTTTTGTTTCATTCACACATCATTCAAGCATTTTAAGCTTTTGAGATATAGACAATAGGATTACTCAAACATAAATGAAACAAAACACAACTCCAGGTATGTTTGATGAGGTAGTAACATTATAAAATGGCTTAAAGCTCACAAGTCTCCATTTTATGTAATATATAATCCTTAATGTATTGGTCTATATTTTATAATAGTGATCACGAGCTTCCTGCCCCAATGACTTTGGAAAGAAAGGATCAATAGCTGTGAACAAATCATATCTTTACCTTAACTAGTTCCAAGCCTCAGGAAATTGACAGTATTGCATCCGGTATATAACCTATTATAAACCATGCAAAATCAATATGCTATTAACAAACACATATGGGGGAAGATGATTTGCTGTTTTCCAAATGGGAAAACCATGATAATCAAAGAAATGTTTTGATTCTTATATTTTTATTAACCCTGAACTGATGCTTTTAACAAGGTAACTGTTTTAATTTGGACTATTTTTGAAATACCTATAGGATGGACAAAGTTTGCCAGGCTGACCCGAGCTATAGCCAGCAATCGAAATGCGGTGCAGCAGCTCACGCCCATAAGCAAAGCAGAAGTCAACCACAAACCATCTCGACTAGCCGAGGTGAGATTTTATATTTCAAAAGACATATAGGCCTGATATAACTAACAGGTGCAACTGCTCATCTGTGTTTTTATTGTTGTGATGTGTGATATGAGATTTTAAACCGACTGTAGCCCTGTAGAGATTTGTTTTTCAAATGCAGTAAGTGCAATATAAATAACGTATATTATTATTATTATTATTTAGCTTGCGTATATGAATCTCAGTTCCATGTTCACTGTTTAGAGGGCGATATAACAAAAGATTATACAAATAAAAATGTATTAAATATTACATTTTTAAGTTAAAATATATACTTTACAGACTTACTTTTTTTTTTTTCTCCATTAAAAAAAAACAATCTGAACATTAACGATTACAAATGACTGAATCTTGATTAAAATTAGATTAATTGCATAGTCCTACTTGCAGAAAATGTAATCTGTCATTGGAAATTGAAAACACTTGTCTTCTCTAGGTACTGCAGCTGGGATCAGATATTCTTCCTCAGTACAAACAGGAAGCCCCCAAGACCCCGCCCCACATCATCCTGCACTACTGCACCTTTAAGACCACTTGGGACTGGGTCATTCTCATCCTCACCTTCTACACTGCCATCATGGTCCCATACAACGTCTCCTTCAAAACCAAGCAGAACAACATTGCCTGGCTGGTGGTGGACAGTGTGGTGGATGTGATTTTCCTGGTGGACATCGTGCTAAACTTCCACACCACCTTTGTGGGTCCGGCCGGAGAGGTCATCTCTGATGCCAAACTGATACGAATGAATTACCTCAAGACCTGGTTTGTTATTGACCTGCTGTCCTGTCTGCCCTACGATATCATCAACGCCTTTGAGCACGTGGATGATGCAAGTGCTACACATATTTATACAAACAATGTCAAGAATTGTGTTCGGTATAATCACTCAAAAAGTAAATGAATATTGGTTTTGTTTTAGGACCTCTTATCTGGATCTGGAAACCTACGGGACCCAAACGGCATTCACAGGAACATCACCAGGACAGAAGACTCGGTCCTCCCTGTAGGTCATTTATATGTACATGTGCAATGATATTTTAAATTTCAATATTTTAATTTGATTTGATGTACATTTCTGTCCAAATTCAATACTCAGAACTTGGTCAGCAATATCTTTTGTTTAAAGTTGCACCATGTAACTTTTGTATAAATTGTGCTCTACAAATAAATGTGTCTTACTTTTCTCTATGGAGATATTATTGCTTTGCTGTGAATGTTCCACAATATGGCATTTTACTTATTGATTTAAAAAAAAATCCATTACATATGTTTTTGTTGCTAAAAACAGTGTTACCTCTTCACAATAACATCTCCATGACAAGTGGCTGACCCTGCACCAGAAAAGTTACACTGTGCCCCTTTTTAATCTCTAAATTGCTAAATGAGAAAAATCCAAAACCAAAATGACATTAGTTGCAAGACACGTTATGAAATATTCTGTATAAGCATATTCATCTCGACCCTTGTGTCTTCTTAGGGTCTGAGCAGCCTCTTCAGCTCCCTAAAGGTTGTCCGCCTGCTGCGTTTGGGTCGTGTCGCCCGTAAACTGGACCACTATCTTGAGTACGGCGCGGCGGTCCTGGTCCTCCTGGTGTGTGTCTTCGGTCTGGTGGCCCATTGGCTCGCCTGCATTTGGTACAGCATCGGAGACTATGAGATCATTAACGAAGCCAACAACAACATCAAAAAGGACAGCTGGCTCTTTCAACTGGCTGAGAGCATCGGAGCCCCGTACCGCTACAACATCACCGGGACAGGGAGATGGGAGGGTGGGCCCAATAAGCACACGCTCTATGTGTCCTCTCTGTACTTCACTATGACCAGCCTCACCACCATCGGGTTTGGGAACATTGCGCCGACCACCGATGGAGAGAAGATCTTTTCAGTGGCGATGATGATGGTTGGATGTAAGTATTCACACAGTGTTTAAAGGTTCTATAATACTATTAAACTGATCCATTATTATTATTATAAAAATATGAAGCAATTTTAACTTTTTAACAGCGTCAGTGGTACATAACTGGTATATAAAGTCCCATTGCTGTAGTGTCAATATAGTACATAGACACAGCAGGGGTTGCAGAGTGGTTAGCCTTCCTGTATCTTAGAAAAAAGATGTCCTACTGTGAGTTCTGTCATCCACATTCAAAGAGCTGAAAATAACTGGTAACATTTCCATGATTCATTTATAATTTTAGCTGCTTTACAAACAATGAAAGAACAAAAAAGCTTTAAGTGGCAAAAAGAATAGAAATATTTAGAAAGATTTATCTAAAATGTTTTAACAGCAATCTTGTTGTCACTGGTCTCACAACTGCTTCCACTAAAAGCCTAACACTGCTTCTCCTGGCAACCCTTGGCCACGCCTGTAATGTCCAATGTATTGTTTATATTGGACAGTTTTGTCAAGTGCAGTTATATTCATTCTTCTCCAAAGCACTTAAGTCAGTCCGATCAGTGTTTTTTCTTCTTCAGTGGACACGACGAACAACCTTGACAGTTCACATAAATCAGATTAGAGGGCAAAAGAACAGCAGCCTCATGGGGCTCAAATATTAGGAAGGCTGCTTATTTTAGTACAACAGGGACAATGTGTAAAATATCAAACTGCGATTTTTCTGACAAGCATTGCAATTGTGATTCGATTTGTTATTTTAATAAATATGGTTCTATTCAAAGTTCACATTTTAAACTAGGGCTGGAAATGACTAGCCAGGCTGGTGCCTAGTTCCTCTGCTCAGTTTCATTTCTCTCCAACGACTAGGTCAGGAATTGGAATACACTAGATGGTTTGCAAGAACCCCAGAAGTGCGAGTCTGGGCACCAGCCAATCAGTGAAGAGACATACATTCTGTGTTGGCAACGATTCCCCAGATCAAGGATTAAGAGCCGGAACAAAGAGAATGTTTAGTGAATTTTATCAAGAATAAAAATGTTATTGCCCTTCTTCCTACGGGATTTGGGTAAATCTTAATATACCAGTTAGCCCAGTTAGCGGCACATTACATAGATCACGACTAAATAGCAGAGATTGGTTAAATTAAAAAAGTACCCGCCAACTGTCGAGCGAACGAATCCTAATGCTGCGAGTTCAGACGGTTTCCACGAAGTGAAATCGACTGATGAATCAGGCTACGAAATTACAGGCTCCCTCACGATTTGATACAATAAACGATACATGGCTCACAAAACGATAATCACAATATGATGATACATGCGATAATCAATGTAATGCACATGATATTCTATGGTATATTGCTGTTTTTTAAGAACTTCGTACATTTTAGCAACATTTAAGTCACTACTTGTGCAAAGAAATACATCAATTTTAATCATCAAAAAGCAAATATGTCAAGTGTAAGTTTCCCTACGCTAAATAAGCTACAAAACTGTAATGCAGTCATAATAAAAAGCTAAAAGATACCAAAAAATACTCTTGTCAATATACTGATACATCAACTCATGATAACGATACTGTATCACCAAACTTAGTATCACAATATATTGGTATTTTGATATTTTTGCACACTCCCATTTTAAATGCATCCAGATGAACTGACGAAAAGACTGAAATATGAACTGACTAATATCAATCACATTTCAGAATGTTTGTATATGTCTTAACTACAGAGTTTGTAGTTTTTACGCGGAGTCAGACAGGATATGCTGTTTGTTTGTGGAGAATTATGGTGCTACAAAAATGGCAAACATTCAAACTGCAATTTCATGTTGATTGCGATTAATCATGCTTTTCTGATGTGCAAACCCCAGGCCACTAAACTCCAGGATAGGCCACCAAAACATCGATAGATTACACGGTAGGTGATTTGCCATGGTAACCCCAGAAAGAAAAGGCACAAGGAAAGAAGAAGATATGAATACATTGGCGAGATTAGAACATGCTGAGAGCTCCAGAGGATTACAGATAGCATTTTAACTCATTTGACATTAGGGAAATGAATAAGTTATAAAGACATTAAAATTAATGATAAGGACCTGGTTAAGAAAAAGAAGTCATTTATGTTTTTACTGTCTGTTGTGACCCTTTGAGGATGATTCTATAATATAAATAAATGATGAATCAGGAGACATAGTGCTATTATATGAATGCACAAAGCCCCCCCTTTTTATCAAGGCTTGGGGCTGTACATAACACTATATTGTTAGATGATATATCCCTATATAACTTAAGCAAATTCATAAATGTTGTAATATATGTTAATAATAGAGGTAGGATATATTGGAAAATGGATAATATCTCATTTGTTGTTGAAGAGATATACATATATATGTAGTAGATATACGTAATATATATACATAGATGTTTAATAGCTTTCTTTTACCTTTTGTTCAGTAGAGATTGGCAGTTCCAGAGCTGAAATGACCCAAATTATTGTAGTGAAGATGAATGAAACAAAACACAACAGGTATGTTTTTTGATAAGGAAACAACATTATAACATATATTAGAAAATAGCATATGGGCCCTTTAATCAAGACCTTTAAAGGCACATTTGAGAATATTCCTGATGCTTTATTTAAAATAATGTCTGAATATTGTGATCAAGATAATGCGGATACTACCTTAACATCAGCCAAATTAAAATAAATAATCACTTTTCTTATGTGTTACAAGCAAATTAAGACAGGATGATGGCTTGTTACGGGTCCTGTCATTTTAAACAGTAGTTGTTGCGTCGGTGTTTTTCCGGAGGTCACAAAAGGACTTACAGAGCAGACCCATTCATGGCCTTTACACTGCCCTGATGCACTCATCTGCTCTTAATGTGCTGACCCAGCCTCCTACAGGAGCCCAAACAATCCGGACGCCTTCACTCTCACGATGGACATTATAATGTATCCGATGGGCCGCAGGCTACAACAGCTGCCAGTAATGCAGTGTAATATGGTATCGACCCAGACTGGGCAGATGCTGAGATATGGCCTTGCAGTTTAAGCTCAGTATTTCCTTTAAAGGTCCTATATTACACAAACTTGACTCTTGTGAGCTTTTAGCCACGTTATAATCTTGTTTGCACATGTTAACAGCTTTCTTTTACCTTTAGAGATTGGCCATTCCAAGGCCGAAAGTTTAAAAACACAGTGAAGCACTTCCTGTATTACCACATCACAAGGTGGCATTTTCTACTTGAGAAGAACTCAGCCTAAATATGCAGGGTTTGTTTGTTAAACATGTGTGAATGAAACAAAACACAATTCCAAGTAAGTTTTTGATGAGGAAACATTAAAATATAGATCAGAAAATAGATTAATATGGAACCTTTAAAATATCAGGTGAAAATGTAGGACATGCAGGGGGGTATAATTTTGTTACATTTACTCATTTACATTGGCGAGTTTTCTGACTTCATATTTCCCATCGTGAGTAATGTAACAATGATGATTTGAACATTTGAGCTCTTTACATGTTACATTCAGATGAGATTTGTCTTGTATCATTTTTGTGTAGATCTATTCTTTGAAAATGACATTTGAAACTGTCTGTCCATTTAACTCATAAATCATATTTTAAATACATTTTACACCCAAATGGGCATTCTCCAATACTATTATCTAATCTTATCAAAAACTACTATTGCTACTTTTTACATTTAGGGCAGTAATAATATTGTTTGAAAGTAACATTACTCTTACTTGAGTACACATTTTTGCTATTCTACCCTCCTCTGAGGATATACTGTATACTATAAGTGCTTAATGCATTTGTAAGAAGAGTTCAGCTGTAACTTATATTTAGCCTGTTAAGTAACCTCCAGCTCTTTGTATTTACTGCAGCCTCAGTGAATCAGACCTCTGGGGAGAGTTTAGGACAAGTTTTGTTCATGATAAAAAGTGACATCTCCAGCGCTGCTCCGTGAAGCTCTGTCTGACGGGAAATAACATTTTTAAAAAATCATTTTAACAGTACTTTTTCTACGGTTGTCACAGCAAATTATCTGTCATCTAAAATATGTGGAACTATGTGAAATTGGCCCTCATAGTCTTCCTTCCTTCCATCTGGTCCATTAAACTTCCCATTTATGACCATTTAGAGGATATCATATTTAGTAATAATTACTATATCGACTTATCATTCAATATATGAAACCTGGAACAATATATTTTGGGGCTCAATATTTATTGTGTGTGCAATTTCTTTGCAATAGTGGGCAAATTTTTGCTATTTTTATCTAATAAGGTATGATTTGAGTTATCGGTTCCTTCTATTATTGATGTGTTGTAGCTCATGCTTTTTAATGATACTGTATTTGTCTAAGTGACATAAAGTAGTTTCAATAATATTGATTAACGCAGTATTTCTCTGCAGTAATATATCTAGACCTAATATTTTGTTTTAACTGGGGCTACATGTTCATCTCTCTGAAACCTATGATGAGTACAATGGCTGAAGATATATTACAGAATAAAACAAAAAACTCAGCTGCTCAACATGCACTACTAAATTACGAAGAAATTTAAAAGTGCATTGTGTAACTTTTCTGTCCGTCAAATGCTTTTCGTGGATATATTATTGCTTTGTCTGGAATGTTTTACAGTATGGTATTAAACCTTTTCATGGAAAAAAACTATTATTGGTAAGATCTGTGGAGAGACAAGCCCGCTCAGAGTCAGAATACCTTTTTTTTCCTGGTACTTTTGAGCTATAAAACCATCTGTAATTTAATAAATGTAAGGAAGGACTATTTAATGTTTATACCATGAAACATTCCAAGCAGAGCAGCGACATATCCATAGAAACAAGCAGGTGATGGACCCCCAACCAAAAAGTTACATAGTGCACCTTTAAAGTAAATGTCCTAAAATACTATAATTTTCCACATTCACATTTTGAAGAATAGATATGACAATGAGAATTCAATTTAGCAATTTCACTAAAATGTCACCACCACTTACAGTATTACATTGTACAGTCTATTTTAATCCTGCGCCCCTGGTAAACACAGTTACAGTAATAGCTCCACCTTTTGTGCGACTTCCTCCACTGGCAGGCCTATTTCAGAGTCACGACTGCAGTTCATGTGCTCCTGTCTGTCCCGTTTGACCTAAGCTGTGTGTAAAGTGATGCAATAGAAGCACAGAGTCAAACATGAACTGACATCCCTGCTTTACGCTCCCCGCTCTCTCCCCAAGTAAACAGCCCTCGTCTCGGTACAGCTTCAATCACCAGGATCATTCAGTCCAAAGGCAGTGTCACATTTGGTTATGGTCAGTAAATATCCCACTACAAATACGCTAATTATGTGCAGCAACCAGCAATACAAGAAAGGGAGAGTTTGCCTGAGGGCCTGGACAGACACTGAGCCTTCATGTTGGATCTTCTAACCTCTGTGATCTCTTCCTGTATAGGCTGCTACTAACTGGAGTGACTGCTGAACCCCTTTGTATACTTATATTATATACTCGCCAGCTCTTTGAGAACATAGCCTTCTTTAAGTATTTGCATTTTCCAACCTAATTAACTTGAATTATTGATGTTGTTGTCAGGGTAATTAATTTAAGAAACATGTTACTTACATTTGAATGGAGTGGTAACACAAAGGTTGTGTTTATTTTATGTCATGACATTGGGACCATTGTTTAAATGGTTTTGGAGGACTCGTATTTTCGATATATTTTAGTGTCAAGTACAAATATTTTGACTGGTTTATGACTAATATTGTTTAAGGATGGGTAAAAATAGATTGATATTTTTTGTACAGATTTTGTTTATTTCTCATGGAATATAGAAAAGCAATGAAGAGGTTGCTGATTTAATTATATTATATCAGAGAAAATTATTTTTACTAATGAGAAAAGTAAAATTGTAACCTTAACTACAACTTAACTTCAATTTGTTAGCCTCTCAATCCCTATATTGTGGCAATTATCTGATGTACGGCTAAATTACCATGACTGACATGCTTTTTTTTCTTTTGGTTTCAGCTCTTCTCTATGCAACCATCTTTGGAAACGTCACCACAATTTTCCAGCAAATGTACACGAACACAAACCGCTACCACGAGATGCTCAACAACGTGCGGGACTTCCTCAAACTCTACCAGGTCCCTGAGGGTCTGAGTGAGAGAGTCATGGACTTCATTGTGTCCACATGGGCCATGTCTAAAGGCATTGATGCAGAAAAGGTACACCACCACCACTCCGCACACACTACCACCACACCGTACACACCACCATACAGGCAATTCAGTACAGTGTTATAAAGTGCATCAAAACCAAATACCATAAATTCCACAAATTTATATTTAAAAAACTTGGTTGCTACAGAAGAGAATTAACTTCTTTTTTTTTTTAAATCACAGAACAGAATCAACTTTTGAGTGTGAGTGAGGAGAAATAACACAAGGACAAGGATATAAATGCCAAAAAAAATTGCTTCATTTCATAATATCAAAACAGGGGCAAATGTATTTGCATTACTCAATGATAATAGATAGAAATATTTAATATTGCTCAATGCTATATTTATTTCAATGTGTTTCAGTGTTACAAACGTCTAAGTTTAATTTTAAACCATAACCATAGTAAATTGTTAAAAAGTCACACACTGTAGACCCCAGGAAAAATAGCCATTGCTGCGTTAATAACTAACAGGCATCCAGAAGAGATAAAACACAAAATTGTGCCTGTGTATGTGACTACTTTAAGGCCTGTAATTATTCTGTATCCTGTATATTCCTCTGTGCGCCTGTGGCAGGTCCTCTCCATCTGCCCCAAAGACATGCGGGCTGACATCTGTGTGCACCTGAATAGACAGGTGTTCAATGACCATGCTGCGTTTCGATTGGCCAGTGACAGCTGCCTGCGCTCTCTGGCTGTGGAGTTCACCACCACACACTGTGCTCCAGGGGACCTCATCTTCCATATCGGTGAGAGCGTGGACACCCTCTGCTTTGTGGTGTCGGGGTCACTCGAGGTCATTCAGGACGATGAGGTCATTGCAATACTCGGTAAATGCACCTTTAATATTAATTATTTGTAAAACTATGCAGTTTTAAGTTTATTTTAATCCCCAGTACCTTTACTCAAATGTTAGCTAATACCTACTGATTTCAAGGTCAATGGATTTGTTTCATGTGCCTTAAGTCTATAATATTCCAAAGTATGGCATTGCTTATCTATCTCCATAGAGACAAGGAGGTGATGCCACCAGGCCAAGTTACAAGTCAGATCTGTGGAGAGGCAAGCCTTTGCACAAAACACATATAAATAAAAATAAATAGATAAATACTAGGATAAATCTAAAGTAATGCCATGCTGTGGAATATTCAAGTCTAAGCAGTCTCCATGCCGACAAGCAGCTGATGGATCTCCTCAGCAGAAAAGTAACATAATGTGCCTTTCATGAATTTCAGCTCCATAACATTGAAACCCTCATCTGTCTGTTTCACTTGGTCCATGCAGGTAAGGGGGATGTCTTTGGAGATGTGTTTTGGAAGGAGAGCACTCTGGCCCGAGCTTGTGCCAATGTCCGCGCCCTGACCTACTGTGACCTCCACGTGATCAAAAGAGATGCACTGCTCCGAGTCCTGGATTTCTACACCGCCTTTGCCAACTCCTTCTCCCGCAACCTCCTCCTCACCTGTAACCTGCGCAAACGGGTATGACAGATTCTCCACATGAAATATTTTTAATGGCTTATTTTTTAGCAACAGATAATTTAAATAGACCAAACTGACTGGTGTTTACATTGTTGATAGTTTGCAGTGAGATCATGCTGGGGGGATTCTATTATGCATTTCTATTAGTGAAATCTTTATCAGTTACCACAGTGACACAATTAGGGCTTGATATTAAGAAGTTGTCAATATGATACATACCCCGATACATAGGCCACAATACAATACATATCTCGATACAGTGCACTTTCTATTCAATACAATATATTTCAAATCGATTCGAACAGTTCAATAAAAATAAAGGATAAATCATGGCTGTGATATTAAAAGTCTTCGTTAAACCACTTCTTGTGCAATCTTTACATGAAACACTCATTTTAATCATCAAAACAGTGAAAATGTCAAATGTGTTGCATAAACGAGTTTCCTTCCTCTAAACAAGCAACAAAACTGTAGAGCTGTAACAAAATAATTTTGTAAAATATACTAAAAAATACTCTTCGCGATAAATCGATACAGCAGCACATGTAATCGATACTGTATCATCACATTAAATGATACAATATATTGATGTTTCAATATTTTTGCAGACACAATGCATACATCAGCAAACTCAGACAAAAACTTTTTAAATTAAAAGAAAAAATACCAAATAGATTTAAACAACACATTTTCAGGAGTCTGTGATCAATACGAATGTTCATGGTCCTGTTTAGGGGTTGGATTTTAAACAAAAAAGGTGAGTGTGACTAACTGAATAACTAATTTTATGTGTGAGACTTGTTTAATTGCAAACATCAGCTCACTTGTAGTTCCAGCTAAGTCAGTTCTTAATGGTCAGATTTATTAAAAGAGAGCAGAACCTACATTTAGCATCACAGCCCCAGGAAATGTTGATGACAGCTGCAAAGTATCAATAGGCACAGATTAGGGAGGAGCATTCATCTATTTTTAATTATAGTTAATGCTTCAATTACAAACACTGTGTAATAGAAAAAGCTATTAATACTAAGAAGGTTCTGAAATATATGATCGCTTGTTCTGCCCCTCAAAGCTGGAGTGCACTAATCTGAAGTTGCTTTTAAAACAAGAATGAACAAAACATGACTAATTATTGAAAATAAGCCTAAATCTGTATTGTAACTGATATTCGTGATGTTTTTTGTTCATAACTGAGCTGTGCTAGCATAGATATCGAGTCTCATAATCCCACTTACACAGCGGTGCAACCTTCAAAGTATACAGTGTTAATGATAAAATGATCATTATATCATCTTCCTCTGGGATGAAAAATGCATGAATAGTTAATAAACATTATCCAAGTAAAGCAAAAACAAAGTGATTTGTTGAACTATAGTGACACAGTAGAAGCCTTTTGCACATCTGTAATATATGTAAATGTATGTAACAAAAAACACATGTATGTTTTTATGCTTAAAATGTATTCATTGTAAATAAGAGACATTTATTATTCATTTGTGTGGCATCAAACGTATTCTTCCACACTTTGTATTCTTTGTGTACATTGTGACCTCAGCTACAAACTTTATTAAAACAAGGATCTGTATTTATATTGCATTGTGATTTTATATCGAATGTGATCAGTACAAAGGGTAATGGAAATCAAGTTAACCAAATGACAAATGAAACATGACTTTTCCTTACTACTTTTAGCCTAAAGTACAGTAAGAATGTACAAGGTTTGTCTCGAAATTGGAGAATAATTCAAAAGCCTGCCGAGCTCTGATGCATTATTGACCCATTTACAATTTCCCTTGTGCTTTGCCTTTCTCGTGTCTTTAATATTTCAGCACTTGTGGACTGTGTGCGTTTAATGCTCGCTGTATTGACGTACTGCTCAGACTGTTCCTGTGGTGTCCTGACAGGTCATCTTCAGAAAGATTGCAGACGTGAAACGGGAGGAGGAGCGTCAGAGGACCGAGGTGGCGCTCACCATCCCCGACGACCACCCTGTGCGGAAACTGTTCCAGAGGTTCAGGCAGCAGCGGGACAGCCAGACCTTGGACGGACATACCCTCATCGAGTCTTACTCTGAGCACAACTGTGTCCAAGTGGAGCCACATCACCATGACAACACTGACAACAGTAGTACCACGACCCAGGGCTCTCCGGCAGCAGCCCCAAGAGAAGCACAGGGTCAGGACAGCGCAGCTAAGCCCCCTGCAGAGGGTCCCGGAGCCCAGAGCCCTGCCCCAGGACCAGAGGGAGCAGTGTCACTGCGAGGGGGTGCCAGAGGGTGGGCCAAGTTTAAGAGTGCCCCTTCAGCGCCCCCTCCTGCACAGAAACAGTCTGAGCCTAAGCCAGAGCAGACTGCACCCACTACCAAGACCCAGGACCCAGAGGGCAGTGGGGACACGGGGGGTGCAGAGGGTCTCAGTGTTGTGGAGGAAACCAGTGCACTGCACAAAACAGACTCCTGTGACAGCGGCATCACTAAGAGTGACCTGCGCATTGACCGAGTGGGCGATTCCCGGAGCTCCTTTGAGCGCAGCCCCATCGAGCGCAGTCCAATGGAGGTCTCTTTAAAACAGTCTTTTGTTTCGTCCCTGTCCGAGCACAGCCAACTGCAGAGCTCTCTGCAGGAGGCCAAAGCTGAGCTGAAGGGGGACATCCAGAGGCTGAGCGGCTGCATGTCTGTGCTGGAGATGCAGGTGGGGCAGATCCTGCGGCTCCTGTCAGGAGGCAGACGCTTGTCGCTGCCCCCCACATCCTCCCCCCGACCCAGAGCAAAGACCCAGGACTCTGTCACCTCACCTGAATGCCCTAAGAAAGACAATGGGCTGATCTGATATCAACAGTAACTGACTGTGAAAATGAAGTGCACTAGATGCATGAAAAACTGATCGCTGCATGCTGTGATGCCCTTTGTGTTCGCAGAATATCCCTGTAAATGTTTACTGAAGAGGTTTAAGGAAACTAATGTTTATTCTTTCATTACACCTTATTAAATAATATGAGTCTGTGAATAACTCTGGAATGGACAAGAAGAGTTGGAACAATATCAATGCAGTGAATAGATTGTCATTTTTTGACTGGCACTGATATGAACATGGTACAGACGAATATATTTATTTGGGTCACTTTTTGTAAGCAGAACCTTTGTTATCTATATTTTGATAAAGTTGCAAAGAAAGCACCCCTTTAAACCTCAAAGAATAATTTTGTGTTGTATCATTAAAACTCTCAGAGGAGTGGTGCTGCTGGGACCGGGCAGGTTTGATGTGCCTTATCAAAGCAGCGGGTGGAGGTACAATTAAATAGATATTATTACAGTAATGACATTGTATTTTCAGTTTTATTTATTATTTATTGTTTTATTTATTATTATATTTATTCATGCTGGCATGTGTAATTGAAAATATAAATTAACTGTAAACTATTATTTTGTCAACAGACTAACCCCATTGTCTCAGGAAACATTGCACTATGAAAAATGTAACAGTGTTTACAAATCACAATATAAAGGGTACACCTCACCTTACTTGTTTTCTTAAAACTTTATTATGCAGACCTTACCCAGTATGCACTTGCCTATGCGTAATGTATTATTTAAATTCAAGAAACATTTATTTATTTATTTTTTTCTGTGTATAGCAAAACAATTAGAGTAATAATGATTTTAAAGTAAACTGCATCTGAACACTTTCAGAATATTAAATAAAGACTCTGAAATCTGTACACTCATTCATCTGTTTATATTTTTCACTTAATAAATAAGTTATTATTTGCAGCAATATTAATTGGACAATCCTAATCTAATAATTAATTCAGAAAGAAGTATGCAGTTAAGTCTTAAAAAAGTGTCCATACTAAGAAATGTTTAAATAAAACGCCCACTAAAGCAATATATGTAATGTAATTGTTCTGTTTGCATACATGGTTTACCTGACCAGTCTGAACCAGAGGGACTGTCTGGTCAAACAGTAAAATCATGTTTACAACACAAATATCACCTCCAGACCAACAGAAGGCGCCAAAAGCCACTCACCCTTCTGCAGACGTGTGCCCCTCGTCCACTGTCCACAGCTGAAACAACTGAATCAGGTAAAGTTTACTTATAATAACAATTTATAACACGTAGCTTTAAGTATTATTATTCGTAGTATTTGACGAAGTATGTTTCCTTCTCACTGTTTTACCTCTTAAAGCAAAGTGTCCTACCTCGTTTACAGATTCGAGCATGCACAAACTTCCCCTGCAGCTGGAGAAAATCTTTAGTTCTGCTCCAAAACATAAACCTGGGGCAGGTCAAAGATGAATAATGTTTGGGACACAGTAACTATAAGTTGTCTAGTACATGTCATTTCACTAGTAGGCAATGCTCCCCCGAGTTATAAATGTGACAAAGTCCTAGGACTTTGTTGGCACTGCCTGTGAGGATTGTAGGATGAAAGTGAAGTGTAAAATGACAGTCTCTATAAGCGAGACATTTATGTATGGTCAAATACAAATACAAGCACAAATACAAACTGTATTACACAATGAGTAAATCACTGTTATATTTCTTTATTCTCAGCTGAAACATGGATCTGCAGCTACCTCCCCATGAGGGTCCAGAGCTGTCTGTGGTGGACATGCACACGGGAGGAGAGCCTCTGCGCATCATTATCAGCGGTTACCCCTCTGTCCCGGGACACACTCTGCTATCCAAAAGACGCTATGTCCGTGAGCACCTGGACCACCTGCGCCAGGTCCTGATGTTTGAACCGCGGGGGCACTACGACATGTATGGGGCCCTGCTGGTGGACAGTGAGCTCCCTGATGCTGACCTCGGGGTGCTCTTTATGCACAACGAGGGCTACAGTACCATGTGTGGACATGCAGTCATTGCGCTGGGACGGTTTGCCGTCGACTATAAACTGGTGAAGGAGCCCCAGTCCCCAGAGACACAAGTGAACATCCACTGCCCTTGTGGCCTGGTCAGGGCCTTTGTGCAGTACTCAGATGGTCAGACAGGAGCTGTGCGCTTTCACAGTGTTCCTGCTTTTGCTTTTGCCACAGGTGAGAGCACCTCAGGTGTGTATAAAGACACCCTCACATAGTGATACTAAATACATTTTATTCTTAGATGTGACGCTGACGGTGGAGGGACACGGGGACATACAAGTGGACATCAGTTATGGAGGAGCCTTTTATGCTTTTGTTGATGCTCAAAGATTTGGTCTAGATGTGAACAAGTCCAGGACTCGAGATCTGGTTGATGCTGCCACAGCAGTGACCAAAGCCGTCAAAGCTCAGGTAGTAATGTACGACATTGTGAAGGTGAAGTGAAGTTCAGTTTACTTCACAACTTAACAATTTCTTATGTGTTTTAATAAGGTGAAGCTAAATCACCCAGTCAGTGATGATTTGGCTTTTTTATACGGGACCATTCTCACTGATGGCAAAGATGAATATTCCTCTGAGCCCACATCCAACGTCTGTGTATTTGCTGAAGCACAGGTAAATCCTGTGGGTAAATCTGACAGCCATTTGAGAAGTGACTTTTATTGCATTATAAATCACCTACACTAGGGTACTGTAAAATAGTCAAGACATGACAGCAGAAGTGTAAAATGCTGTTTGCAGGTGGACCGCAGCCCCACAGGCTCAGGAGTGACCGCTCGAGTGGCTTTGCAGTTTCACAAAGGTCTGATCGCACTGAACCAAACCAGGACATTTCAGAGTGGAGCCACGGGGTCAAAGTTCATGGGACGAGCTGTGGAGGTATGTCTTCAGGACAAATGTTTCATCAGAGGTCATGAAAATATTGGTTTTAAAATGTGCATGTGAACAAATGTGGTGTTTTTAATCTTTATGGTAGGGATTTGATGAAGTAGCTCATTCACCTTAAGTCCACAATTATTGAGAAGTCTGTCATGACCGAGGCCATATCTGTTCTGTTCTATCTGTTGCTGAAATCAGACCTGTTACATACTTACTAGCCTATATTGACCTTCCATAAATGATAGATGGATCAATGGTTTTGTGGGGTCAATATTTATTGTGGGTACTTTTTCTTTGTAAAAGTGGAGAACTTTTTGTTATTTTTCTTGTACTATGATAAAATTTGAACTGGAGAGGGTTGAATATATAACTTATTTTAGGTTATTGTGTTGGTGGTGTTTTCTAACTTCAAAATCTATAGGCAATCTTTTGTCATTTATATTTTCTTAAGCAATATTGCACTTGTTATGGTGACAGGCCTTGTTGAAATTGCTTCTTTTTTTTCTTTCTTTCAGGAGACTGTGTGTGGAGACTTTAAGGCGGTTGTGGTGGAGGTCTCTGGCCGAGCGTTTTACACTGGGGTCTCACGCTTTGTCCAAGAGGCTCACGATGATCTCACACATGGGTTTCTCCTCAAGTGAACTATAGACCTGATGATGGCTAATGTAAAGTACTGCTGCATTTGAGTAAAGAAAATATTAATTGGGACGACACTGTGGCTGTGCTTCCTTTCCACCAGTAGATGGAGTTAGAAAGTTGAATATATATATGTACGCTCTTAAATTTGAGGAACTTCAGACCATTTTAACAAACATGTACGAGTAATTACATAACTTCGTGATAACCTCTGATCCTAATCCTCGAGTGCAATAGATCACATGACCAGTGAGGGCTCAGAGACCACAGAAATACACTAAACATGTGACAAAGCAAGTCACATTATCCCAATTTATTTTCATCAGTTCATTATACAATGGGAGGCATTATTTAAATTACAAAAGTCCAATGGAATCATGTGACAATGGATGGAATCAGACAGTTAGCAATTATTTAAAACTTGGGATGTTTCTGTCACGAGTTAAAAATAATTTCTGCTTTTAATTTGTTTAAATCCATCCATTGTCACAGAGGCATTTACAAAACAATGTAAAGGATACTCTCAGTACTTGGGGAACGTGTATTGCCTGATTCTGAATAGAACGTTTAGCGTAACTTCATATGTGCATGTGAACCAAGCACATAGCTTTATACTGTATATAGATATATGTAATGTTGATGTGAGTATCCACACTAGTTTATACAATAGCAAATTAGGCCCAGGCCTTTTAAGTACCAACTCAACTATTAAAATTGACAGAGTTAAGGCCAGCTCTTAACAGACAAAAAGGTCAAATGTGATCATATATAAAAATGTTGCACAATATTAAAACACACAAAAACATCTTTTCTAATACATCTTATCTGTTGAACGACCCCGCGTTTCTGTCCTGGGATAGTTTGGTCTGCAATGGTGTGACAGCGTTCAGTAGGTCCATCTTTGTCCCAAAACTTATCAGGACGGTCCTTGTGTGAAAAAAAAAGTCCTTCTATGACAATAAGAATGGCCCCTTATCAATAAACATCTCTGTGATGCTTGAAGAGAAAGCTGTACGTTTGACCGTGCATAGATTTGACATACAAAAAGAGCACAGATGGAATACTAGGTTAAACAGCATCTGTGAGGAAATGTAGTACTTTTGAGGTCACTGCGAGGAAGATGGGATTGAAGAACATTCATATGAGCAGATTCCCAATAAATATCCAGCAGGAATGGTCTCATTTGTCCAGTATTTAAGTTTGGCTTCTTTGTTATGTTTTCTTATAAATGTGCTGAGCTCCAGATTGATGCATTATAAAAACATTTGAGAATAGTGTGTCATTTGGATCCACATAAAGCAAAGAAACAGGCAAATGAGCTGCTTCTCCTTGTGGTTTAAAAGTTGAGTTTCGTAATGGGCCGTTCTCTCGAGTCCGTGTTCTGGCTGTTGATGCGTTTTCGGTTTCTCTTCATCTTGGACAAGTCTTTATCGAACACCTCTCCCGATCTCAGAGCAGACACCAGGTCATCAAACTCCCCTCCATCGTCCTCTCCATTGGCTTTTGCTTTTCGAGCCTTTCGTTCCTTTTCCCTCTGCTCTTTGAGCTGCACAACACACAAAGATATACTTGTTTTAGAATACATTATTTCTTAACTTTTCGAAGTTTTAGATTCTATTTCTAAAAAATTATATGGTAAAAATATTTCTATTCTTTCTGATGCATACATCTCATTAGCAGAGCGTAGAGAGACTGATATGGGTTTTCATGGTAAATACTGCTTGTTTAGGCTCTATAGCAACTGATGGCCGATAAGCTCTGCTGATACTTTTGATTATTTTCCTTAAAGTATGGAATTAAAATTGGCTGCAAACTACCCAAGCCATTTTTATCATTTGGATGTGTTTTAAGTCTTCGGAAAACACTTGTGTATTGTGAGAGATAAACAAACCCACCTGAGCTTCCATCTTAGCCCTGCGCTCCTCCTCCTCTTTGCGTTTCCTCATGTTCTCATTCTCCTGCTGAGCTTCGCTGAACGACTGCAGGAACTGGTCAAAGATGCCAAAGAACTCGTCCGGCTGCATCTTTGTGGCTTCCTCTCCAAAGTGCTTCACCGCTCGGAGGAACTGAGGGACCACAGAGAAAAAAGCGGCACAGGGGGTGAGATTTACAGCGGGACAGAGCCCAAATAGGGATTTATCCACTCTCTGACATTTTTACTAGAGTCTCATTAGGTACCAGCTCTTTGAAATCGGACCGGGGGTACCAGTTGTGGGGCTTTGAAGCTGAAGTGAATTCAGGATTGACCAGCTACTGATTATGGTGGGGTCCGGAGACTGGAGCCAGAGCCCAAATGAAGGCGGTGTGTTTGTGGTGCATGTTCACAGCATGTTACAGGACGTCCAGATGTGAGAACAGAGGGCAATGCTTCTTTAAAGAGTTCTGCCCTAATAACAGGACCAATTTATACTGTACAGGGACTGACTGCACTCAATAAAATGCCAAGGCAATTCAGCGTTAAATGTTTCAATATTACCAGTAAAAGTAGCTAATTTGTTCATTGTGTCGCTCACAAATGTTATTCATTTTGTGGCTGAACAGAAAACTTATCTTAACCCCATTGCCGACCTCTGAGAACCTGCAGAATCATATGATCTGTTTAAGTTGGACATCTCTAAACTTTAACTTAAAAAGAAAATAGAATTTTGTAAACTAATGAGTAGAGAAATGTACTGACACTTAAAAAAGTAAATTTAAAAGAACTCAGTTTTCTTTTGCTATGGACCTTGCTTGGATGCCTGAGGAAAATACAGATCTTTAAAATAAAAAAATTAAATGTCACTAAATGTCCACAATAGAAAGATATCATCAAAAAGGTAAACACACTAAGCTTTTGTGAGGGTTACCAGGTTTGCAGGACATCTGCAAACACGCTCCAATATTTAACTAAAGGACACAGTCAATGATTCACAGACACTAATGGTGGCCATGTGACCACAGGGTCAATGTAGCAAATACCCTGCAGGGCAAAACCTGCTCCAGATTAAAAAAAAAAAAAACGTCACTGGCACCAATAAAAAAGAACATAAACTGAAGGCGTGAAGCTCACCCAGGAAATGAGAACACGATCAGGTTTCAGGCTGTTACGGTTTAAACAAGCTCATCAGAGTTTTACAGCACAGAGGATTTTGAAAACTTGTACAACACTCTTGGACAAAATGTACTGTATGAATGTGTAAACCGACTGCCTCCCTTTTATTTTATTTATGTATTTATTTTAATAATAAATTATTATTAATAATAATATAATAATAATAATAATATTTTTTCTTAATATTTCTTTATGTAATTCTATTTTTTCTTTTTCTTTTAATGTACTTTTACTTTGATAATGACGTTATGTGGGAAAAAAAACTGCTCATATATACTGTAGCTTATGTGAAGAAAAAAAAAAGCACAGAGAATAAATTGCAAAAAAAAAAAAAAAAAAAGCACAGATGCATTACGCATCTAAAAGCAGGTTCACCTTTGGACTTTTATCTTTTAAAGGTGTTAGTCCAGTGTAAAGTTATGTGCAATACTCTGCCCCCTATGACGTCTCCTAAAATGACTCAACAGCTGCGATCAAACACTTTTACAAGTGGGACTGAATGAGACACACAAATGGTAAAATGATATCACATGGACCAACCCTCTCTCTTTGTAGTTTTACTTTCTACTTGCGCACATGGCTGACCAATAAAATGCATTCGTTCTAGAGCGGGACAGTAGTTTTCCTAGAGAGAGAGACAGTGGTTTTCGCTGCTTTATTTTGAATGCAGACTCACCAGCTCCTTGGCCTCAGTGAGAGAATCTTCCACGTCGGAGAAGCTGAAACTGGCCACGGTGATGAACTGGCTCACCACAGACACAAACTTGTCACCCAGCTCTTGTGGTCGCTTCTTCTGGTAGTCCAGCTCCTAATAAAGAAACATGAGGCAATGATTAAAATGATGCACTCAAGTATTTTATGAAGCCAGAAATGACTCATTGAAAGCCCATAACTCTTTGTTACTCACGCTCTCTACGCTCTTCAGACCACTCCGCAAGTTCCCGATATCTTTCTCCAGCTCCGTCATGCTGCACACAGAACAGAGGGCGGTTAACTGTGCACATAAAAGGAAAATGCAGGAGTCGTTTTCATCACGTACTTGACTTTGGCTGCCTCTGGGATGCTTTTAAGATCGTCTTGGAACATCAGGACTTTTGGATACTTCTTCTCCAGGATGGTTATCAAGTAGTGGAGGAGAGTGATGTTTCTGCACAGACGCACCGCACATTTTAGACCAGTCAAAATGTCCACCGTTTAATATATTGAGATATAAATATAACGCATAGTACACTTTTTTATTTCCAGATGTGACTTTTAGCACTTTGTTTTACGGCCTCTAAATATTTCAGAGGAGAAGAGCTCTTACTTGTCGATGCTGGATTTGGTGTCTGCGATCTTATTGAGGGAGGACACTTTGAAGCCGTATGCATTTCCTCTTTGACCTTTGTTCATGTAGTTTCCAAACGCCAGTACCACCTCCAGAAGCTGCTTCAGGTTTCTACTGTGCAGGATCTCCTTTGATGCACTGGTCAGGGCTAAAATGTTCAAATTTAGATAAGACATAATAATAGTAGTAAAAGTAGTAGTGACTTTAATAGCTTTTTAATAATGAATAAACAACCCTGAATCATTCTTAATAAACTAGTTTTCATTCATGCTTTATTAAAAGGTGCACTGTGCAACTTTTCTGGTGGAGGGTCTGCTACCTGCTTGTCTCCATGGAAAAGCAATTGTTTTGTCTTGAATGTTTCGCATTATAGATGAAACTTTACAATTCAGATCTGTGAAGAGTTTCTCCTATTCACAGACAGAATGATTTTTTGATATTTTTAAGCAACACAAGCACCAGTACTTTATAACTGCTAGATAGATATGTTTAATGCAGTGCAGCTTTAAGGCTAATTAAGGAGTATTTATTATAAATAAGGACTAGCAGTAGTGATAGTAGTAGTAGTAGTTAGTAGAAGTTGTAGTAGTAAATGTTGTAGTAATATCTTCATTCAAAATAAGCATTGTCTTACCTTCCACTTTTGGTTTGATCTCTGCAATCCTTTCTGCAAACTTCTTCTTAAAGTATAACGACTGTAGCCTCTGCTGGTAGTGGTTTATCCTGGAAACGCAATGGAAAATGTGTCATAAGTCAAAACCGAGATTTGAAATAAGAAATCCACAATTTATTTCAAAATCATAAACAAGGAAATGACACAGAAAGCCATGTCGTAGTTTGTATAAAAGGATTGTGGGGGTGACCGGGTGTATTTTATTTTTGGTACAGTTTGGATTTTAAACTTAAGACTGTACAGCGGAAAGCCACAGTGAGTTGTGTACATCCTGTCTTGGGTGGAAAGGTGAAAAACTAAACCTCACCAAACTTGTATAACAGTGGATTAAATTACTCAGTGTCTCTTGTGATCTCTGTTCAACATATTGTGTGGTTTGACGCTGAGGCACTACGAGTAGAGCTGTAAAATGTCTCTTTTGTTTCCTTTCTCTGCCTTGGAGTACTGGTCTACCACAACAACATGTAAACCCTTTTTACATGTTTGTTATTGTTCAATACTTGGATTCTTGATCTACATTAAAAATGTGCAATACACCGGTATGTATGTAACTTTTCTGGAGGAGAGTTCACCACCTAACTGATATTTTGCAGCTGCAACATTTCCTGAGGGTGTGGTGCTAACTGTAGGCACTGTTCTGTCTGGCTTTATTAAACTTTAATCCAGGAGTCTCCAACCTGAGCTCAGGAGTTACCAGTAGCTCTCCAACCCCTTCCAAGTAGCTCGCTAAGGGATTTATGAATTGTATATCTTATGCAATTACCTCTATAAGTGTAAAATGTTGACGCCTAACTCTGTGCACTAATAAATACACAATTATGTTTTATAGGTATCTAACTGTGCCCAATCTAAGGCTTTCCGTCTTTCTTACATCAATTCAATGTTTTGCGACTGTTAAATTTAGAAGCTCTCTATCATTTTTGTTTTGTAAAATTAGCTCGGAGACCCTGCTTTAATCTGTGCTTTATTTTAACAAAATCTGACCATCAAAAGATGACTTAGTACCACAAAAGGTGAGCTGATTTGTGCAGTTAAAACAATAACATAAAATTACAATAATATAAAATTACAGACACAAGCTGGTTAGCATTAGTCAACAGTTTTTCAGTTACTCACACTGAAAATTTTTGGTGAAAATCAAACTCCTAAACAAGACCATGAATGCTTGTTTTGATTGCAGACTCCCAAAAAAAATTTTTTTTTTTTTACTGAAACTTTAAACTTTTTTTTACAGTGTTTGCTAATGTGTGCATTGTGTCACCATGGTAACTGCTAAACATCTCACCATAAGAGATACATATAGAACACTTTGTTATCTTAATAAACAATTGGATGAGTACTATAGAGTGAATACCTGCTCATCTCATAAAGAAAGCGATCGGGTCGAGCCATTCGGTCCAGTTCATGTTTGTGCTCCTCCAGCAGATCCACGTCACACTTCTCTGGGACAAACTTGAGCAGCTGAAAAAGCAGAAGATGCTCTTTACCTTGAAGCACTCCTGTTTACATTAAAGACAGTGGATGGGTTTATGATGTGGGCTTAGTCTGGTCCAGAGGTTTTCCATTTACAGGGACTTATAGTAAAACTGACTGTCTGCCAGCACACACTACATACTGTTCTCTTTGGTACTAAATCATGCTGCATACCTGCTCCAGCATATCTTTAGGGAGGTCCTCCTGCTCGTCCATGGTCAGGATCGCTCTCTTGATCTCTTCGTTTGAAAGTTTCAGTCTACAACAAACAAATTTAATTAGCTGAGATGCTTCAGGCTTTTTACACCATATGTGTCAGAAAATGTGGCGGAAGACCTTCAGAGGAAATACTTTGAGGGAATGAACACAAGGAACTCTTGGACTGTGTGAAATGAACTTTAATGTTTGTTTGTCTCGTATCCATGGAAGCTATGCAAGTGGCTAGCTAAGGAGCTAGCGATGGACATCTGTGATGCTCTAGGCTTTTTTACACCACATGTGGCAGCAAATATGACAGATGATCTACCAGAAACAATTTGAGGGAACGGAGCATTTCATCACCAACGGAAACACCAGAGCGGTGTAAGAATGAGACTTTTCCTGTTGTGTTCACCTGGTTCCCTCTGGACACTGCTGGGATGCTGCAGGAGGGGCACTTTTGGCTCTTCCTCTCCTCAAACTGCCCTGACACGGATCTGCTGACCCTACCTGACCTGTTAAACTGCACTGATATCTCTGACTGAGACACAAAGGCGACAGTGTAAATGTTGCAGCAAAACTACAACAGTTTGCTCCAGCAAAACTTGAATTTCCCTCAGGATAAAAAAAGTCTCTCTCTCTGTTAACTTACCGTGAGAGGAGAATGTTGCAGTTTTGGGCTCTGCGGCCGTCAATCACTGACAGCTCTTTGACTTTTTTAGAGCCTAGTGTGTCATCTTCTGCCTCTTTCTGCAACAACAGAGAAGAAAGTTAAACACTTATTTAAGCAAATGCAGGTCTAGTAAACATTGATATCCATTATAGACTGAGACACCTTAAACCATCACATTACAGTAACACACAACCTCTCATAACAAACGATAACACACTATTATACAAATGCATTACTGTAAACGCACTCACCTGTTTGGTGTTATTGATCATTAAGAAGTCCTAAAATGCAGGCAAGAAGCAGGAATATATAAGCACTCATTAGAATAAGTAAAGCAGATTTGTGACGGCAGCCCATAAAACAAACAGCTAATCAATGACATGATGAAGTGAGTCCAGAGAAACGCCAATAAATGTAAAACAATGTGGGTGTGCATGTTCGTGTGTACATGCTTTATGAACTGTTTACATGCATTTAAACTAATCAAGCAAAACTTTTAAATCAAAAGGATGTGTTTCACCTTCAACCTTCAGCCATGTCAAAAGTCATGCTCATTCAGTGTGACTCTACTTCATACGCATTTGCAATCTGTCTGACTGCAGCCAGTTCATTTTGAGCAGATATTTCATGCATTTTGAAATCACACGGCTGGGTAATCAAAACCAGTCTGCAAAGCTAATTAATAAATAAAATAAATTCAATTATGAAAGTAATTCATGGGGTGACTATTGTTTTGATTGTGCAAGTGACTTGGCATGAAAAACAGGGCAACTGAACCATTTAAAATGTGAAAATTAACAACACTGCAGCGGTTTCATACCTGCTGTCTCTGATAGGCAGAGAAGGTCTTTTCAATGTCCTCCAAATCAAGAATTTTAAAGACTTTTGCATCATCCACTTCCATCCAGACGGTCCCCTCCAGTTTATTCTTGCAGAGGACACATTATGAGAATTATGACTATTTAATGATACATAATTACACATTTTGGTGGGATGGGACCTTACTTCAGCCAGCTTGGACCAGTTGAAAGACTTGAGAGCATTGGTGGGCTGGGGAATGTTCTTCTTCTTGAGAGATGGGCCCAAGGGTGCTCCGGGTGGTGGGGGGATGCCTCCTCCGATGGGTGGGCGTCCGGGGGGAGGAGGGGGTCCACCGGAGGAGGTGGTGGAGGAGGGGGAGGAGGCATCCCGCCCGGGGGAGGAGGAGGGGGAGGTGGGCACATGCCTCCGAATGCAGGCAGAGGTGGAGGGGGCACAGGTCCTCCAGGTGGGCCAGGGGTGAGGGGGGGCCCGCCAGGAACCATGGTGGCCTGTCTCTGAAACATGCATAGGCAATGATACACTATTAGCAGGGAGTAATAAAAGAAGGTTCATTTTTCAGAATAATAGACGCTTGATTACATCAAGAGTTGATCAGTGAGGGTGGTAAATGTTAACTTGTGGAAAAATGTTGATGCAGACCACTAAATAATATGTATTTAGCCCGATCATGGTCATAATTATTAACTGATATGTTTGTGCACTGTTATTTTCCAAGCCTGTAATAGCTTCCACATTAGACATTATTACAGGGAGTATGAGGATGACATACGGCGCTGAGCTCGTGCAGGCGCGCAGTGAGTTCGGCCACTTGCTGCTTGACGTTCTTGTGCTCTGTGCTCTCTTTCTCCAGTTTCTCTTTCATCTTGTTAAGCGTCTGCATCATCTCCTCCTTCTCCTGAGTTTTGGCGTCACATTCCCTCTCTTTCTTCTCAAATTTCTGCTGCAGCTCGTGGTGCTCTGTTGTGGATTGAGACACATTATTAATTTCTTGACCCATCTATACGGCTTTTATTTAGTCATGACGTTATAATCAAACACACCTTTCCTCATCTTCTCTGCCTGCTCTTTCCACTGCTTCACTTCATTTTCATTCACCAGCCTGCCAAACAGATGAGACATAATTAACAACATTGCATCAGGAAATGACTTAAAAGAAAATCTATTTTTAACCCAGTGCTGGTCTACATCCTTCAATCTGCTTGTAAATCGCTTCCATGTGTGATAGCATTGGAGATATGACTCACATCCGGACGACGTTCTTCACGTTAAAATTCTCCAGGGGCGTGACATCGGGGTCGTGACCTTTGTCATTCTGCAGAACCATCTGCTGGACGATCCGGTCCAGCAGAAGCCAGTACTGCACCGTATTCCCACTCCGCTTGTCTGTGGACACAATTAGGCATCCTCATTCTCCCTGTGACCTGACATGTGTTTGTGCAGATTTCAACAATTTATTAGGTCAGAAACACTTCACATCTTCATATGCTGAACACCAGGCCTGCTGAAATTCTTACTTTGCTAAAAAAAAAAGCCCTGTGAGTCTATTAATCGACAAAACACTCAAAACTATTGGTTATCAATGTGCACAAGTGTTCCACTGAGTCCAACTCAGTTCAACATCATCTGTGAGAAATATGGACTTTTTTATGCTGGCCACATTTTCATTTTACAATTGATCTAAATTATAGTCTTTAATTGCACCAATTTTCAACCCTTTTGAACGAAGATCAAAAAGAGGAGTTAATCAAAGTATGAGAAGTGTAATTTTGCAAAAATTTGGTTCTGCGCAATATGGTCAACTTCCTGTTGGGTTTAAACATGCACCATCCAACCTCATAATTCACTCCAAAATATCCAGCTACACCATGGCTATTTCTTTTCAGCTGCTGTCCATATGAATACTAATAATGCAATAATATTATATAATAATAATACTAAAAAACTAATAAATGTTTTGGGCAATTAGACTCCATTGTCTGTTTAGTTGGTTAGGCCCCAAAGTCCTACAGCCCACTGCACACCAAAGCTTCGTAGGCTGCATTTTTAGGCCTTAAAATAATCAGCCCCCATTAATACTACTCAATTAAGGTTCACCACTTAACTAGTTTCTGCTTATTCTCATTAGAGGTAAAAGTCTCCAGCTATTGCCTTGAGTAGACAATGGCGTGCTTATCCAAGAGCTGACAAAGGACCATTCTCTCCCATATTCACTTAGTATGGTCCATTTCATAGCACCAATTCAATACCACAATGCCCACACAATGATGGGAAGAAGTTTGAGACTCTGGAGAGACATTACTGAAAGAGCGTTAACCACTCTGCAACTACACGCCCAATATGTCTGATCTGACAAACAATCACAGCATATTTTCTTTTGTGAATCATTGTTATCCAAACAACTTAGTCTAATTAACCAGTGTAAAACAGTGCACAGCAGGCACCATTAGCCAGTATTTAGTTTAGTTTGGAATGCACTTATCCAGACCGGTACTGGACTAATCAGAATGAGTCAACACTCTTTATCTTTCTTGGCCCAGGTTTTGTGCTCTGCTGTTATGTTCGAGTGTTTACTTTTAGGCAGTAATACACTACTTTCAGTTAATCGTGTTGAGATGTTTTTTTTTGAGCTATGATGGTGGTATCTGTAGTAAATTTGAAAGTAATAATAATACGTTTATTTGGATATTTGACATTTGACATGTAATGTTCCATCAGTAATCAACAGATACATAAAGGAATTTTTTATGTTACTAATCACAAATACAGTCTAGGAAAAGCTATAATTACAAACATGAGTGGGAAGTAAAGTAAGTCCCCTTTATCTTCATATAAACATTTTCAAATGTAGGCATTATTTGAGCTCTTCACTCATAAAGTTCCATATTTTGACCCCATAATCTCTAAAACAAAAACTTTTCCTTGTAGTACGGACTCTGGCTATTGTAAAAGAGATGCATTCCCCCTTACCCTTTTAATAAAATATTTCTCTATTATTTTTGCTGTCTGGAAGCTTATCATATTTAAGTTTTTTTTGTTTTTTTTAAGCCATAAATAGCTGGTTGGTTATGAATTATGTATGGTGCTCTTTTTGTAGTAAGAATAATGGTTCCAATATTGATTTATAACTCCTGTACTGTGGCACTTACGAGGCATCAGGAGACAATGGTGCAGGACAGACATAAAGTGCGGGTATGCGTCGGTGTGGTTCATCTTCTTTCGAATGAGGTCGAAAACTTGGGTGGCACTTTTTGTGTCTATATGTGCCTACGGGAGAAGGGGAAATATTTGTAAATTTGTGCATTAATGAGGCTTTTACATAAAGAGGACATGAGATTGTTTCTTACCGACTCAAAACGTTTAGATATTGCCAGCTCATCTTCATTTCGCAGCATCTCGAAGTAGTCTAAATGTCTAATAAGAAAAAAAAACTGTTCAGTAATTGGTCTATTCATGGGTTTCAGCCTGCTGTTATAGGCAACATTTTCCATTCACAAGATATACGATATTGTTTTAAGTTGTTAAGCACTATGGCAACAGTTATTCTGAAACCCATTAATAGTAGGATACCTTTGTGTGTTTCATTGGTCTCACCTGTCTAATGTGGAGTTTTCATGTGAACGTAGTTTGTCAATCACGGGTTGTATTCCCAGCATGAGAAACTCGTACCGAAGATGGATACGGAATTCCAAACTTGTCTTTTTAGGAAACAGAAAATGTGGTCAACAGAAATCCTACAAGGTGAGGCTCACTTTGACTTTGTGAAGAAATGAGGCGTGAAAAGCACTCACCTCTCCAGCCCCTTGACTCAGCACAGCGTTAATAAAAGACATGATGGCTGTTTTCAGGTTCACTTCATCCCGGTATCGGCCTGTACTCCGATCCAGTTCATTTATAAGGCTCTGGGAGGAAGAAACCACACCAGGTGTTACAATAAATCCTAACACTTATTTTGGTATGTGGTAATGCACTCAATATTTTCTTTTCCATTTATTTAAAGCCTCTGCACACAGGGCTGAGTGAAATGGCAATCTAGTATATTAAGCTTCTTTTGTTCATATTGATTGATCACTTTGAATCACTGCCATTTTAAAGTGCACTATATAATTTTTCTCATGAGGGGTCCGTTACCTCCTCGACTTGCTGGAAATGCTTTGCCTTGAATGTTCCACGGCACTGCATTAAACAAATCAATTTTTATTCAAAAACATACTTTTGTGCTGTGAGCAGACTCTCCTTTCTACAGATATAACCTTCACATCATGGCATTATCTGCAACTTGTCTCCATAGAGACAGATAGGTTTAATGCTATACTATGGAACATTTCAGACAAAGTAAAGTCCCCATGAATACAAGCAGGTTGTGAAAAGGTACATAATGCACCTTTAACACAAAACAAATTGTTTAATGTATTCCTTTATACATGCTTTTAATGACAGTGGATTAGCTGCAGATTTCTCTATTAAAGAGCCCCAAGCTGATCATTGACAATCTGAAACAAGTGGATCTCGAGCCGCTTAAAACTTAAATGAATTACACAGGCCTAATCCTCTCACCTGGAACCGTGTCCTCTCACAGGCGAAGCGCTGGTAGTGCAGCATGGCCTGTAGGATCTTCTTGTGTCCCCCTGGCACCAGACACACGGCCCCCATGATCTCCAGCACGGCCACTTTGGTCTTGATGTTTTCTGTGGCGAGACTTTGAGCGATGATATTGATGCTCTCGCAGTGGGACAGGACATGAGCGCGCCCCTGAGAGTTGTTCATCAGAGCTTTGATACAGCCGATGAGCGACGTGTGGATCTGAGACTCGGTGGTCTCGTAGTCCATGGTCTTCAGGAAGTTCAGGATACATGTGAGGCCATCCAGGTCAATGAAGCGAGTCACAAACCTGTCAAAAGTAGTGTGGTCAAAATACTAACATTTCAAACTCAGTAGTTTGATACTAAACAAAAGGTTGAATTCAATATCAATTATGAAACCAACAGTGATAACACAAAACACACAAAAAACTAAATAAAAGGAGGTCAATCAATAACACTATTCAGGAAAGGTCCAATTTGTCCATGTTTTTTTTTTTTTTTTTTTTTACAACTGTACTGTAGTCACACCATTTCAAGGTTATTAGTGTATTTAGTTTAGATTAAAAGGAACATTGGGTTTATTGTCTGGTGTGTACTTGAAGAAAAAATATTTGTAGTATCTTATCATGGCAGGATTCATATGGACTTAAGTCATGCTGGTAAATCTATTGTGACATTTCAGGGTCTCTGTTTTAAAGGGCACATTTCCATAGTCTGACTGAAGTGTTGTGACTGACAGAAAAGGTCAGAGAAGGTGGCATTAATGATATGAAAATTGCTGAAAAAATTAACTAAATCTCAGCACCTCATTGGCTGCGTCCTCAGAGCTGTTTTTAAACTCTCTATCGTTTTATTCCTCTCCTCCTCTTCCTCCTTCTCCAGAGCCAAGAGAGTCTTTCTCTGTTCAAGAGGAAAAAAACAATAATTACATTTCATTCTTCTATAAAATATGATTTACAACTTACAGGGTGTGGCAGTGCATGCATGAACCAAAGCACAATAAACATGAAAATACTTGGGATTAGTTTATTGTGAATTCCAGAAAAGCATGCGCCTCTGATTAAGTCCATCTTTGGATTCTGAATAGTGTGAAAGAGGGTTTTTATTACTCACAGCTGCCATTGAATTGAGTTGATCGATGTAGTACTCAGGCCAACTGGTTGCACTTTTGTTTTCTTCTTGTTCCTGCAAAACAAAGTAGGAGAAAATGAAATGGAAAACTATTTGGTTTATAGATAAAAATAAATACACAAGGAATATTCTGTGGTTTCATGGGTTTGCTTTATCAGAGTAATACAGAACAGTTTCTTTACCCCAGTTTTGCATAAGACCTTTGCCCTTGGGAGAAAGTTTCAGTTGGATCAGTTACATGTTTGTGTCCCATATTATCAAAGCAGAAACAGAGCAGTTTTGCCCTAAACAGCAGAGGAGCCGCAGCTCAAAGTAGGGCAACACTTTATCCTGCAGGACTTCAACGACTTTCAGGACGAGCCACAGCTGCTTGGGAAATCTTAAGATTAGCAAACTTTGGATTAGGGACACAGACCGATTCTGGTTTTCCAAAACAACCAAAAGATGTGCATAATAAACATTTAAAGATGAATTAATATGTCTATATAGGTGTTTTTCAGATTTTACAATGCAGTGATATCATACGCCCAGATGAGGGGCAAGAGTATTTCCTATTGATTGCAAGGTATTTCAACAGGAAGTACCCAAAAAGTGAATTCATAAATGTTGCACCTGATCATTTCAATTAATGATGAAACCCTATTCTATATTAAATAGTATTGGCCCATTGCGATGTCATCAGAATAGAACAGCAGTGTTCAATAGAAAATCCCATAAATAGAATCCAGTCTGACCTCACCTTTGTGGGCTCTAAAGGACCTTTGTTTTAGTGTGCAGCCCCATTAGGCTCCAGTGAGCTGTGACTATCAAGAGCTAATTGGAGCCAGGGCTGGTCTGGGACAGTGTGCACATGACCTCACTGTGGGAGTTACGACCAGGGCCAGAGCAGTCAGCCGGACCCTGGAACTAGTTCAGTCCTTTATTGGGACTCCAGCCGCGGTGGGACCACTTCCTCTTTGCATTTTAAGCAGGTCGTCTGTCAGCAAACTTCAAACGCAGTGCATTATATTTAGGGAAAGATGAGAGGAAATGTGGAGACCATATTTTCAGGAATTACTTGAGAAAGATCAGATCAAAGACATCTCAGGAAATGGAATTGCAGTGTTACATAGATTGATATTGCACTAATGTGACAGGGCACTTAAAGCTAATGTGATCTGAGACATTTTTATTTAAAGTGGAACAAACCATTTCAGTAAATCTGCTGGGCTGGAGATACAAACTAAAACCGGACAGTCTTCTGCCGCAAGAGTTAATCCTCTCAGGTGCCAGGCCAAAACAAACCAAACCTCTGGAGCACTTATCTTGGGTAAATCTGCTTTTTTAAGTCTGTTTGCAAAAGAAACCAGTGGGCTTATGGCTGGCGGTGCGTATGTCCCATAATGAACCCGCAGCCTCCTCCTTATCTCTGCTACACCTTTGACACAGCTGCACCTGTAGAACCAGAGCCTTCCTGTTTGATTTGGAGCAGAGCAAGCTTCCTTTGGGGCTCCTCCTCACACTCTTCCTCTGAGGGCCCTGATGGTGGGTAACATCATCTGGCCAAAGCCAGAGCTGCTGAATCAGCAGTATCCACGGCTATCTGTCCGTGTGTGAATGTGTGTTTGATTGTACTGCAGTGTACCATGGAAGTACAGTCAGTGTTGGCTCCTTCATATTTTAAGCAACTCAAGAAGGCTGGGCGATATTGTGATCTCATTCCTGTGATGAAATTTTGATAAAATTGCCACATTTTATTTCACAAATATTCTCTTGAGTACAGCTCTATGCTTGAATGAGGACACTTTTCTCACCCACATCCCCTATTGATGCTTTGCAGCTGATGTCATTAACATTTCCTGGGGGTGTGATGCTAACTGTAGGCTCTGCTCTGTCTGAGGCTTTATTAGACTTTAATCTGTGCTCTGTTTTTACACAATCTAACTAGAAAAAAAATGATTTAGCTGAAACCACAACAACAGGTGAGCAAATTTGTGCTGTAAAGTTTCTCACACATAAAATTACAGGCACATCTAACTGGCATTAGCTAACAGTTTGTCAGTTACTCACACTCACCATTTTGTTGAAAATCAAACACAAAAATTGATTTAACAAACACATTTTCAGGAGCCTGTGAGCAATATGAGTGCTTAATTTGAGTTTTCAGACAACCTTAAAGCTTTGGGTTTGCTAATGTGTGCATTGTGTCACCATTCACGGTAACTCCTAAACTTTCCACAGTTAGAGATACATGAGATACCCCCAGCAACCTCTGCAATGTTGTGAAAGATGGCCTGTTGAAGAAAATCGTGATTTTAATTTTATGGCATATTGCCCACCCCTACTGTCCCTACATAAAGCCTGCTCCACATGAACAATAAAGCTGTACATGTGATTTCTCCATTGCCTTGAGAGAACTTCAAATGAGGCCACACAAACTGGGACACTTTTATTTAGGATGGTGCAGCTCTTGAAATTCCTGGGTCAGAGGAAACAAGACTCAAATTAATAACCAAGGAGCAAAATCATTCATAGCCAGAAGTTAAGGGGCCTATATTACGCTATTTTCTATTCTGTTATAATGTTGTTCCCTAATCAGAAACATACCTGGAGTTGTGTTTTGTTTCATTCACACATTAACACACAAACTCTGCATATTTACGCATTTCTTAGTTCTTCTCTCAAACTGAAAACACTTTGTTCCACTTGTGATGGCATATGTTCCACTGTGTTTCTAAATCTTATACACTTTCACTAGAATAATTTTGATGATTTCAGCCCAAACTTTACTGAACTAAAGGTAAAAGGTAGCTGTCAACTTAAAAACTACCACTTCATAACATCACATGGTAGAACAGTGCATTTGAGCCTTGGAGATGTAGACAAACTAATAATAAAGGATTACTTTTGTAATGAAACAAAACACCACTCCGGGCAGGTTTTTGATGAGGTAGCAACATTACAGCATGGCTTAAAGCTCACAACAAAGTATACTATTTAACCTACAATCCTTACAGTGTAATAATACAACAAAAGTCCTTGGTTGTTCTTTGGCCAACTTCTATCAGCAGTGAACATTTGTTAGAGCAGGACATCCACAACAGTAACACATACAAAGCCTGGAAAATATCTGCTGCTGGTGAAACGTTGCCGCAACAGTTTAAACTCAATCAGGCGTCTGTTTTCACACAGAGACCGAGGGGCAGCTGACGGGCCTTTTATCACGACCAGAACTCTAATGAAACATGACACCGCCACAGAGCTGCAGACTGTATTGTGGCTGCCCAACGCTTTCATGGGGCAGGTGCATAAACCAGGACATGTTAAAAATACTTTTGTTCTACCTCAAGACTATGGGGGTCTTAGAGGGTATAAACTAATATTGTAAGACTGGAAGTAATAACAATCTGTAACATGACAAAGTGACAAATACTCTGTAAAAAGTCTGCATAACGGTATACAACAGGACATATAACACTTATATCACAAAATAACTTTGTGTAAAATGTAATAAATAAAATAAATCCTATACATTCTAGAGATGAACTGATCCAGATTTTTCTGTTTAGATACAGATATCAATACTTTGGCTCTAAGTATCTGCTGATACTTAATAACAACCGATACCAGAGCAGAGACCGAAAACTTTACTATATGCTGTTGTGAAGGAAATAAACAACGATCCTTTTAATTATTAAAATAACCACAGAACAGCTTTGTAAAAAGTGTAATCTTATGACATGTTTTGAACTAACATTGTCCAGTAAATCATCTTATTAAACCAATTTACAGACCAAAATAGGATATCAATATCGACTGAGCCAACTGACTGATCCATCAACATTTTCAATATTGACGCCGATATCTAACAAGAGTATTGGTTTGATGCATCCCTAATATATTGTATATCAATGTCTGAAAAAACAGTTCTAGCTAGGACCAATGAGATAACACAATTTTTCTATATCAAAATGTTGTCTTAACAATGTGTAGCTCAGTTTGCGTTACTCTAGTTGTGCCTCTAGCTCTTTATGGAGGGCTTTGATGGGGCCGTTAAGAGCCCTCTTGCAGTAATGTGGAAAATGAAGTCGAGCTAACTGGCATGTTTGAAAGCAGCAGAAAATGATGCCTTTTCCTCTGTAGTTTGTTGAATCTGAAGAGGCAGCCTGTGTCAGCATGTTTAACAGTACAGTGTCTAACAGCTACATTTAGGCCGGTGTAATCTTTGTTAACACGTTATCAGGTTTACTGCCTTTACATGTGTGTATGTGTCCTCATAAAAGGTTAGATAATGTCTCTGAGGATTTATAGACATCTGTTCAGTGAAAATGCCAAAGCTTGTAATACCAGTTCAGACAAATCCACCTAAGCCAGGTCTAACCATTGTAATTTTAATACAATTTCCGATATTTATATTGTGGATATTTTACACAGGTTCGCTTTCTTCTAATGCCAAAAAGTATTAAAGTTTTTCACTACATTATAAGGTTTGCGCTTTGATTTTTCATTTTCTGCACTGCTTCTACCTTCATCTTACGTCAAAGGACAGACTAAAATAATCGTGCACATTCCTGAAATATCCAGACAACCTGCTCGTGCCGGGGCGTGTCGAGAGCCAGCGATGTAGAGATCGAGGCTTAAAGCAGCAGATATGAACAAATCAATGATAAAATGATCACACAAATTCACAGGTATCTGACAGTGTGTGGGAGAAGCAAAGTTTGATATGCAGCGATAAACTCTTACCTTCTTTTTGCTACAGTAGATCTGCCATTTCTTCTCTGCGGGCAGTGCAAACATGGCCTCTCTGTGCTTCTCCGTCAGGTCGAGCTCATCCTAGAAAATAAATATAATGTTAAAACAGTAACAAGTACGTACATTTCTACAACATCAGACTTCTAGAATACTGAATCAGTCAAGTGAATCTATGATGGAGCAATGGTATCATTTTAGTTTATGTACGCCTACAATTTTCTTGACATTGGTGTTGAAGTATTTTTTTTTTGCTATTGGGTTCTCATGGATTTATTTTATAGTGTTTTATTTAAGTTGTTTTGTGAAGTTGCTGATTTTTGTTGCTGGTTAACCCTGAAAAAATATTCCGATTTTTTTATCAACATCTTGTCTTTATGAAAAGGTTAATCTGTGCATAACAATTATGCCTCATGCTCCTTGTACCACTGTTTCAGTATTATTCCTGAGGAGTCCTGGCATTCTCATCTTGAATATGTCTGTGCCATCAGATAATAAAAAAATTATTGATATTTGGTTATTCACAATTTTCAGGTAGTCAGCTGACCTCATTCTTTGAACACATAACAGGCTGAACCTGCAGTCATTATCCAAGAGGGGCCTTAAATACTTACTTGCTTAGTTAAATCCAGGTGGTGACTTTTTTGGCTAGGCAGTACAACTTTACCAGTCCTGGGGCAAAGTACAGTATCTGGACTATCTCTGTTATAAATCAAGACTATATTTATGCCAGAGTTTTAAAAATGGCAAATCATCAACTCCTCTCATTGTAAATCTGCTCAAATGTCTTTGGCTGATTTAACAGTGAATAATGGCCCAGAGAAAAAGGCGTGGTCTATTTCCTCAACATGAGGTAACAACAAACATCTGGAACAAACATGCGTCACGACCGAAAAACAGACTCAGGGGAAGGAGCAGCTGGATCAGTCCTGGAACTCTTTAGTACCAGTGAGGGCCAATAATTAAGGAATGGTTCATAAGGTTTTGAAGACACTAGATATTACTTTAAATGTGCATTATGTAACTTTTTGGTTGGGGGTCTGTAACCTGCTTGCTTCCATGGATGTCATTGCTCTGCCAAGACATTAAATTACTTACATTTATTCAATTATAGGTGGTTTTATAGCTCAAAAATATCTAGAAAAACAGGCATTCTGACTGTGAGTAGGGTTGCCTCTCCACAGATCTGACCTGTAACTTGGTCTGGTTGGGTCTCCATGAAGATAGAAAATGAAAAGTTTTACTGTAATGCCACATTGTGAAACATTCCAGACCAAAGAATAACATATCCATGGAGAAAAGGATTTGACGGTCCCTTCACCAGAAACACAATGCACCTTTAAAGATTTGTCTACTGTTTAAGCTTGAGAATATACTTGTAGTACATTGATATTAATTAAGAGCTCTCATCACTAGTAACCTGCAGATGGATGCTTAGAGGGCTTCTAAAACTTCTTAACAATATTAATTCATGCTGCAATAGAAAGCTTATCCTCATTATTCAGACCCAACTCATGTTACACACAATACAATCTTTGAGCTAAAAAGTAATATTTATACAAACAGACTCCCAACGATAATAATAATAATGCACTTCCAACATTGTAATTGTGTTGTAATATTGAGCACTCCATGACTAAACCAAAGTGGGAAGATTCCACAGAACAATATTTACCACCCATGCACAAATTCCTGGTATTGCATGGCCTAATGTAAAAAAGATCTTCTTCCTAAGTTGACTTGTTGGTTTCTGGAAAGTCTTTCGAAAGTTCAAAGGTCGAGTTTAACTGGTTGTAAGAGAGCAGATGTCCACAACTTGTTCCACAGCGTCTTGTTTCCGTTTTGCACGGACAGGAGCTGTTCCACTACTACGCAAAAGTAAAAGCACGTGGCCATTTTTACTTGGTAAACAGAGCAACTGAAAGGCCCCTTGTCGTTGTACTCAACTTACTCACTCAATTATGTCTTCATAAAGAACAGGAGACAAAAACAAGCAATTAGCAGATGGTTAGGGCCAAGACACAAGGGGTCCTTCAGTGTGCTCTATTGAAGTGAAAAAATGTCATGGTTAGATTACTGTGGTAACCAAAGGAAAGAGGAGGGGGACAGGAGCAGAGGAGAGCGGGGCAAATAAGATGTGACAGACACAGAGAGAATAGCTGCCCTGGCCTTTAGCTCCAGGAGTGCTCACTGTGGAGGGAGAGTCTATTCAGAGACTGGACTGTTACAGTAAACTGCTACTAGAATGTCCAGTGTTTGAGCTGTTTAAGGACTACATAAGTGTTGAATGGACTGTTATTTACTGGGGGTTAAGTAATCATGTGATCAGTGAGTCAGCCAGAACAGTTATTTGATTTAGTTAAAATCATTAAACTGTTATATTTTCAGAAATAATACTCAAAAAAGACAAAAAAAAAATCCTGGTTGAACCTGGATTTCAGAGATTAGTTCAAGTATAAACAGTGTTTGCTCCCTCAGATTGGTCACAGTAGTTACATCTTACCACCAGCTCGGAGAACATGCCATCCAGCTCATCGTAGCCGGGCATGGGCAGAGCGGGCTCCATAGCCTGCAAGGCGAAGTCCTCCCTCAGCCTGTAGGTGATCTCTGGATGGTCACTGCTGCTGTTGAAGCAGCAGAAGATGAAGGAGAGACCCCCACGGCTCCCGCCACCTCCTCTTTTGCGGGGTGCCATGGCTCAGGCGAGATGCTCCGCTCTGCTCCTGGGCCTCTGCAGCTCGCCGTGTCAGAGAGATCTGTAAGAGACACAAACATGAGTGGCTCAGGACATTGGGGTGAAAATGTTACAGCAACAGTTTTCAAGGCTCAGAATAAACCTTTAGTCTGAAAAAGGATAATGGCAGAGTCATAATATTTGAAGACAAAGTACAATAGGCTCTATTACTGCGGGGGAGATCTGAAAGATTTAATCATGTCCTTTATACAATAGGGCTCTGTGCGAGAGTGCGAGCAGAAATGGAAACTATCATTTTCAAGATTGGTGTATTACGCCCCTTTCATGTGCCCTTCCTCTTCACATCGGGCTGTCCTAATGAGGGATAGTGTGGGTGGCGATTACAATGAAAAGAGTGGGAGGGGACCATAATAAACTACATGTCAGTGAGAGTCTCAAACAACTGCAAGTGAGCTCAAACTATGGTCACAAATTCTGTCTGGATTAAACTGCACCTCAATCAGGTATTTGACAAATGTGCAGAATCCTCCCCAGTGCTGCCTCCAGCTGATATAAATACATCACACATATCAGTTGTCAAATCACCAGCATCGTAGAGCACGGCTGCCCAGTGCAACTGCAGTTAAGTACAGAGATGGACATGAGAGTTAAGAGAATATTTACCCTTTCAACAACTCAACATTATCTGGCAGTGCAGATGCAATACTGTTGTAATACAGGCCTAAAAAATCATTTTAAATCAACTTACTTGGCCAATTAGATGAAGCAGCTTAGTTATTAAGTTCTAGAAACTCCACCTCAAAAATTGACATAACATGTGGTATAGAAGTCCTAGAAACAGGAACTCTCTTGCATAACACGTGAATCCAAATTGAATAAGTGGAAGCAGAGCGTCACCTGCATTCACCAGCCCTGACAAAGATCAGCCCTTGTTGACCACAGCGCATCACGACACTTCACTATCAGATGTGAGCATTAAAGAAAGGCAGAGAAAAGTACTTTGTCTTGGTGACCGGAGACTGCCCACTACACTCCAGTGTTCTGATGACCTCTCCCAGACTTCCTCCAAGTCAGAGGCACTGAAGTTTCACTGTGGATCATTCAGCTTCAGTCGACCAAGGACACAACTTGAGAGCAGACAGTTTTGTGGGTTATGAAAAAATAGACAGAAACCGTCACTATCTTAATTTAGGTTTGGTTTTCCTGTCTGGTAGAAAGCAATTTTGGAGACACCAAAATATTCTATTATTATTTCACTTGAACATGTTTCTGGTAGTTTCTAAGACAACCAAACACATCGCAGTCCTTCTCCTTCTCATACAACCCATAGTCTTTGCTCTATAAATGTATCCTTCACTAAACAGCTTAAGCAAGTTTGTTTTCAGTTTACATTACTGGATAGAAACTTGCCGCTAGCATCTATCATACTCACATACACACACGCACACACACTGATGCTTATTTATTCAAGCTTGTGTCTCTTCTGAGGACAACTGGGCCCATTGTTAAACATGACCAAAGGGAGACATTTATTATGACCGGACCATGTATATCAAACACAGTGAAAGTGTGTAGCAGTGATCCATCTCTTCCACCAGGCGCCTGAGGTCAAACGGTCGCCCCCTCTTATTTCTTTCTCTCTTTCCCTCTATAACACGGTGGTTTGTAGTGTATTTATTTTGACACATCCTCGTCTTTTCCAAACAGACTACCAGGCCTCTACAGCAGCTGTGCAGCTTCACCCACTCTCTCTATTCCAGCATTAAGTGAAAGCTTTTGAAGAACTCTGTGACCATATTAGTCCAGTGAGTGGCTGCTTTTTCCATTGACTATTTTACTAGAGCTACAGTGTTGTAAACATTGTGTAAATCAAGACGAGGAGCGGGTTTCTTTCAGTCGCAGCTCTGTCATTGTCGAAGGAAAAAGACAAAGCTCATGGGCTGTACTATGTTGCTGAAGAATGTGGCATGCAATTGTTATGAGTAGTATTGCAATTAGAGGATTCACAGAGTTAGCTCAATTGAATTTAAGATGAATATGAGAATAGAGAATATCCGTATCTACCAAGTCAAGCTAGCAGTCCCATATAATAGTATAACACATACCACAGACCCATCTGTCAGTTAACTATGATGTGAAAATAAAAGGACTGAGTTTAAAATTAGAAAACCAACAAGGATTGAAGCATTATCACCTTTTATTCCACATTTTTAGATTTATGTATTAGGCTCCCCATTAGCTGTACCCGGGTCTTCCTGGGGTCTTGTACAGATTAAAAAAAAAAAAAAGAGAGACAATTGTATTTGTAACTAAATTCTGATCATTTCTAAAACTGTAGATATTGTGTTTAATAAAAAGTATGTGCCATAATTCTGTCATACATTGTTGGTTGTGATTAATTGTTAAGCGGAGCGCAGTGGCATTAGCCTCGGAGGTCGTCTGTCAAGCGGTCAAGGCCTGTCAGGACAAGAGGACATTCCTGTCATTTCCAGGTGAGCTGTGGCCCCTGGACCCCCCTGTATCGCCCCACCTGCTCCTCCATTCACACAAACCACTCCCCTCTGTCCAAACAAAAATGTTTACCAAATAATCAGTGACTCATAACGGGACCAGGACAATGATGTATCCCTGTGTTGATGCATGAACCTGACTTTTGGCCCCTAGTGGAGAAACATGTGCAATACAAGAGACACATTCTTTTGTCCAGCTTGAGCCTGTCACATCCCAAAGTCAAACAAACACTTTGCTCTTTGTCTCCTCACAATTGTATCCCCACATTGCCTTGTTTTCTTGACCACGAGGTTCGAATAGTGCCCTGGCCCGAGTCCTGGCAGTAAAAAGACCGCAGTGTTCGGGAAATGGGAGTCTATCATGGTGCCTACTGAAGACCTCTCCACAAAACCAGTTCTGTCGACTGGACAGAAAGCAGAAGGGTGCAAAAGTGTTACATGTGTTATAATATAAACAAGGATACTGTTCATGGTATGGGAACATGCAAAGATGGATGTCTTTTAGGCGGGCTAGTCCCGTTTTTATTACTGGTTTTAGCTTTACACAGAGCAAACTAATGATGACGAACGTGACAGTAAATTGTATTTTTTTAACACTTCACAGGTTTTATTGTTAAATGATTGCCATTACAATGAAGTACAGGTGTATTGCTTTGAACAATGGCAGTAGACTAGACTTGGGGCTAACACTAATAGTTTAGAGGTGTGTTATGGAGCAGAGCTGGGCCCTGGACAGAACATAGTGGACAGTGGAGCATTAGAAACAGATGTGAGAAAGAACAGCAGCTGCAGCTTCTCAGTCCTTTCATTTGAATGTTTCTGATACAGCCCACAGACTAATGCAGTTGCCTCCTCATTCACTCAAATAACGAGACACCACTGTACAATATACAGTAAGTAAATGCCTTTTGTTATTAACAGTCAAACAGTCACAGAGCATTTGGAGCTGAAGGTTTAGTAGTCTCACCTTCATTTATTTCAAAATGTGCTCCATGACTCCTGCAATTATGACCTTCACAAAGAATGCAACAAAAGTGGGTTTTCAGTGACCATGACCTGAATCACAGATACAAATAGTTTTAAGTAAAAGACACACATTTCTATTGAGGCCATATTAAGTAAAGTAGTGCTCCAAACTGGTGGAGAGCTCCAGCTGTGCACTGGTTGTACGGGAGCATTTGGCAAACATAAGTTTAATCTTCTTTTCTGATTTAGGATTTAGGATGGATCAGACTTGTGACTTGATGCCCGCCTCCCCCTAACATTGCTGTAGTCTTGTATATAACATATAGTGGTGGTTTACACTGGTAACTCTGAGTGTGGGTGAATGTGGAGTATGTGACATTACTGTGGCTGTAGGAGAGTACTGTGCCCTGGGCTGCTCTCTGCACAAGAGGCTTATGGAAACCCTGGTGCACTTGGTCATTTATTTTGGATCAATTTGGACAGCTGCAAATAAAGGGCTCAGAATCCCGCGGTGAAGGCCAGCGGTCGTCCTTTCAACAGCTGAAAATCTATCAGCGCCTCAGATTTGGACAAAACACTGGCCCAACCTGCAAAAACTGGTCTGAGTGGAGAAAACAACAATATTTTAATTGGAATTCTGACAAAAATTAATATCTTTTTGGATTATCACAAAAATGTTAATCTGATTATTTTTGCAATCCAAACAAAAGTTCTAAAAAGTGCCTGTAAACATCATGGCTGAGCTTCAAGTATTCTGTGAATAGACAGTAATATTATATTAAATTAGCATAGATTCAAAAGCAACAATGTCTTTATATTGGTATATCGCCCATCTTTACTCAACACAAATTAATACAATAAAAGATGTAATTTTTCAGTAACCATAAGGTACACAGCGGTAGCTCGACCACATGGCAGGAGGAGATTCATAAAATTTGCCATAGTAAGTGATAATTAAACAGTGCTATATTGACTGCCCACTTTACACATAAATCATGATTATTGACTCATTGTTTACTCTTTACAGACAGCAGGCGCACCATGTGGGGCTGAATGGAGCTGCTCAGCTGGACACCACACACTCCGCTCCCTCTGATCAGTTAATGGCACACAGTCCATAATAATGACCAGGGCACAGACGGAAAAGGCCTTGGTAAAACAGCTGACGGAGAAGTTAAGATGAGACAAAATCAATCTCTTTTGACAAACAGGAAGTATGCCTAAACCATCGTAAGTCTCAAAGTGGTAGATCCGCTCTGCCCTGATACTTGTGTAGGGTAGGGCTGTCACGATAACAAACTGAGAAATATTGTGATTAATGAGAATATTTTAAATGCCACTGACACAAAGCAGGATAATCCCAATAAAGATAATTTTAAATAGACAGTATCATTTAAAAAAAATAAAAAATCATGAGCTACAAACAATAAAGGACAGAGTGAAGTGATAATTAGCTATAGAAGTTATATTTATTCTACTTTCAGGTCAAATTGTAGCCTTATTACATAAAAATAGCAACAGTCTCAAATATTGCAAAGAAACTGTACACATGATATTATCAATATTGATACCCAAAATGTATTGT